CCTAAAACTCTACCTTGGCTTTGTAATGATAACCCTAAGGGTCATCAAGAAAGCAACAAAGACTGATGCTGAGGATGCTTCAAGCAAACCTCCAGCACAGTAAGGCTGCAACGCTTCCACTTTGTCGTGTGGTCAAGGAGAAAGACATTGACATAGAACCTTGGCTAATAAAAGGCAGAGTAGCGGGCTGGGAGATAAGGGAAGAAAAATCATATATGACCACACGCAACAAAACGTAAGAACATGCATTTTAATTAATAATGAACGACAATGTCTAATCACGAGCTCTGTTCCAGGGACCAAACAGTAATTAGGACTACATGAAAGAGTCAAGATGGACATGATGATGGCCTCAACCTATATGCCTTATAACTCACCGGGACCTCCACCACCAAAGAAAACTGAGGATCTGGTACAATACTGCAGCATAAAAACCTACAGTTAATCATTGGAGCTGCTGCTAACTCACACAATGAGGTATGGAACAGCACAAACACTAACGAAAGGCGTGAGAAGCTTTTAGAATTTGTACTAACTAACGATCTTAGTATTATTAATAAAGGCTCTGAACCGACTTTTGTAACCAGTAGACAACAAGTAGTTATTGATTATTTCAAACGCTGTATTTCAAACCGGATAGTGATTTGGGTGGCCTCTGAGATAGGCCTGTATCTAACTAACACATATACATGGAAATCACACAAGTTGATAAGGCATGTAATGTGGGTCAGAACCAGCGAAACACAAACTGGGAGAAATACAGTGAGTTACTGGAGAGAAATACACTAACTACAATGGCTAATATCAAAAGCACCCACAATATTGAGCTAACTTCTACACAAATACAAGAAGTTGTAATAAACTCATATCGTGAAGCCTGCCCACAAACCAGCTACAACAACAAAAAGAAAATTTGCTGGTGGAATGACAACCTGACGGCACTAAGAAAGAAAACTCGCAAACTCTGGAATAAAGCAAAAAAACGGGGATTACTGAAGAATATAGTAAAACCCTAACAGAATACAATAAGGAGATTAAAAAGGCGAAACAAGAATTGTGGAGCAAATATTGCAAAGAAATTGAAAGCATCACTGAGGCAAGTAGACTCCACAAAATCCTCGCCAAAGACCCTATAAACCCCATCGGAACACTAAAAAAACCAGATGGAAAACATACACAAACCGCTAAGGAAACATTAGAAATCCCAATAAGCATACACTTTCTGGAATCAAAAACTATTGCCAACCTGATGATAAAGGAGAGTGCTGAACCCGCCAAAGGCCACAAAGCCAGCACGGAAGATTGGCAAAGCCAAAATAGTAATCACCTATGATGAGATTGAATGGGCTATTGATAACTTTAGCCCATTCAAATCTCCAGGAACAGATGGGATATACCCAGTACTCCTACAAAAGGGAAAAAATACTTGAAAGGCTAATTGAAAAACACGTAACGGGCAGTTCTCTAAAAGAAAAACCCCTTCACAAATGTCCACATGCCTATCAGCAGAAAGGAAAATCATGAGAATCAGCACTACATCAATTGTCGATACAAATAGAATATTCACTGAACAACCAAGAAATAGCATTGGGAACCTTCTTGGACAATACTCCTTTCGAAGCAATGGTTACATCACTCAAACAGCGAGGAAACTGGCAAAACCTGCTTCAGATGGATAGAATCAATGCTAAAAAGCAGAAAACTGCAGGCCTCCATGTTCCGTGAAAAAGTAGAAGCAGCAGTGGTGAGAGGGTTCACCGCAAAGAGGAATACTCTCGCCTCTGCTGTGGAATGTGGTAGTGGACGACCTCATATGGAAACTAAATGAAAGCAAATTTTCACCCGAGGCTATGCAGATGATATTCAGGGGAAAATTCGATTCAACATTAAAAGAACACTAAATCTGGAGGAACAATGGTGTTTAACCGGGGACTTAAAGTAAACCCCTCAAAAACCACCTTAATTGCTTTCACCAAGAAAAGAAATATAGAAATGCAAGGATTACATTTCTATAACGAAATGCTGCAACTAAAAAATGAGGTCAAATACCTAGGAATAATCTTTGATAAGAAATTCACCTGCAACATACTACAGAAACAAGTAAAATATCACTAATGACCACAAGAAGGACCCTATGCAAATCTCGGGGATTAAAACCAAAAATGGCCTATTGGCTATACACGGCAATAATAAGACCCAGAATAACCTATGGATCACTAATCTGGTGGAACAAAGCTCAGCAAAAAGTAGCTATCCAAACATTAGGCAGCATACAAAGACTAGCAAACCTATGTATCACAGGGGCAATGAGAACAACCCCTACAAATGCATTAGAAACTCTGCTAAACCTACCTCCATTGGAAATATTCACACAAGGAGAGACTAGGAAAAGCTCACTTAGGCTCCAGAAACAATTAAATTGGAAAGGAACTAAACAATTCGGGCATACAACCATAATCAACAAAATCAGACACCCATTATTAGAAATGGGGACTGATCCCCATTCTTCACAACTTCCTATAAAGTCTTAACGAGTCTTAACAACAAACTAAGGAACCAGATCAGCTGTTTTTTTTGTTTTTTTCAAGCCCAAAATATGAGCAATCAAACACACTAGGGAAGTACTCTTCGGTCTTTCAAGCAGAAATACATGCCATCAATGCTTGTGCCCTAGAAAATCACTGGCAAAAAAATCCTCATAATATCTCATAGCCAAGCAGCCATTAAAGCATTAGCATGTAAAAGAATCACATCAAAATTAGACAGTGAATGCATCCAAAATCTCCAAAACCTGGGGAATACAACAACCTGATGATATCTTGGGTGCCAGGGCACAGGGGAATTTTGGGTAACGAGAAAGCAGTCAATCTGGCCAGAGGAGGATCTGCAAAACCATACATAGGCCCTGAACTTATACTTGGGATAACAAAAACAAATCTAGACTCCTCCATTGCATTATGGATTCAAATAAAACAAAAGGAGAAGTGGAAAAACTCAAGCGGCACTAGACATAGTAAACTTATGATGAAACAACCCTCACCAAGACTGGCAAAAGCATTACTGCATTGGAAAGGGCCAAACTCAGAGGAGTGGTAGGACTACTAACCACTCACTGGCATCTGAGAAAACATCTACACAACATGGGCATACGAGATCCCATTTGCAGATTATGTAATGAGGAGGAGGAAACAGCCACTCATATCATCTTCGAATGCGAAGCAACAGCTCAATGGAGATTTTACCTAATGTACGGAAAAAAAAAAGAAGGATGGAGTCTATTGCACTGAACTAAGGAACTAGGAAGGTAGCCAGAAGGCTGCAGTGCCTGGGGGGCACAAACCCCGCTTCCTAGTACCCTTTTTTACCATACCATACCCATTGTAATTGTGTGCAAGACTTCTTAGAAATTGTGACATCTGATATCCTAATTTGAAATTCAAAATTAACATTACAAATGAAAAATAACACCAATTATGTAATTAAATTAACAATTAACAAATACTGTTGATTCTGGTGGACCTGGTACACAGGGGATGAAATGAATGTGAATTTTATGATAATATGCAGTATTATTTTTTTATCAAAATCACCTATGAACATGTGCATCTGACAGACCAAAAAAGAAATGATAGGGATACCAGAATGATTGGAAATAACTAAACTATAAATATTTGTTGCTTATGTTTTATCATAGGTAGAAAGAAAATATGACCAGGAAGACAGTACAAGATTTAAGTTAAAATTTTTCTTAGTAAACAAATTTAATCTACTTAAAATTGTGTGCAACAATTGGAAGTTAAAGACTTCTTAGGAAATTATTACATCTGTTTTTATCATATCAAACATTGGAATGATTTGTGTGGTGTTTAGTGACATAGGATAAAGATGATCTCAATAAAGATCAAAATGCTGGCATGTTAAAGAAAATATTTTTTTAAACCGTCACACCAGCCGGCATCTCACTACCTCCAAATAATCATTGGAATGATTTTTGATTTGCAATTCAAAATTAATGATACAAATGAAAAATAGTAACACCAATTATGAAATTAAATTAACAATTAACAAATACTGTTGATTTTGGTGGACCTGGTGCACATGGATTAAGATGAATGTGAGTTTTATGGTAATACTCTAGTATTTTTTTTTTTTAAATCAAACCCACCAATGAACATGGTGAAATGATACTCATATGACAGACCAAAACAGAAACTATAGGCATACTAAGTTGATTGGAAACAATCAGGCTATAAATTGTTTTATTGTTTATGTTTAACAATATAATTATTTAACAATCTTTGTTGTTTATGTTTTATCATTCGTAAAAACATAATAGATCCAGCAAGACTTAAAATTTAAGTTAAGATTTTTTTTAGTAAACAAATTGGACCCATATAAAATTATGTGGAGCAAATGGAAGTGAAAGACTTCTTACAAATTATGACATCGGCTGATATAATTTCAATGATTTATGATTTGCGACTCAACATCAACGTTCCAAATGAAAAATAGTAACACCAATTATAGAATTAAATTAATTCTGGTGGACCTGGTACACGATGAATGTGTTTTATGATAATACGGCAGTATTTTTTTAATTTTTATATATATAATCAAACCCACCAATGAACATGGTGAAATGATACGCATCTGACAGACCAAAACAGAAACGATAGGCACCCATATAAAATGATGTGCAACAACTGGAAGTGAATGACTTACTAAAAATTATGATATCTACTTATATCATGTCAAACATTGGAATGAATTATGATTTACAATTGAAAATTAACGTTACAAATAAAAGATAATAACGCCAATCATGAAATTAAAGGAATAATAATTTAAATTACCCCATGAAAAATAATAAACAGAAGGTTACCAGTGTTACCTTTAAACCTAACTAGGGTAAATATGTCTGAATTTTTGAAAGATGAGAAAATCATACATAAACATTGAAACGTGCTTGTGTAGGAGTTAGAAACAATAATAAAATATACCTGGATGAAATCATATCGAAAAGGACCGGCGCGTCATTAAGGGTTTCTTTGTATTTCCGAGAGTAAACTCGAACGGGGTCCAGTTTAAAACAAGAAATCTGCGAAATAGTCTGTGGCGGCGAGACACTTCTTGGACAATCCTCGCGTTTTTTAGGGTTGACAGCTGTCCGGCGTTTCTCCCTAACCACTAAATCTATCTGTCATAAAAAAAAATTAAGACACATTTTAGTCGGTGGAAGTCAGGGATGAAAGTTGGGAGTAAAACGTGTGTAAATTTAGGGCCGCCCCGGGACGTCGGGACAATGGACGAGACCGCGAGGCGTTCCCTGTTTTTTCCCATTTTTCGAAAGAGAAATGACGACAAAGGGTGGCCACTTACTGTCTCTCTCCCCTGGCAGCCGGCCGACGGGGTTGCCGATTCTATTGAGGGATGCCTTCGAACCGAGTCTAGGGACGCCCAATGACGAAGGTTCGATTTAAAACCCAATAAAAAATCTCATTCTTGGTTAAAATGCAAACTACGATTTGGCTTTAGCTCCATGATGGCCGAATCACTTTCGACTTAAACGCCTTCTACAGACCGCAAACAGAAACTCGATACGCGTTCCTTCTGCCAAGCAACATTAAAAAAAAAAAGTTATTTTTTAAACCTACAATAACGAAGAACTTAACTTAATTGTCTACCGTTGATAAAAACCCTCGTGATTTGATGAAATTGAACCTCTTCTATTTCATCTTTTAATTTTAACCCTTTTCCCACCGCATTAGGAATTAAAACTTCATGCAGCAGTGCTAATTTCCTTTCTAGACAAACAAATTATTTCAGTATGGTGGTGTTTTTCATGAATGTCTTGTACCAAGGTGCCTGGTGATAAGCACCGAAAAAAAATCACAGTCATCCAATTAAAAACCTCGTAACATTTCACCATCAATTTAATTTTCATCGCTCAAAAATACAAACAAAATAAGTTGTTTATTTAAAAAAAAATCAGGGGTAAGGCCAATTGAAAAAAAACCCACTCAGTTCCTTGTCGTGCTTTTTAGGGATACTTTTTAGGGACTTTATCAGTTCTGATTGCTCGGTTCATGGGATAGTATTACAGGACAGAGTCAAGATAGTAGTCTGCTGACTGGACAATGTAGAGGCTGTCAGTGGTTCAGGGGATGCTTGTCAACCCCATGATTAGCAGTAAAAGAATAACCATTTATTCACCTCATCCGTAGCAAAGTCTGAAGCATTTTCAGAGTGCATTAATTGGAGAACAACAAAATTACCCTTGTTTGGGTACCAGGGCAGAGGGGCAACGCGTAAACTAACAAATTGGTCATGGAAAGTTCAATGAGGACCCTCTTTTGAGGATTACCAAATAGCCAAAGAAAAGACAATGGATAAAATAAAAAGTCTTTGTTTCAAACATATATACCAGGATTGAGGCATGTGAAAAAGTTCATCAAACTTGCAGAACTAATAAACCTAGGAAGTGTTAGGTTAGAAAGATGGTAGGATTGCTCACTGGACAATGTAGAGGCTGACAGGAGGTTCAGGAGATGCCTGTCAGTGCCATGATTAACAACAAAATATTAGCCATCTAGTCATACTAAAGGAAACTACCTCATAGGTAGTAAAGTAGTATTTTGGGATTGCAACAATATCCTGGCAGATATTGGAAGAACAACAAAATTACCCTTGTTTGGGTACCAGGGCATATAGGGCAGAGGGACTATAAGGATGCTGATAATTACCGAAGAAAAGTTCAATGAGGACCCCTTTGAAGGAATACCAAATTGACAAAAACAAAAGTCTTTTTGTTAATCAATCAGATTAATTTCCAAGACAGAGACGTGTGAAAAGTTCACTAAAAAACCATCATGTGAACAACTAAACCGAAGATATACTAGAAATATAGTAGGTCTGCTGGACAATGACAGACTCGGAGCAGCACAAAGGCCTGTGCAGATATTACAGAAAGAAGGCCAAACAAACAATAATAAAAAATTACCCTTGCTTGGGTTTCATGGATGTCAAATTGCCAAATACATCAAGACTAAGTCCTTGGTTCAATGTGATTGTACTTCAGGACAGAGACATGTGAAAAAGTTCATCCAAGGACCTTTGTAGAAACTAATGGCAGAACTACTAAACCTAGGATGATGTCTTAGGCCTGGAGGATACTCACAAGTGTGCTTTACAAAGCTGTAGGCTCTCATAAAGAGCCTTAAGTTTAATAAAGAGCTTTAGGTAATGAAGATTGATAGAATAAAGGTATTATCATACAGAGGCTGCTTCCTTTTAACCTTAATCTTAGGTACGTGTATAGATACTTTTATTTACAATAATGAACAAAAGAAATTTAAAAAAGTATATAGACAAGGATAAAATAAAAAGAAAAAAATGATAGATATACAACTACAACATAAAATAACAATGAATTTTAAAATAAGCAAAAAATACAGAATAGAACTGTAAATTGTTAACTCCATGGCTCTTCCCTAAACCCACCATACTTCCATCAAGCCATGATTATAGTTGTAGAGTATGTCAAATCGTCCATTGTCAAAAGACTCAGATTTTGGAATAACCCATTGGGGACTCCGTACAAAATAAAAAAAATATTTATGTGACAGAAGACTTGGGTTTGCTTTCCTCTAACAACTACATAGAATTTCTCAGTTGAACTGGAATGAAATCGTTGTAACATATTTGAATATCTTCAATTGGTTAATTGAAAACAAGTGAGATTTGAGTAAACTTTGATTTGCTATGGCTCTAATCAAAAGTCCCTGTGGTGTTTCTAAAGTACCATGGTGCAATTTTTCAGAACTTATTATGCAACGTTTGACTTTTGTCAATTTGAAAGTATGATGCTGACCCCCAATATTCTATAAACATACCAACATATAGGTCTAATGATTATCATGTATATATATTAATTTATTTCAGTCTTTGGTAACAAGTTACTTGTCAGGGGGTGTTTGAGCTGTCAAAATCGATATTTCACCAGTTTAAGGAAGTTGCTGATGTTTTTACCAAGGGGTCTTATTCAATTCTTTTATAGTGACATTCGCCAAATTTGATTTGTTGATGTATATTATTTTTCTTTTCTATTAATGTTCACAATGTTTGTTGATCTTGACATTGGCTACAAACCCCAAGAGAAAATTTCACAACTTAATACATTTAGTATGTCTAATGTTCAAAGGTTCTGTAGTCCTATGAATAATTTATGTTGTTACAGGAAAGAGTGATGTTTACATTTTTCTTTGAAGTTTGTTGTGTAGATTAATGTTTAATTTTGAGTGGTACTGTTTTTGGTTGATTTTTGACCAAATCCAGCAACGAAGATGACAAAATGCCAAAAAGTCGCTGACTAATAGAGCACAGGAGGCACAAGGCAGAACAAAATGATTGGAAATGGCAAAACTACAGGTTCATCACCCCACAGACCCCCATGATGAAATCTCACAGTTGGATTTTTAACTGAAAATCTATTACTCAAACTAAGGTATTTTTTGGATATTACACAAGAACAAAATTAGAAAATAAGAATTCTCAAAGAATCTCATTTGTGTGCTGACTTGAGATCATATGTTTCACAGGTGTTATTTACATATTTTCACACTACACAATTAGTAATAATGCAGTAATAGTATCTAGATGGAATAAACATATTTTTTTTTAATTAATGGAGTGCAAAGTATATAAAGATGAACATAAAATTTTGAAATATAATAGAAATTATAATGGTTTTTCTTCTTCAAAATTAAAACAGAAAAAAATTCAAGCCAAGGATTTGCCCATGGAAGAAAGATTGAAACACATGAATTTGCAGCAAGAAAATCATTTGCCTCCATCGTATTTTAGACCTCCCATTCCTTCTAGGAATTTGAAAAGGAATCCTAAATACATATCTCCTGGGAAACAAATGATACCTTTATCGCACAAAATGCTTTTACAAGGTGAAACACCGCTTTCAATGTGTCAGAAGCCAACAGTCCCTCCTCGCAACATAACATATACAAGACCGTGCCAACCAAAGTTAAAAGAGTTTCCAGAACGTTTTGGAAATGTAACTGCAAGAGTTTTGAGGTCTGTCAAAAAAATTGTAACTCAACAAGAAATCATTCAACCGCTAAATCATTTTAATAGGAACGACATTTTAAAATCAGATCGAATTAAGTCAACCCATAAAGACAGGGCTAAAAAAGAGAAAAATACTTCACGATTCTCACCTTCTTGTGAATTGACGCCGGCACCAAGCCCTGAATTGGCCAAACAATGGTTACACTTGTTGCCTCGCATATGGGTGGCCTATCTGAGAGATGCTAATAGAAGATTAAAATACATTTTAAAAAACTCAAATAACAAAAACAATCATTAAGAAAAATTTGTTGATAGAAGTGTTTTTATTGGCCTTTGTGATATACTAAAAAAAGTTTAAATCACCCAATTATTATTATTATTATTTTGTTGTTGTTGTAGGATTATAAAATAAAAGCTAATTATCTTTTAAAATTTAAATAAGATATTAACTTCTTGCTCATCAATGACTTATGAATGATCCCTATTATCAACTAAATGCAGAAATATTACTTTATTATTTAAAGATTAACTTTGAGATCTGGAGTAAGAAAATGTGCTAATTTTCATTTCACTGGAAAAACTATCATTATTTTAAAGCTCAGTTTAAATTTTAAGTACAACAGCAAATCTCTGAAGATTTTTTATAGCACCAACAATGTAATTAGTACAACCATAATCAAAAATATCAGGACTTTTGTGATGATTGAGTTCTTTTACAACTTAACACTATTTCATTAATTTAAAAATAACTATCTTTACATGTTGAGGTAGTCACCAACTTACTTTTTAATGCAACATCAAGTCATCAAATCAAAATGAAAAACAAAAGTTAAATGAACATTTCTTTTTATAGAAATTTTAGTTTGTTAACATTTTGTGGATAGTTGTTAATATATTAATAAACAAAAATTACAAGTATGTTCCATATGGCATGTTTAAATTCAAATACTTTTACTTGAACACAACACAAAACGCTTTTATGAAATAAATTCAAATAGGACACTAGTTGTGATTAAACAAATAAGACAAAAACAGAATCAAATGATATAATGTATCCCAGGTCAACCCCTCGAAGAGATGGTTCAGATATTGCGGAAATAATTCATGGAGGAGGTATGTATCCAAGAAGGAACAGCCCGCAAATTGCCCCCCAAACACCTAGCATCAGACCGGATTTCCGTACATCTCGGCCAAATACTCCAGCAAGTGCAAGTCAGCAAAGGGCATGTAGATCTGGAGCGATTCCAAAAACTACTAAAGTATCAACGCCCTCTGTGAGAAGAACCATTGAATCTCAAGTTGGTACTGTGAGAAGAAATAAGAACAGGCGACCTGCAGGAAGTACTCCGATACCTGGTTTTAAATACCACCCACCAAAGAAATTTTATGAATCTCCATTGAAACATTTTGTACACCGTGATAAACTCACATATAAGAGAGCACGGGAATGGTTGGCCTATTTGCCCACATTAGAAAAGTATTATCGCAAGAGAATTCAAGAATTTCCAAACATTAGACCGGAACTTTATGAAAATGAACAAAGAGCAAGAGAATCACAAAGTGAAATGGATTTAAATGAACCAACTTATTCTGTGGATGCTAGTGGGAGAAAAAATGCCACAGGGTGCTATAGGAAACCCCACCATGTTGAAGAAGCACCAAGTGAAGAAAGCTTAATAACACCAGAATCAGCAAAAATTCCATTTCAAAATCCTAGGACGCCAATACGGCAAAGAGTTAAAAAAGTTCATCAAGATGGAGGTACCCCCAGAAGAATGCGTTCTGATATTGAAACATGTGCAGCTAGGAAACACGCTCAAGCTCAATTGTTTCATACAATTAGAAAAAAATGGGCAAAACCGAATTTGGGAGATTACAAAATCAATTTTCCAGAAGATGATGATGTAGAGTCCTTGAGTGTAGACGAAGAGATGGAAAATGAACTGAAAGATGAATCGAGTAATTGGTTCCCAAAAGGCTCACCTACACCTTCCTGGGCCCAGAAAAGGTGGATGGAAAAAATTCGTACAACACGGCTACCCAACCTGACTTGGAATTGTACCAGGACGTATAATCCGGATTACCCACAATGGGCAAACAGAGAGGTGTTGGAAACTGTAGATGAAAATTCATCACAAATAGATGATGATGGGGAAGATTATGACCCCCGATGTGAGATTGGTTCAGATGATGGCAGCAGTTCATATCCTAATTGAGTCTTGTCATTTCATAACTGTGTTTTGAACCGTTACAACACAACAAACAACAAAACAATAAAGTTTTAAAAAAGGGTTTAAAAATATTCTTGACACTTTGAAATAATAGGTTTAAAACATAAATATATGAAGTAATTATAGTTAGAAAATCAGTTAAATCATCCCCAAACTGATCTGAAAATTTTTACCAGTGGGTTAGTCTGTGATACACATTTTGGCATGATGCCATCTTCAGACAGACACACTATTACTTTACCAAAATGATAGGTAACGACAAATTTACAGGTTTATCACAGATAAATTTCATAATTTGAATTAATCAATCATTATTTATAATTTCTTTTATCAACTAAATCAAAACTAAATATTATTTAACAAAAATAATTTCAATCCATGCCATGTGTCACACTAATATTAAAAATGTATTAATAAAACTTCAATATACACAGATTTAAAAAAAAATGTGTTTTATTTCTAAAATATTTTCTAAAATATAACAGAGATGCAAGTACCATGTTGACGTTTGCTAAATGCAGTAATAATATTTTTTTAATATTTTTTACCACACAAACCTAATTAAGAAAATTTACAGTTTTGCGTGATTTTTTTGTTTTGTTGTAAAATAACTTATTGTAAGTTTTGTTGTTCTGTTTCAAGGTTTGGTGACAAGTTTTTCAATTCTTCTTTCTCTTCTACTTTTTGCTCTTCTTTCTCTTCTTTTGGAGATGTTCCATTTTCTGTTTGCAGTTTTACATTGCGTTTTGGGTTTCGCTTAATGTAATTGCAGTCAACTCTCTTACATGTTGTCCGATCGAGTATTTCTTTCTTCACTTTTTCATAAAGCTCTTTTTCAGCTTCTCCCTGAATCTTTCGCCTCTGTAAAATCTTTTTACTTTGCTTTACAGTCACCGGTTTTTCCATGACTGTTTCAACGACTGGTGGTGTCAACATCTCCCAGGCCTTCTTTTCTTCAGGCCTCTTTATGAACGATGAGTGTACTCGTGGTAAACCCAAACCGCTTGGTTCACAAACTGGTGTGGGATAAAATATACACTTAGGGTCTCCTCTGCAATGCCTCAGTTCACAATCTGATTGCAAACCATTTCGTTTGAGACATGCACAACCTTTAATAAGATCACTGCCCCTCAATTCTATAATTCCTGGAGGCCGAGGATAAGGGATCTAAAACATATTTTTTAAAGTTAACAATTTTTTTAAATTAATCAAGGCGTAATTACAGAAATGTTTAATACAATTTTTTAAATGTTTTTTAGGCTAGAGTACAGAATTATAGTAAAATTTTGTCAAGTCTGAAAATTTTTGCTGGTTGTGTCAGTATAAACTTAAAAAACTATTTATATAAACTTAAAGGAAACAACAAAGAATACAGCACACAGATCAACCCCTGGTGATGGTGAAATGTCAAATGTTTCAGACAGAAATAGAGGCAGATCAGGATGATTTATGATAATGAAGCTACGGGTGTAAACTTCATCGCATTGTTCTAAAATTTAAAAACAAATGTATAATTACTATTTTATAGAACAATTCAATTTCATTGTAATTCTGTACTTAACAGTAAACAGGGTTTATACAAACCATTGGGTGCAAATCAGGATGGTATTTGACATACTCTGGAGCAAGACTTCCAGGTATGAGTTCAACTTTATCCACACCAAATTGGACCTGGTTTTTATCGCTGGCTTTCTCTTTTGAAGGTGCATGCTTTTCCTCTTGACTCTCTCTTACTTCCTCTTCAGACTTTTCAACAATTTGCTTGTCAACACTCTCTCTACTGCTTTCATCTGAGTCATCATCGCTCTTACATGTACCCCTTTTTAAAGCAAAATTAATAAACAAAATTATTAACAAAATTAAAAAACAAAATAATTCAACTTCTGGCAGTTGAATTATTTAATGCCAGAATGAAGTCATTTCCCACTAAACCTAACAGAAAAAATATCTGAAAATGTTACCTATCATCAATATTTTCAAGAGTTTCAATTATATTTTTAAGTGAGCCAATCAGAGCAGAATTGAATTCCTCAGGCATTTTATTTTATTTTATTTTTATTTTGTAATTTTTTTGTTGTTACATAAAATTTTCCATGTGACATATGAATAAATATGCTTGTTTGTAAGAATGTTTTATCCATATTACTTTTGACTAAAATGTATTTTTTTATGGAAACTTTTTTCACATGTATGAAAATAGCAATGAAATGAATCATTTTTAATGTATCAGAACAGTATCACTTAAATTGTTGAGCAAAAACAAATAAGTGATAATGATGTTGCAAAATGAGTAATTTATGTAGAGAAGTGACGAAATGCAGTCAAATCGTTTGGATTTTTTTTAAATCACTGTAATAATTTTTATTACTTTCTGAATTTTCATTGCAATATGTATTACAACCTGAAGGGCTCTTGTAATTGAGTCACATATGAAATTTTAATAGCTTATCTTATCTTTTATTTTGAGTAAATAATTGAAATTGTATAGGTGTCATTTAAGATTGTAAGATTGGAAAAGTTTCATTTGAAATTGTAAAAGAAAATGAGAAAGTATGGGACAGTTTTATTGTTTATTATAGCCTTCTCTATCTTTGTAATTTTATTAGTAGGCATCCACCCACAAAACAAAGGGTAATAAAATCCACAAATATTATAATTTATACTGTAGTGTTTAAAATGTAATTAATAGATTGTGTTATTTAGATTTATGTGTTAAATTATTTTACTGTAGTTGATTAACTGATAAAGTAACATACTTTATTTTTTGTTTGGAGGGGAAAGTAGTGACAAATAAGTTTCTGTGCTATAAGTTTATTATTATTATTATGCTGTAATTTTATCTGCAAACATAAAACAAAATTAAGAACAACTTTAAAAATATCAAAATTATTTTGACTTTTAACATAAATCCTGCATAAAGTATGTAAAACAAGTTTTCTGGAGGAAATTAATAAATACGAGCTGTAATTTTTGTACGAAATACTCCCACATCTAATAATAAATAATACACAATTGTTACTTTTTAAATAAATAAAATGGTAAAGTATAAATTATTGTGGTACCACTACCAGTTGATGCTACATATAAACATTAAGCTGAATTCGTTAATTTAACTAACTTCAACAAATTGTAAATAGGTTCTTTATATTTGGGCCACACACGTTTACACAACACTTAACTTAAATAATAGAAAAACATAAATAACCAGTTGGTTATTATTTTTTTTTTTTAATTTATGGTTAGGTTATTTATGTTTTTTACTTTACACAACTATGAAGTAAAAACCTTAAACTCACCTACAAATCTTGTTTTATTTTTTCATTGGTGCAATCAATTTTTTAAAAATTATTTTAGATTGATTAATACTGAAAATATATTTTTCTTTCTATAAAAATACTGTAGTGCTTAATGCATCAATGAGGATTGAAACATATTTTCATTGCTGCATAATAAAAAGTAAAAACTCATTCTTAACCAGGATTTTCTGTTTTCAACTTGTAATGTTAAGAAACATTTTTTAATGTTTATTCTCTTTTTTTGGGGGGGAGGGTTCGCATAGCAGAGGGCATATCAACTCCTAGGATATGCTGGTGTTTTTGACCCGCTTCACAAACTCTCCCCTTCTCTGTCTTGTATTTTATAAACAAAAAGTATGGAAAATGATTTACTAATTTATATCATTATTTTTAGGGAGGAGCTAATTGGAGATAAATCCTTGGTTAAACTACTGACAAAAAATACGATTGTTAATATAACGGAAGAAAGACAAAATATTTTTTTTCTCAAAGCACATAAATGTGCAAGCAGTACATTGCAAAACATTTTAATGAGGTATGGTTTCTCTCGGAATTTAGATTTCGTATTGCCAGCAGTAGGAAATTATATAGGTAATCCTGAATTTTTCAATGGTAAATTAATACCTCAACCTTTGAGATCACATTCAGGGAAATACAACATTTTTACTCACCATACAAGGTACAATTTTTCTGCTACCAAAGATGTCATGTATCCAGATTGTGCTTTTGTTACTATATTGAGAAATCCACCTGATTTGTTTGAATCATTGTATTCGTTCTATCATTTAGAAAAACTGACAAAAAGCACATTTAAACAGTTTATAAATGATCCGAAGAAGCACAAAAACTTAAAACAGCAACGATTTCTAAATAAGATAGGATTGAATCAGATGTCTTGGGACCTTGGGAACAATGAATTGGAAAATCTATCTAAAGCTAAAATCAAGAAGTTTATCAGGAAAATTGAAAGAGAATTCGACTTAGTATTGATATCAGAATATATTGAAGCCTCTTTAGTACTTCTTTGTGATCTGATGAAATGGCCGTTGAAGCATGTTGCTTTTTTAAAGCTCAATTCAAGACCAGTAAACATGAAGAATACTCTCAACGATCACGAAAGGGATGTAATTTCGAATCTGAATGCCATCGATACAGAATTGTACGACTTTTTCCTTGATAAGTTCAGACAAAAAATCCATGCATACGGTGTTGAAAGAATGGCGAAAGATGTGAAACAATTGTTGAAGTTGAACTCGCAACTGTGGAAAGACTGTGTAGAAAGTCCGAACAACAAAGGCTATGCCAGAACCTTAAATTATGACATAAGAAATAATCTCGACTGGACTTGTTTCTACTCGACTAGAAATGAGCTAACTTTTACTGACGAAATCCGTGATGACCAAGTGAGAAGATTTACAGCAATTAAAAAACTTGAAACTTTTATAGAAGGAGGCGTAGAATAAATTTTCAAATATTTTCCTATTTGAAAGTATGTCTATGAATCTCTGGTTTCATCGGTTAAGTTAAAGTAACTGTAATATATATTTTCATGTATTGTTGTTTGTATTTAAATTTATATAAACTTATTTACTTTAATAACAAAAATATGATTTGTAATACAATAATTTAATACAATGATAAAATGATATGGAAGTTTTGATGTAATTAAATTTGTTTGTAGCCAATTGTTGAATTTTAGGGATTAACAATTCAGATATTCACAAATCGTACAATAACTGTATTTAAATATTTACAAAGACATTCTTATTCTCTAGCAAAAATAAAAATACCAGATTAATCTATTGTTATTGACAATTATTTATCCTCAGTTTCCATAACAGTCCCGCTATAAGCCAAATCCCAATAATGTTCAACACTGTGCTTCCTCAGTTGTTCCCTAGCGAGTTTTTCCGTGGCACAAATTTTGAATTTCATCTCACCGAAATTTCGTTGCTGTTTCATACCCTAAAACACCAAAAGCAGTCATATTTTTCTTATATTGATTAGATTATTTTGATTTAAAATTATTACCTCCCATACAAGAACACATTTGTTTGGCGACTCATTACCATCAGCATCTTTGACAATGTCTTCTTCCCATTTAATTCTGTTGAGCATAAGCCTAAAATTGGAACAAATTCAATTAATTTTACAGATTTACAAATAAAAATGATTAATGTTACCTTTGGTAGGTAGCAGTTTGTTTTGGTCCTCCTTCAACGATGACAATATTGCAATCTTTATACATAATCACTGCCCCGGTCATAAGGAGTTGTTTGCAGTTAACTTCAACTTTGAATTTCTTAGACATATTCGTCAAATCCTTAACCCTTAAAGACAGATACAAAAATGAATAAAATGATAAAATGACACAACTATTTTAGTTATTACCTATAGACAGAAACATGCACTCCATATGTGGTGTCCTCCATAAGTTTCCTTCTTCGTTTGTCTCTTCTCTGCGAGGCAGTCAATTTACGAGCGGCATTCGCATCCTCATGCGCTTTGATTCGCTTTGCCATCTGAGCTTTAACATGAGCTTCCATTTTTGTCGGATCCTGAACTGCTTCAGTTCCCAAAGCTCTCATCAAATTAGATATCCGCAGCTGTAAATGCCATTTATCGATTCACATTATCATGATAATTGTTTTTACATTAAAGCTGTAGGTTATAAAAAATGTTCTTGAATAAAACTTGCTTTGGGTTCTGGCGGTGGTTCCAGTCCTAATCTGATCTTCTCTTGCTCTTCTTTCCATGCCTCCCTCCTATTTTGCCTTCGTAATTTCTTCCGCTCTTTTTTTGTAAGGAATACTGGCATGTAAACGGCTTTCATAATTAGAGCTGAAATTTTAATTCATGAGGTTAAGAAACTGTATTTTTATTTATAAAATTGTATTGTGAAAACTATGTGAGTTGGGTAAAATGAAAATACTATAAATAACTTACTTGGTGCTTTCATCTGAATGGGGTGCTCGATAAGATGGGTTATTGTTTCTTCTTTAATACGAGGTTCCTCGTTGTCATCACCATAACTGAAATTTAAGTTAATTTGATTACAGTTAAGTAAAAGTAAAAAAGTAAAAAGTAAGTAAACCTTAAGCTTATTATTAATGGGAAAAAGCATACTTTGTAAGGATGACTGAGTCCCACCACTCAATACGAGGGATCTTCTCAGGTCCGAAATGTACCTTGGGGGCAATTTGTGCTAATTTTGTTGCAGATGTAATGCCCGTTTTCTTGGCAATTTGTGAAATCTCACCTTGAAGCTTTTGCAGCTGAGCCTGTTAAAAAATGAGAAAAATGTTTGTAAAAATAAAAAACACATACAAGGCAAATAAGGTTACCTTCATTCTCATTCTATCGGCCATCTGTTGAAATTTGCCAGGTTCATGAAATCGCAACGCCTTTTTGTTTCTGACCATTGGTTTGTTTGTCAGCCTTGGATCAAAATATTTTGCCTCGCCTGTGTCTTCGACGGGCTTTTCCTGAAGCTGGGCTTTGAACTCCTCTCGTTTTTTGGCTCTAATATTGGCCTGTAAAGTGATAATTCCATTTAGAATATATTGTATTTATAAATGAAAAACGAAACGCACCTTCAGTGTAGGTACAACATGAGTGAGCTGAACCTCCCTTCCTGTGCTATCTATTGTTCTTCCCTCGCTGTCTAAAATTAATGGTGTTGGCTTGTCATTTTGCATTTGGGTCAAGTCGAAACCAAGAACACCACTGTTCAGCTTATTTTTTATTTGAGCCTAAAAACAAATTAAAAGTTATATTTTTATATTCTAGAAGAGAGGAAAATTTTTTTTGACCAAATGTTTTAAAATTCAGTTATATTTAAATTACCTGAAGCAATGCAATTTTTCTTGATTTCTCGTCTCTTTGCATTGCTGGACCTGTCTGAACCAAAGCTGAAGGAATTGTTGGCGTTTTTGGAACTGAAGTACCTTTAATAGCACTCAAAGCCCTCTTTCTTTCTTCAATCAATTTCTGGGCGTTTACCATCATACTTTTAATCTGAAATCATTCATCACCGTTTGATACAGAAAAAATATAAATTAAAAAAAAAATATTCACATCATTGTTAGAAAGAAGATCTTTTTTATCATCTCCTTTGGATTTCTTTGCGTCAACGCCATCACTTTCATCATAGTGGCGCTTCCGAGATTCTTTCTTCTGTGTTTCTTTGACAAAGTCGCCGAGAGAGAGAACCTTATCCGCAAGGCGTTCTGCTTTGTTATTATCCAATAGGGAGCCCAATTTCTCTGGAAAAGGAAAATCAAAATGTCTCATATTCACAACATAAAAAAAATTAAAAAATATCTTTTAAAGTATAAATAAAAACAAGATCAGTGGCAGTTTCCAAGTGCAAGAGGTTGGAGAGTAATAAAAACAATTTTCTGATTAAGAAGCAATGTATTTTCTTCACCCCAAAGTATATTTCATGTAGAGCCCTAAGTTTTTCTATTTATTTAATATTTCAATTCTCTTCCTTTTGAAGAACCAGCTATGTAATGAATGCATTCAACTCCTTCTTCTAAAATGCGACTGAACTTAGTTTAAATTTAAATAAGCCATTACATCAGGTAAAACGTTAGATGCATAAAATAGGATTGAAAGAAAACCAACATCAAAAAAATGTTTGTATGAACTTCAATGGTGATTAATTCAACCCCCTTTCTGTAAATATTGGGAGTATGGAATATTTTTGGGCCAGCTCAGTAAAAATTTTGGGGTTAAATATTTCCTTCTTGACATTTTATAAATAAACTCATACCAAAATTAAACAGGGTTGTTTTTTCAATGCGGATACTGGTGAATTCTACAACCCGACATTCATAAAACTGTGTATCCAAGTAATTTTGAATCACTGCTCTCCTATGGTCTAGTTTTTTTGGGTAATAGTACTACTGCTATTAAGGTCTTTAAACCCAGAAAATTTTTTTTTTTGCATTTTGAGTGTTGCAGTCAACTTTTTGTAATTAACAAAATATTGACACTAACCTATCTATACATTTATAGAAATACCATTTTCATTTTAAAAAATCAATTTTTTTTTTTCAATTTGATAATTATAATAGTCGCTCCAAGAATAATTTTTTATCAGGTCATAATAATGGTAGATGGTCTAATAAATGTGTTTCCCATATGGGAATTTACATTTTCAATGCTCTCCCTGCTAGTATTAAAACAATTCATGGTTTGCAGGGGCATCTGTGGCTGCAACGATTTAGACATTGACACGGCGCTCATCACTGTAAGGTAAAGGTCCCGGGTTCGAACCCAGCGGCCTGCATTTGAACCCGACACACTTACAAATGAGAGCTTTTATTCAAAAAACCGGCACCCTGAGGGTTGATATGACCTTTGCTGTTGCGAACCCTCATTTAAAAAAAAATTAATGAATGGTTTGCCCAGTTTTAAAAGGGCCTTGAAGATACATTTACATTGTCCGTGGTCGCATCAGTTTAGGCGTTGACATGTTGCCCACCTCTGTAAGTTAAAGGGCCCGGGTTTGGATGGCCCTGCACTCAAACCCAACATACTAATTTTTTTCTTTTTCCAAAGCACCGGCACCCTGAGGGTTCATATAATAGTTGAAATGTCCTGATATTACGAAAAAAAAAAAAAAAAAAAAAAAAAAAAACGATACATTTACAGGGAAAATTGTATTACGGTCTAAATTATTTTTTTTGTTCTTCAAGGCCATGATGCTGTATTGTGATAACTATGTAATTTTTTTTACAACTAATTGTAATAATTTATTTGAAACTCGACATGTCTACATACAATGTATAATATGACAAAAAATCATTCTAATCTATTCTAAAGAGTCGAAAAATGTGATTGCCATATAATGGAAAGAAAATCAAAATGTCATTGCATACAGATATGGAATACACAGTCTATGATGCTGTTGGGATTTTTTAAAATTAATTTTCAAATCTTTCTTAATATTCAAACAATATTTTTTATTACAATTAAGGTTTTTTATTTGAGATAAAAAAGTAATGGCACGAGCGGGTTTCGAACCCACAATCTTCGGCTTGGTACGCCGCTGCTCTACCACGTGAGCTATCATGATCTCCCGTTCGTGCCATTGACTTTTTTATCTCAACTAAAAACCTTAATTAATTGTAATATATTAATTGGTCAAGCGGACCACGAAATTAGTGAATTTAATATTTTTTATATTCAGGAATTAAGAAATAAGCTGATTGATTGTAGTACAACCATCGTTGACGGCATGACATTTATTTTGTTATATTTCCTAATTTAAACTAATTCTTATCACAAAGCAAGATAAATGTTCCAGCATAAAACAAATATCGCTTTTCATACCAACTAATGAACACAAAATTTTTGTACAAATTTATACCTGTTGTTTTTTTCTTGTCGTAGCCAGAAGAGAGGCAAGTTAAGGCCGTTGCGGCCAACACCGGTTCGCTGAAACCTAGGAACTTCTCGACCAGCCGGTCCACCTTTGCTTTAAGATCAGTTCCTTCTCTTTTCGCCATGGTATTTGTCTTGAGACCTGCTGAAAAAAAATAAACGTAATCTAAACGTTTCTAATTAAAAAAAAATAAAATAAACAAATAAATACATAAAATCTTTCATTTTATTGGCATATATATATTTTTTAAATAATTCAAGCAATTAAAAAAACTATTAAGCGTATTATAATCGATGATGAGACTCACCTCTGTTTAAATCATAAATGTACTAATTAAAACATTTGGGGTGCAACCACCGTTATGAACACATGGATTTCTTGTTAACCGCACAGATCAAAAGCGACCGAACTTATTAGCAATATCATAAAAATAGTGTTTAAGATAGTTTACAAACTTCTTAGCAGAAAAGGCTGGAGGTGGAGATTAAGCAGGTTCTGCAATGATCTTTTACTTTGAACACTTGGAGCAGTTGGAGCGCCGGGGGCTAAACATTGCAGAACTTCAATGGTTAACCGGTGGAAACTTATGAAATACATAATAACGTAGACAATACTTCTGGTTAACAACTCATTTATATATTTATATAAATAATCCATCTAAACAGAATAACTATTCATTATACAAAAAATAATGTATGTGATGAATTGTTTAAAACAATACCTAACAAAATAGAAATAAAACCAATTGGGTGGAAAAAAAACACGCAGTACCTTCATTGGGCTTTCGAACACTGAAAAAGTTAACATATATGAACATCTATCGAAAACATTGAAACCATAAGTTTCTACTATTATTAAATTGTAATTTAAATATTTCGAATTCTCTTCTGAATGTTCTTCAAAAGCTCGTCGAAGGAACTCAATATTTTTTCTAACTGGCTTCATCTTTGATAGTGTTTTAATCTAAAATTATAATATTGAAATATAGTATTAATTAAAGCTATATTGTATAACACTGAGACCTACAAGGTGATGAACCTTTAAGTTGGTTGTTACAGGTCATTTAGGTCTGTCTATCATCGCAATTTTCCCTTTAAATCTATATTTATAACAATAATGATAAAATTGAAAGGCTTAAAATCCATGATATTGATAAATAAAACCCACTTTTTGCTAAAGCCCTACAGAAACAGCCTCCCGCATAAATAGAGACGATTAAAGCTTCACGAGGAATTATAGGAAAAGTTTTACAGATGCCTTGCCTTGACCCCAAAATTTAGATTGGATAAGAAATTTCAAATTCAAATACACAATATTTACACAATAAATACATAACTGGGAGGGGATCCAGCTAAGATATAAAGGGATCCCAGTTATTGCGGATGTATGGTTTATAGATGACTCTAAGACCGAACGCGGGTCTGAAGCTGGTATTTGGAAATAAACCAAGGACTACAATTCATATAAGCCTTGCCATCATCACTGTATTTCAGGCGAAAACTGTGGCCACTAAACACTGCCAGGGATCAAAGTCTAGGTATCACCAACAAAAGAATCGCCATCTACTCGGATCTCTCGGTTCTAACTTACAGAGCCGTTTGGGACAGCACCAAAACCCGTGAGCCATTAGGGAAAATTAAAAAATTACGCTCTCAACGACAAGGTCGACACATCGACCAAGGAAAGTTCGATGAGGTCTATTGGCCTCGAACCCTCTTGCAGCATACCAAATTGCTAAAAACGTACTTCAAGGAAAAGTCCTCGGCACAATGTGATTGTATTTCAGGACAGAGGCATGTGAAGTACATTAAAAGTTCATCAAAGTACCATCGCACAAACGGCATAACTCTAAACCGTCAGGACTAGAATAGTTGGACTGCTGACAGGTCTCAGTCTGACAGTCTGCAGACTCCGAAGGCATATGTATAGGCAGATATGGATAGACTCGGATCGCCTGTGCTGATATTGCCAGGATAAAGAACAGCGGAACATGTCTTCTGTTTGTGCGAAAGCCTGGGCAGGCTGAGATCCTACTAAAAAGTCAAGGCCTGAATATCACATGGCAGCCCTTAAAAGCTTTGGCATCTGATAAAAAGCCTTAACCTTAACAAAGAGCTCTAAACAATAATAGAGTTTGCACAATAGAATTCGGTCGTGGTGGTCTTAAAGAAGCCATTGTGAGATTTCTCCATGTTAATGAACCTGAAGTTTGGTCGATAGCCAAAATTTTGATTTATTCTGCTCAGTTTGGTCTGTCAGACGCGTTTCGGCATTTAATTATTTTCAGTACTGGGTCTAAGTTACACCGTAGAATAGCTTACCAAAAAGGTCCGTAACGATCAAACTATGGTTCTGTTCTGCCTTAATCTTCAAGATTATAAAATGGAAAGTGAACAATACTTACGGAATTTTCCCACTTTCTTGTATGTGTAGTATGTGTCACTTAGCTAATTTAGCGATGTGCCTTTCCAAAATGACATTAGTCAGTACCGTTTTTGGACTGTTCACGCTAATAGAACGTGTTCTCGTGTTAATTTTTATATTCATTGTTTTGAAACGATAGTCCAAGAGTGAATGGTCAGGATTATGATTTTCTTCAATTCTTACCTTTTGACAAGTAGGACGTGTTGACAGAAGGAATCTCTTCTAGTCTAGACCATTTTTACACTGTAATTCAAGGGTCATTGGCCACTTTGGTCTTCCTGCTAGAAACAGTTTTTTGAAGTTTCAATCATTTTAAACTTGGAATTTTAGTATAGTGTTATATTTTATATTTCTCGATCTATTTGTTTACTTTCTGCATACTCGGCTAGTCTAGTTCCTTCGACCACCTTAAATTAGAATTCCAGTTAACCTCAGATTATTATTCTTTCTTGAGCACTCCTAGGACTGTGATGCTAAAGGTACAAGAACGCCGTAATATTGCAGATTTCCTGAAGTGACTAAAGAGCCTTTTGCACTGCCCCTATTATTTTGAATTATTGTGCTTCTATTTTGCAACCACTAGCTCACTATAACTTCAGGCTTTCCCTTATTAAGCCTTCACAGTTATAGTAGTAGTACTGCGGTTTCGTCCACTTCTTGGCACAACGTACATAAGTTAAATTTTCTTCAATTTATCATTTGGGTGAGACTTTCTTGACGAAGTCTTTCGTCTATCCTGGGGTTGAAACTCCAGGTAGGAGCGAGCCTTTAATTTAATATTTTTTGTTATTTGAAATTTTTCAGAAGGGTTCGAGGTCTATCAGAGTTGAAGGACGCTACCAAAAGTATATATAAATATAGAAGCAATAGAAATGATAAATGATGGAGTGAGTGTGGTGTTCAATCCTTTTTAAAAAGATAATTCCTACTCACAGTAAGTTGTTTTGCAACGATCCGCATTTCGAGCCTTTTAGCTCATCATCAGGTTGAAGGACTTCTACAACCACGTCTCTCGACATGAATTGCCAGTGTCGTCCTTCAACCTGATGATGAGCTAAAAGGCTCGAAATCCGGACGTTGCAAAACAACTTCCTGTGAGTAGGAACTATCTTTTTAAAAAGGATAGAAGCAATATTATTGGCAAAAATGGATTTTCCTAGGTCTTTAAAATTTTAAATGAAATCGGTGGAAAGAGTGATTTTTAAATAATAAAAGCCTTTTTAATAAAAGAAATTATTTGACATTTCCAAAATTACTTGGTCTATGTAACATTTACAGAATTGAATGATATTGATTGAATAAATAATTATATTTTTCAGAACCTGCATTTTTGTATGCCCATTGTAGCTTTGTATTTGTTAATTTAGATTATCCTGTAGTTTCAATTTCTTTTAAAAACTAACATCTATTATGTTTCTAGATCAACATAATAGATGGTTGCTCAGTCGATTTTAAAAAGTAGAGTATTATGTACGTATTTATTGAATTAACTTTAATATAATTTTAGGATAGTATATTATTTAATACAATTTTGGAAATTGTATGTTTTTACAAGAGATTAAATACAACAGAACAAAAAATCGAGATGGTTTTGGTTTAAGATCATACATTCTTATGGTATTGATTGAACGGGATGAGAAAGGTGGATATCACGCAACTCGGGTGGACTGCCAGTCTGTAGGGCAGTGGGTAATATTGATTTTATAAATCCAGCGAGTGTGGATGTGAAATTAAGGACGTTCCAGGGTTTCGGGGCTCGGTTTAAGGAAGGATGTCAACCGGGTTGGATGGGTACGGCGAGAGTATACCGATGTCACAGCGGGGGATGGCGAGGCCGAAGGTCGATCCTGACGCGCTCGGCGAGGTCGACCCTGAGGCCTACCCTCAACCAAAGGAAGCAACGCACAAAATTAGAGGAAAATCGGATATACTGGAAATGCTTTGCGGTGCCTCCGTCGACCAAGAGCTTTTGACTGTCAAAACCTTCTATTTCTTCTTTTATTCTGCGTTCGGATCGCTCTTCCCACTCATGGGCATATACTTTAAGCAGATGGGGATGAACCCGGGCCAGTGTGGATTCCTCATAGGGTCTAGGCCCTTCATTGAATTCCTATCAGCGCCCTTCTGGGGCAGTCTGGCTGACAGGTATTAAAAGAACGAACATCTACATTTTTCGCTTTTAAACTATTCCCCAAAGCTTTATTTCAATACTACGTTAGGAATAAACTGTCTATATCTATCACAATAAAAAAAAAAAAAAAATCAATAACAAAAAACCTTATAACACAAAATTATAAAACCTATGAAAATAATTGTTTAAAATCATAGGGGCTTGTTTCAATTTAAAATTTAATTTACACCCTTGTCAAAAAGACCAAAACAGCATTACTTAAATCAAACACTGGCTGTTTCTGTAAAGATTTCCTTCTTTAATATCTTTCAAAGATAAGATTGGTCTGTATTTTAAAATTCATAGGTAAATAATTAAAGACCAAAGAAGTCCAATTTCGAATAGTGCAAAAAGTCAAAAGAGGGCGTAACTGAGTTAATTATTCGTACTCCCGCCTTTTTAATTCTTGTGCGTACCCTCCCTCCATTTTTCTTCAAAATCGTCCAGTAAAAGCCTTTAATTAATTTGTTTTTAATTGTGCCAATATTTACAACAATATGCTTTTATTTGACCTAATTCAATAAATAATTGTTACATTACAATATGAACATTATAAATGAAGTTGTTTCATCTCCATTGTTTATTTATTATTTATTAAGCCCATTTCATTACAGTGGTTAATACAGATTAATTAAAAAATACATTAAATAGAACTAAATAATAATTGAGGAACAAACAGGATGACATATCTGGTACTATTTTTAAGGGAGAAATCAATTTTATTTGTTGGAATCACTTGGCAAAATGTAGTATGAATTATGGTTTAAAAAAATTTAATTTGGTTAATAATAATAATAATCTTATTTTACATAATGGTTTGGAAAGTTTTTAACCACCCTCTTGAAACTTTTCAGGTATCAACAAGGGAAAAAATTACTTCTGCTTTCGTTGCTTAGCTGGATCCTTTTCACTCTTCCACTTGGTTTTATTCAGCCTCCTGCGAAATCATGCGTCATTTACAATACGACTCATGTCTACCTAGGAACACCACAAGTCCATGACTTAGCTAAAAGAGAAGCCCCAAATTTTAATTTTGAAAATAATTTGGAGTCTGAACATCTTATCAGAAGGAAAAGATCGACAAGGATAAGACTGCAACCAGGAATGTCACCATTGGATTTAAAAGATTTTCATATAATTAATTATGATGAAAAAGAACAGAGTGGTTGGGTCAAACCGTTGTTTAGCTCGATTGTTTACAGGACACAGGTACAAAAAAAGAAAAAATTCAATTACAAATGTAGTAAATTTATGACAATTTTTTTTTGTTTCCCTAGGACATAGAAAAAGCCTTCTTCCTTCTTCTTCTGCTTGTCATAATAGGAGAATTTTTTAGTGCTCCTGCAATAACTCTAGCAGATTCAGCTGTAATTACTCTATTAGGTGAAGATGCTGATCATTATGGGCATCAACGGATGTTCGGCTCGTTAGGATGGGGGCTGGCTATGTTTTTTGTCGGTATTGCATTGGACCATTCTACAGCTTTCCCAGACCACCCTTGTACCCCTGATACCAAAGAGAAGAATTACACTATATGTTTTGCAACGTTTTCTGTATTGATGGGTGCTGCGTTGATCACAGCTACTCAGATCACCTTTAAATATGATCCTCCAGGAGAAACTTGTGAAGTAACAGAGAAAATGCCTCCACCTGAACTTACAAGAGAAGAATTCCTGCAGCAGCAGTTGGCTCAACAGCTCAATTTGCCAGCACTTGCAGACACATCAGGCATGCAAGTTAAACCACCACCAAATGTTGGAAAGGTACATAAAAAAAAAAATTGTTTTAAATAATTAAATATAATTAAATGTAAAATTTAAAGAAATAATTTTAACTTTTGTGTCAATGATTTTGGCACAAACTATTTGGAAAATAATACAACTAATTTAGTTTAAAATTTAAAGTCAGTTTTATATAATTTTGACTTTTATGATTATTTAAACATAATTTATTTATTGCCCTCGATCAAACATATATTTCTTTTTCAGTCACAAATGTTTGCTCAAACAATGAGAGAAATTCCAGAATGGGTCACTGTTCTCAAGCACTTTGCGAATCTCAAATGCGGCTCGTTTCTCTTTGTTGCATGGTTCATGGGATTTGGAATTGGACTCATTTTCACATTTCTTTTCTGGCACTTGCAAGATTTCGGTGGGACGCCGACTCTTTTTGGTGTAGCTTCTGTCATCAATCACATTTCAGAAATATTCGCATATTTCTTCAGTTTTAAACTTATTTCGCAAATGGGGCATGTGAAGGTTTTATGCCTTGGACTAGTTGGTAATGTTTTGCGTTTCCTTTATATTTCCTATTTGAAGAACCCTTGGTGGGTCCTCCCATTTGAGTTTATACAAGGTAGGTGAGAATATTATATATAAATATGTAAGACCCGGCTGAGAAAAAAACGTGTTTTAGGCATTACTCATGCTGCGGTTTGGGCTGCATGTTGTTCCTATATTGCACACAATACTCCTCAGCATCTTAGAAGTTCAGCTCAAGGTGTCCTTCAAGGTCTGCATCATGGCCTGGGAAGAGGTTGTGGTGCAGTTTTTGGAGGATTGTTGGTAACCTATTTTGGTTTGTAAATTCTTAATTGTTTAATAAAACAATTATTTATATCATTTAAATGTGTTGTTAATGTAATCTGTAATTTTAGGATCAACAGCAACATTTCGAGGTTATGGTGTAGTCTGCCTGTTGGTTCTTGGAGCTTTTATATTTATCAACTTCTACAGGAAAGATGAAGGTTTTGTCTCTGAAATCCCAGTAACTGAGGATCCCCGTCAGGTGGTGTATTTTCATATTTTTTAACATACTCTGAGATTAAATTTAAACTTTTTTATTTATTTATATATGTATTTCATATTTGTTCAGGTGGCAGAGGAAACAGCGCATTTGGCACCACACGGTGTACCAAGCAATCCGATGCCTCGAGCGTTATCCAGTACTAGGCTACACGAGCTGGCAGGGAATGAGAATCAAGGGTATGGTGCCACATATAATACAACTGGTGGCAATCTAGATATTCCAGGACAGTATGCTCCACCTCAACCACAGCCACCAAGTGGTAATCTTTGTCTTTGATACTGAAGATATTTTCTAAATAATAAAAGGATTAGGATTTTATTTATTTATATTTTTAAAGCAGGTATTACAAATCCTTTCATGCAAGACAATAGTATAGGAAGTGGTGGAGGTGGTAACTACAATTATCAAAACCACTATGTTCCTCAGCAGGAATCAACTATGATGCACCAATATCAAGTAAGAAATTTAATATTTCACTCTTATTTAAGCATATAAAATTATTGAGTTTTATTACACTAAAGTATATGGTACTGAAGTCTAAATTAAGTAGCTCATTTAACAATCTTGTTTAAGCTAATTTAAATTAAGGTTGTGAGGATGGGACTTTCGGTCAGGTTTTTTGATAGTATATATCTGTATATATATCTGTCCCGAATGCAGAAAAAGGCTGCTTGATATGTCCCCCTTACCAGCAATTCTTCTCTATATAGAGAGCGCATAGGAATACCACCCAATATGAGAATTGTGCTTGAGGATGACAGCAAGTATCCGGGTCCACTATTCTGATCCTTGGGAGACAGTTCTTTTATCATATATAGTATTGATAGTTTTGTGTCCCTTGTTTGTTAAGACTGAATGTATTTATTAGCATGAATGTGTTGTGTGAGAGAGCTAATGGCGGAATATTGACTAACTCATCAACCCTCAATTCGATTAGTTAATAGTTATATAATGTGTGTATAGGGTGATGGAGGAATACTGAGTACTCCACTACCCATTAACTGAGTGAATGGGATGTAAATAAATAAGAATGTATTTAAAAGTGAGTGAGAGGGTGTTGATGGGTTTGCATTTGGAGATGAAATGACCTAGCTGTTGATAGCTACAGGAACCCTGGGGTAGTTGATTCTCGAGGCCTACCAGTAATTTATTGTAAATTACACAAACCTGGAATTGCTAGGGGACAGTGAGAATAAGTTCAACACTGAACACATGTGTATGTATGAATCAGTAATCAGTAATTTAAAAAGGTCACTTATTATTATTCATTATTATTAACATTATTTAAATGTTAACAAGCAATATAATATACTTAAATCATATGTAATTATTTACTTCTTTTGTTCTTTTTTCAGCACTAAGTTGATGGATTAATGGAGTTTTATTTGAATTTTGTCCAATCTCTTTATGCCAACAACAAGTTCATAACACAGTCAGTCCTTAAACAACGAAAAAATATATAAATAAGTTGTATCTTTTGAAGAATAGCACGATATTTTGAACCACTTAATGCTTTCAATTTAGCCACAAGCAAAGGACATACTGAAGAAGTGCAACTATTGTACTAACAGAATCATTAAAAGTACAGAATCTTCAATTAAAAGTGTTAGTTTATTTTATGCAAAGCACCTTTTATCAATTAAGTAACATTATGTTGTAAATAATAATACCTATATGCTATTATTAATATATGTAATTGCCTAAATCTGCTGTATTATGGCAATGTAAATTAACAATAACTCGAGATTTCGTTTAATTGCAAAGGTATATATTTAGAATGTATGTGAAACACTAAACGACTTGCCTTTGTAAAAAATAATAATAATAAAATTTAATGCTTATTAGCCAACTGTGTTTTTTTGAACGGTATTTTCATGTTGACACATGTAAAGAAAAAATTGTACTTGAAACAATATTCATAAAAGCGTCGTTTAAAGCAATTTAAAGAAATATTGTGTAAATATGTTTTTAAATTAAATTTTAGGAAAAATTGTGATTTAAGTAGATACCAATAAGTTGAATAGTTTAATTTTGTAAACAACATATTTAGTGCCATTACCTTTTGTTGTGGTTTTGGAAGACTTGTGAAAGAAAGAAAATAATTTCAAAACCTTTGGAAACATTTTAAATCCTTCCAGTTTTTATAAATAATTTGCTAAATATTTGCTAAAAGGATTGAACTAATATTTAAATACTTATTTCTGGATAGCACATAATGATTAAAGTTTTACAAAAATAGAAAACATTTTTAGATAATTGTGTAATGCCTCAAAAGTTCAATTAATATGTTTTTAATTTCAATTTTTGTTCTCTAGATTATATTAGCAAGCGACACTAAAATACAAATTCAACCTTACAAAAATACACTCTTACATAAGAATTTGAAGTTTTGAGTTAGGCCAATTTTATTGCATATTCTAAATCAAGTTTCTTCATGATTTGATTTTAAGAGATGTAACTGTTGATACTAATGAGAAAAGGGTAAGGATGTTTTAATAATATAATGCAAACTGCTTTGCATTTGATGATGTAAGCTCTGATTCTGCCAGTGATGATCGTGTGAGTTCAATACACATTCCTATTCAAACACTAAATTGTCTTTGATAACAAAACATTAGAGTAATTGCAATTATGATACCAATTTTCAAAATTATAATTATATTTTCAATGAAAATACTATATTTGTATTTATGTGCCTTTTTTGTATTGACGATCATGAGAATTTAAAAAAAAAAAAAAATAATACCACAGAAATATTCTAAACAGATCGATGATATGAAAGAATTGCGTAGTCAAAAAAAGTTATATTGTTTTTGAGAAAATATAAATTGAATACATAATGACACACTCACATACATATACATAGCATCAACACAACACATACACACATACACAAAACAAGATTGTGATTATGGTACATATCAGTATTAATGCTTGTTACATTTAGTTATAGTTTATGTGATCGATAGTTTGTGTGATTGATTCAATTTAAGCATTTTCAATTATGCTTCTTGTTGTTTATTTGTTGTTTATGTTTGGATAATACAGTACTGATCAATGTGTATTAGAATTGTTTCCAAAAAATTTGATGTCAAAATACCAGTGCTAAAAAAATTAGAAAAACAAAATCCTAACATAATCTCTTAATTGATGTTTACAATAAACAGTAAGATGCAATAAATTTTAATGAGACAAATCATAGGTTCTAGATTTATTTAAGTTGTAAACAACTTATCGATAGAAATCAAGAGATTAAAAAGGCCTAAAAATTTGTAAAAATAAAAGTATGAATTTAAAAATGAATAAAAAAGAAGGGAAAAGAATTTGGTTTTAAAATTGATTTAAATTATTATGTACTGTTTCAATCTGTATGTCTTATATTTAAAATTTTTCATTGATATAAAGAATCAGTAGTTTTATTTAAAGAATAAAGACTTCCATATATTGTATTTATTTTATAAATTAATATTGGATATTTTCAGAAAAACCAATTATAGACATCATGTAAATTTATAAGTTCATTGAAATGTAAGCATTTATGATGTACATTGTAATGAATGTTGTTAATTATAGTATATTATAAATGTTAATAAACATGTGATGATGATAGTGTCATCACTTACACCAATATTACAGTTTTTTCAGAACACTTCCTGCTAATAAACTTTTCTATTCAAGCTCCCTTCAATGCCAGCCATTGTAAAACAGTTTTCATTTTCATTCCTAGCAACGAAAAGGCGGACAAAGTGACTAAGGTTGGGATGGCTCAACCTCCGGACTTAACCACCATGATCCGGCCCTTTGATGCTAAAAATATGCCATATTGTCAAAGAAATTCTTACGTATCAATAGTACTGTTGATACGTGGTCCTGGGAGGATCTGACTTGTAAAGGATCATTGTAACCTAATTAAAGATAGGCCATGTGAAGTTAACACACGGATACTCGCTTTTGGGTCAAACTTCAACTTTGTGTCTGACATGTAGAGTAAGATTATTCAGAAATTGTGAGATGCAGTCTGGTGTGATGCAGGTTTCAGAAAAACATTTTCTTTATCGTGCCAACATTTCAATCTTTATTGAGATTCTTCAGAGCCTGGGATTTACAAACATTGTTTAAATTTAACAAAAACATGTAGGATGTGGAAAAAAGTGAATTTATACAATGCAAAAAAATATTTTTTTATATTCAATCAAAGTATTTTATATTCTACTCACTCAGTGTTTGTTTTCTGCCACAATTACTCAGAAAACAAACACTTTGCATCCTACATGTTTTTGTTAAATTTAAACAATGTTTGTAAATCCAAGGCCCTGAAGATGATCTCAATAAAGTTCGAAACGTTAGCACGATAAAGAAAATGTTTTTCTGAAACCTACATCACACCAGACCGCATCTAACGATTTCTGAATAATCATCGACTAACGGTCATTAATCACCACACAGGTAGAGTAAGGTTGCCAAAACCAACTTAATTGAAGGGTTCCATATAGAGAGCGTATAGGAATGCCACCTGATATAAAAGTTGTACTTGAGCATGGCAGCAAATATATGGGGCCTCTGTTCCGATTTTTGGAGGAAACAGGGTTGTTTTATTGTATATAGTACTTCATAGATATAGTTATTAGTTCCTATTTTTTGTAATAATTCAGAGACATTAAAAAAATAAAGAAATTCAGTTGTCAAAGTTTCAGCTTCACTGTTTTATTTCATGTTATTAAAATTCACAAACAACTTTTACAAAAATAATACAGTTATACTTTTTGGTTGTCAGTATTTCAACTAAAATGTGGTTTATTTTTGTCTTCGGTGCACACATTTGAACACTAATCGTCTTCGGTAGAATCTGTAAATAATAAATTATTGAGGAAAATGTAAACATATAAAATCAAATTGGCAAAAAATTGCTGAATTTTATGTTTCATTTGTTATTATTTATTGCAATCAATGAACTGTTTACAATGTGCCCAAAACAATGCCAAAATACAAAATAATTCTCCCGACAGGCCATTGATATTGTTTCATTTTTATACTCAGAGTTGGCCTACAGTTCATTTTAATTGATAAAATAATCAATTATTTGCTCAGTAATTTATTTTTTCTTGTGTGAAACAGTGAAAATTTCATGCCCTAGTAGAATAAAGTATTGAAATACTTTTGTTAATTTTTTTAAAATTAATAAAATCGGAACTAAAATCACTGTAGTTACTATAATTTTTTTATTACCTTGATTTAACAGTATTAAAGCACAAGGGATCGACAAGATAAATATCAAGCCTACTAAATCTGTATGGAAGCATTCCGATATGGTTGGCAAAGGCTCCCTTTCTCTGCTTTGGTCTCCGAATGGTTCTTCATCCATTCTCCTTCTGAAAGTGTACACACATGTACACAAACAACACACAAACGTGAACAGCAAATAAATTCCATTAACCGAGATTATTTCATCATCTAATGTAGTTGTGTCCATTTCTTGGCCTTGAATTTATGTAAAAGTGAATAAAAAATGTTTATTTTCTTTGTTAAATATTTATTAAAAAATGAAACCATGGTTTTTTCTTTATGAAAAGTGTAAATGTTAGATATATTTCCACCCCTAATGTTTCCTCTATTAAGTAATAGTTCTATATAGTTATTTATTTATATATACTTATATATCAAAGATCCTTTTACAAGGAGTACAAATCATGAGGTTATAAACAAAATGTATAAAATAACAAGAACAAAACAACAAGAAGCATTAATAATAATAATAATAATCTATATTTATATATTTTATATAGTAGAAGAATTATATTTTATATAATAAAGCTATATTTATTTCAAAACAATCTATAATATTATTGCCTTTAATTTATGTTCAAATATATTAAAATTTTGATGAAAAAAATCAATCTTATTTCCTTCTCTTATGAATGCCTGGTAGCATGTATTGGGACATTGAAAGTATTTCATGAAATGAGGTCAGTACAATTTAGCCACCCATTGATTACATTGTAAAGAAAAACGGTTCTGAGGATGAAAAGAGAGGAAATTGAAAATGAAGGATTCTAATAAATTTGTTTTGAACTTTATCTAAAAATTCAGAATGAGAAGAAAAATGTAGATTCCATACAACAGTATAAAATTCAAGAAAAGGACAAATGAGATTTTTGCACAGTGTCAATGATGAATTGGGATTATGAAAGTTGAAATCCAGAATTTTAAGAGCTTTTTTATTAACAGTAATAATAAGTTTCTTAAATCCAAATTGCTATCAAACAAAATACCCAAGTCTTTGATGTGTTTAGTGTGGTATTATTGTGAGAATAATTATATATAGAATGGTGTTGGAACAACAATTAAAGGAAATAACTGAGAATTTATCTCATTTAAATTTAAATAGTTAATTTGACACCATAAATTAAATTTATCGATACATTGTTGCAAGAGAAGAGAGTCTAGATTTTATAGATAGGAAAATTTTAAGATCATCGCCACATAATATAAATGGTGTAGAAGAAAGAAAGGACTTAACTCATTTATAAATCTTTAAGTAAGGTATTGGTTGAGATAAAAAAGTCAGCGTCCGAGCAGGATATGAATCCACGACCTTACTTATGGAAAAGAACTTATTTGGTCAATCGGACTACGAAACCTGATCGAGTCATTTATAAAGATTAAAAATAATAAAGGGCCTAAAAATGATCCCTGTGGGACTCCACAGAACTGAAATTGGATTTGATTTAAATTATTTCTGATTTTGATTTTTTTAAAAATGGAATTGTGCCCTTAAATCCTACCCAGCAGCAATGCATAAACAATAAAATAGTAGATACATTGGGGAAAAAAAATAATAATCCCCCGCAGACTCTCAATGCGAGGAATGGTTAATATTTTTCATGATTTAAAAAAAAATTACTCAATAATATATTTCAATTCACGTTTTATAATAAATAGCCATCAATTGATGGAGGATAAATAATACTTAAATTCAATACGAATGGAAAGAATAAATATTTCTTTCTGCCAAGAAAACTTGTTTTTCAGCCTGCAGACAAAACTTTCCTGTAAAATATGTCAAGTAGTAAGGGATTTGTCATTTTTTTCACACCATGGCAAATTTTAATAGAATATAGTAGTTTTTTATGCAAATTTTTGTTTAGGCGATTTAATAAAAGAAAAATAAATCTTATGCATCCTCATATCGATAAAGTGAATACAATTTTTGGCGTTTTATCGAAATATATTGTTTCGATTTCGAGTATATAGCCAACAGTATAGTTCGCCTCCGGTATTTTTTTAATTTTTTTTTAACCTTCGCCTAGGTCAGGAGTGCAGGCCGCGACCCGTTCTCGTCCCTTCAGATGGATTGCTGCTTTAAGGGATGAGTAACGAGGCCCAAGTATTGGTCGTCGGGGCTGGGATTGCTGGGGTTGCTGCGGCCGCACGACTCCTGGAAAACGGTTTCGAGGATGTCCTCATCATCGAAGCTGAGGATAGAATCGGAGGAAGGATTCATACCGTCCGTTTCGGTAATTTTAAGTTAATTATTCCTGACAGAACGTTCTATAAAACGTTAATTACATGACCATTTTATGCCTTGATGGCATCAGCCCCTGAAACAAATTTTAATCTCTTAAAAAAACAAAAAAAACAAATATCTCTTTAGGCATGTTTTCAAAACAACATAGCCAAAAGAAAGATTAATATTTAATCGCCCCATTGTTCAACCCTTAAATGTCTAGAAAACTCACCGAAAACCAACTGAACAGCATATAGTCTGTGAAACATGAAAAACATAAAATGCTAGACATAATGGTGGAACACTAATAATACTATGGTTATGTGCGCACATTGGAACGCAGGGTAATGAAAAAGTATGTTAGCCAAAAAAGCAGTGACAGCGGGAGATCCTCAGCCCTTAAAATTTATTACAACAAATTCAAAGCCACATGCGGAAAAACTTGGCAAAAACAATACATGGTCACCAAAAGTAAAATATTACAAAATGACAAAATCGTTAATAACACACTATGGTTCAGTTCGTCTTTGGTGAGTAAAAACCAGTGCTGTACATCATACAGGCTGAGGTCAGATATAAACAGTACTTCAATAAAATAAACCTATCGAACTCCCCACAATGCAAATTTTATTCTGAAGATGACATGAAACATATAATTATATGCTATGAACTTAGGACATATAGGACAATTTTTTCAAACAAATTATCTCCCTAGGTGAACATCCATTTATTTACATATCGCTATTAAAATGTAACAAAGTAAAGGTATTTAGATAACAGAACATTATCTAAACACAATGCAGCACAAAGTTTAATATAGCGAAAGGAAGAGGTATGCGTCGGTGCTCTGGCATTATCGCCTCTGTCACTAACTATTTAAAGTGAACATGGCTTATGCCTAACGGCAAATAAAAAAAAACATTAATCGCTAAATTCTGTATTTTCAGCATTCATTGAACTGTCACTGGAGTACTCATTACGGTTGTAATATAAGTAATCCACTGCGGTTCAATGTGCATTCACTAACACGCAGATCAACACTCACCATCAATGTTAGCATTTGTGCAACTTGATAATTGATTTGTAGGATTCAGGGTCAAGAATTTTGACTGCTTCTCATGACTCCAACAAATTATTAAACAACATCACTAAAAAAACCACACTTTTTAATAATTGAGTTGATGGTGTTGGTCTGTGAGTAGTGAACTCGTGCTGAGCCTTCACTTGTAGGTTTGAGAAGTTCAACAAACCTGCAAGTGAAGACGGACCCAATAAGTGACCAAATGTTTAGGATATCATAGGTGACCCTACCTTTTTCTTTTCTTTTTCAAGGTGGTGGAAATATTGATCTTGGTGGACATTGGGTTGGAGGACAAGATGGAAATCCATTGTTCGAGATGGTTAAAGACCTGAATGTTCTAGTGGATTCAAAAGATTTCAGCAATATCCATTTTGTGCTCAAAGGGGGCAAGCAACTCAACAGTAAGATATCCAATGACTTATTCGCTTCAATCTCTGAGGCGTCGAAGGATGTCGATTCTTTAAAAAACTTTGATGGGAATCTTGAGGATTATTTTACATCACGGTATACAAAAACATCAATATATATTTAAAAACAAATAATACAACATATATTATTTTTACTTATATTGCTTCAGTTATAAATATGTAAAATTCTTTTTGCCAATTCTTCCAATTCACTTTCGTAAGCGAACGACCACAGCATAGGGTATTTCTTCATTTCGGGATGTTGTAAGATCTTTTTATGACTATTTTCTGGTATTATGGTGCGGATTTTGTCGTTCTTGCATTTGTTATTGGCATAGTATTTTAATATCAGGTCGTGAATAAATTCAATGTATTGGGGGTCAAGGGAGGACAAAGTACTGCAATTTTTAGCAGGTTCTCCTCCAATCCTGGCAAGATATCCTTCAGTTACTATTGGTATTATAAAATCCATCTAAAATAAAACATTAAGTCAAATGAATGTGAGGATTGTTAAATAAAGGTTGTTTCATAGCCTCTTCACACCAATAAGCTATATTTTTTGGCTAGCCCTCAAAAGGACAGTGCTATGTGGTGGGCTATCAGCCTTTACAATCTATTAAATTCAGCTTTTTTGGGTGTAAAATATTTCACATTTGTTCGGCTTTTTTTCAATTCATATGATAAGGTTTCACATTGATCGTACCTTATGGAAGTAATTAATGATAAAGTTTTCCGGATTGCTAAGCACTTTGTTTCTGTGATCGTTCAAAATAAGTACTCCAATTGGGTGAATATTTCCTCTCTTTTTTCTAAATACTTTAGCCAAGTCTCTTGCAATGTTTTCCCCGTCATCTGCAAACGTTACCATGACTTTCTTGCTACACTTATTGTTCTGAAGAAGAAAAAGAAGAAAAAATTAATATTGAATGTATAATCAAATATGAAGATTACTTACAATTCTATTTGATGTTGGTGCTTGTGATTGGACAGCGATCTCTGTAATAATGTTTTGACTTTTGGGAATAACTTTTGACAGAGTGACATCGTCAAAATTGGTAAACTTGGTCTTTTTATTTTGCTCCCATGTAATGTCTTTCAAAGTGATAAATGCTTTTTCCTGTAGATTTGTCAGAAAAGCGTCTACCGGTTTAATAATGAAATCGTCGGTGTAATTTGAATCTGGAGAGCAATGTTCTATATTTTCCTTAATCGCCTCTATTCGCAATGCTGTAAAAATACATAACGATACTTGTATGATTTCATGGTGAACCAGCACTGGGTCTGTCAACACTGACAGGTTTCGATGCCATTCAAACACATTTCAGCTTTGTGCTATCTTCATTAAGAAACCCTTGAGTATAAATGGTCCCACTGTCGGTTCAACATGTCTTCACTGACTCACAGACCAATGTCAACCATCAGTTTTATTATATATAGAAAGTGTGGTTTCTACTGTAACTATACATAACTAGGATTATTATTATGAGAAAAAAAACACAGTGCACACTTTCTGTCTTTGCGTTTTTTATTTAATAGTATAACACATAGTTAGGGGGACCGCGGTAGCCAAGTGGTTAAGGCATCAGACTCTCAGCTAGGAGAGTCAATTCGTTTCCCATCATCGTCTCTGGACTTTTTCTGACACTTGAGTGGACAGGTGGGGTCAAGTGAAAAAAACTGACACAGCACTCATCAATGGAAGGTCTGGGGCGGGATTGGATCTCAGCGACCCTGAATTTGGTCCTGACCCCCTTCAAAAATGAGTTTCTTCGATGGAAGAGCACTGGCTCAGCGAGCCAGGAAGGAAGTACAATAACCTCTATACTACAGCTGCAATACTCAGGGAGAACTCTAGTTCCTGGCATCCATTAAAAAAATAAATAAATAACACATAGTTGGTTTTATTATCAAATCAGCATAGAAAATTGAAACATCAGATATGTTATGCTGAAATGGTAGTAAAAAAAAAAGTTAATATTGTGTTTTCAAGACTTCCATACTAGCCAGAGAGAGATGAGATTTGATTAATTTGACTTTCATCTCAGAAAGTTGATCATTCATTAGGATTGGTTTACTTCTGAATTGTTCATTGGGGTGATAAAAAAGTAATCCAGGTCTTCACATTTCAAAACAACATTTATTAATGTTTAAAATCCACAAAGGTTTCTAAGCCGAAGCTGGACACTCACTACATAAAAATCTAACAAAGGTTTAGCCAACACTTCTCCATTTTTGCAACCAGCAACTGTCGCAGTCAAAAGCAAATTTAACTCCTCACTGAGCACTGTCCAGTGACTTACTCTTAACTGTAACTGACTCATTACTCAACTCCAGTCAACTACTGAATGACTAGTGATTCCCTTTTGCAAACATCCTCGGAGGGTTCTATGTGGAGCTTTCTTCCCCTGGGTAGCTACTACTACCCTCTAGCTTCACATTTTGTGTTTCTTGGGCTTTCCTTTGGGGGGATTCTTGAGCATCCAAGGAAAAAATGAAATATATTGATTCAAATTTTACATATCCTCATTCTAATCATCAGGGAATGTAATTAAAAGACCAGGGGTTACGGTGAGACTTGAACCCCATGAACGCAGGGTCTACGAGCCAAGAGTTTCTCACACTAATCAATTTGGCTACTTCGCTCCTCCATTCTAAAGTCGGATTATTTTAATGTTCCTGCGTGTTTTTTAATTACTATTAACTGATTTTACATTAATTTATGAAGGACAGAGAAAGATATTTTACAAAGCCCCTAATCACACAATGTAAACACGTAAAAATAAATACAAATAGAAGGTTTAAACAAATAAATAGCATGAATATAATCAAGTCTATTTACAATTAGTTTACCTTTTAAATGTTTTTGTGATGAAGTGATAGCATCAATCCTTTGAATTTGTTTTAAAGCTTCGACAAGCTTCCCTAAAGTAGAATCTTTCTTAAGCGCATAAGCAAGGAGCACGTTCTCTGTATAATCAGCATTCCTGTAATTTTCTATACACTGAAAAACATTCTCATGTAGAACTATAGAATTAAAGCCATAGAGAAAGAAGAAAACCAATACCCCTATTTGAAAGTTGCTTATGTCTAGAGCGCTGGCCAAATCTTTCCACGAATTGAATTCTATTAGGGTTGGAGTAGCAGACATAACAGTGCAAATCTCTTTGAGAGCTAGCCAGCCTTTGGGGTGGAACAGGTACGACGCGTGTATCTTAGAAAGTTGGTGTGCAAGAACATCTACTTGAAGCACCATATCTTCTTCGTTGTGATTTTCAATAAGGAGTGCTCTCAAATTCTCTAATTTGGGATTTCTAGGTGGACTATTGATGTGGTAGTGTACCATCTTCATTTTGCTTAATAAAACAAAGTCTTATTATTTTAAGTGTAGAATAAGATTTAATAATATTTAAGCCATAAGTATAATTAATTTAATACAAAATTTAAAAGCAAGAAATAGATTAGATGAAATTTGGTTGTGTTTTCCTTGTCAGATTTGTTATTAACTAACTAGGTCATTACGTCTGTTATATGATGTGGTTAAACCAATAAAACGCTATAAAATGTTTTTATTGTCTAATTTATTGATAATAGGTTTATAATTTGGAAAAAAGTTTAACTAGAAAGCAATTCATGTCAAGTGTTGTTTACATGAGTACTGAACCTTAATAACTGATATAATTATTTAATACTTACTGCCTTTCTGACTCATTCATATTTATTGTATTTTATTTGACTAAAGGTATAAATTTAAGTTTGTTTTTATGGGACAAGTATTCAGAAGTTAGTTAACTTAAGTGTTGAACTTGGTATTTAGTTCGTGGAGGTTCATGTCATTAAAACCATACCACTGTACTCCCCAATCCAAAAACATTGCAATTACAATTCAGTTTCCATATGTAACCTTGATTAATCCAACTCTCTAAAATTCAGTAAATTTAGGTGTTTTCTGTTGTTAATTAAAACTGATTTGACATTTCTACCATTAGGATAAATGGATAATTTTAAGTTTTGTACTTTTCAATTGGGCAACATAAAAATGGGGAAAATCACTTTTCAATATTTTTAAAAAGTTTATTGAATTCATTTTCTAGTCTTTTTTTTTTTTTTGCTTTTTTAAATTCTATTATAATTATTCTCTGTATGCAATGCAATTCTACACTTGATTTTGTATGACAGACCATTAATTAAAATGATGTTGAAATATGAAATGCAACTAAAAGTGAAGCTTTATTCAATAAGAAAATTTAAAATAATTCCTGTCATACAGGAGGAGGGCTTTACATCTACCCGTGTGTCACTTCACAATATATTTTTCATACTATCTCAATTAATAAACTTTGGGCTGTGCCCGAATAATAACCCAGAACTGCTAGCGTGACAAATTAGCCTTAACCACTCAGCCAATGAGACTTCCCAGAGATGGAAATTTAGACCTATTCAACTATGAGGTTTGAGCCAAGAATATATGCAATAAAAACACTGTTAATTGTTTGAAAATTTCCGAATTTGAATGTTTTTTATTGTAACCATTCTAATTGAGCACCAGAATTTTGCAATACACTGTTGCTAAATGTCAAATACAAAAATTGGAGAAAATTACAATTAGAGAAGTTAGAGAAGAAACCATCAAGGTGGATGTACCAATGGAATACCAGTTGACATTCCAAAAGTCAAATGGCAAGGCTACGACAAGAATTTATTGGAGAAATTCTTATTTCAGAGAGCTGGGATTAAACAGATTTGATATCATGAATATGATCCCAGTCAAGTTTTCCTCCAAGCATTTGCTGATGGTCTGGCGTATTGGCTAATAATGAGAAAGACTTTATTCATCTTTTAAAAATAGAAATGTGTGGTTGGGCACTCTCAACACGACATGCAAGAATGGCACAATTACACAGAAGACAAACACTTTGAGCCCTGAAGATGATCTCAATAAAGATCGAAATGTTGGCACGATAAAGAAAATGTTTTTCTGAAACCAACATCACACCAGATCGCATCTCACGATTTCTGAATAATTTAAAAATAGAGTTGGAGAAAACTAATATGGTAATTAATAAGAAAAAAAAACATGAAATTATTGAATATAGAAGGCTGCACAGGGTTGTGAGAGGTGTTTTGACAAAAGGGGAAAAGGTATAGCAAGTAATCAGCTTTACATACATAAGAGTGAACCTGAGAGAAGATAGAGGATTGGTAGATTTAGAGGTGAGGGAGATGATAAGTGCTGCCTAGGTTGTTCAGTTCAGTCAGGAAGGGCTTCTTCAAGAGCAGAAAGATCTCCAATAGCATCAAAGCCTCAATATTAGTCTATGTTTCTTCCAATACTCACATACTCATCAGACATTGAGTATGAAAAATAAAAGCTATAAATTACTGAGATGAGACTTAAGAACGATCAAGAAAAGGATTAGAAGATACAGGGTACATAGTATCACAATAAGGACCAGCCTGGGAGTATAACCAACGAAGGATAATATGAAAGAGAATCAGTTATGATAGTTTGGTTATGTCCTAAAGATAGGCTCTGACAAGATGGCTAGGTTGGCCTATGAGATGCAGGTTTAGGGACAAATGGGGAGTGGTAGACCATAGAGGAAATGGGAGAATGGTGAAGAAATTGTGTGAGAGGAAAGGAATTGCTTAGAGTAATTGAAGAGCACTGGTGGAGGATAGAGGATGGAGGAAGATATATAGGAAGGGAACCTCACACAAAAAGATGGAAGAATAGGTAGGTTTATGATTATGATGATGATGGATTTTAATACATCAGGACAGAATTTAGATCAGGTGGTACTACTTTATAAATCGGTGTATGTATGTACTTTATAAGTCTTAATAAGTCGATGGTCTTATTTTTTTGAGATTTTAGTTCAATTCTCCTTTACAAGTTTAAAAAAATCTTAGCTTTAGCCAGAACAACTGCAATGTATGCAGGAAGTTTTGAATAGTGGTTTTTGTATAGTTTTGACCTTGCTCCTTCAGACTCCAACCTCATCTGAGCACTTTCTTAACCTTTTTGGTGGTAGTGACAAGACATCTCGTTCAGGCTTGTATGCTCCCCAACCCTAGTCATGATCTATCTTGTCCTTGTGGTTTCTTTTTCTTTTGTTTTTAACTTTTATGAACCTGGCTGGACCTCACAGCATCTATTGGGGCTGAGGTATCCAATGAGTAGCAGACACCTAAGGATGTATAGAGACCTCCCAAATCCTTCCTTTCTTGTTTTTGTGAAATTGTGACATTTCTTTTTCTGAAAAACCATTCGGCCAAATCTGTGTCTCATGGGGATGCCCTATTTTTGTCCCCTTCTTGCCCCTGCTCTCCCAGTCTTCTACACTTCCCTATCATCTATGCAGTTGTTATTCTAATTTTTCACCTCTTTCTGCCCTGTGCCCTTAGTTTTAGCTTTTGAATCATTAGTTCTTTTTGGAATATATTTTTGTCTTTGCTATCTTTATATATTTTTTCCAATTCTGTACTTGTATATATGTAGACATTTGTGTGAAGAGTTGAGCTTAATAAATCAGTAATCAGTTATAAAATATAATATCTCCGAAGAATGGACTGTCAAAGTTTGAACAGAATTGGTGGAAATAAAATAAGTAAAAGGAACAATTCAAAGTGAATGTTTTGAAATTCGAAGCATAATACATAATAAATCAGGCTGGTAGGAAGGGGTTACATAGTGGCCCGAGTTATAGGCAAGCGAACGTGTTTTACCATTTTAAAGTCAGTTCCGAAAAGGTTAAGGAAAAACATTTATTATATGATGTGAAAACAGGAGTAGATCAATTTTCGAACTAAATCCAAGGAAAGGAATTGATTAGCTGATCTCTAGATAACTATTTACTATGACAGGATCTATTTCCTTAATTAAAAATAATTTGCTAGACTGGAACTATAAAATAAATTTAATTTTAACTCTTGAAATAATTCTCTTTCCTTACCTTATGATTTATAAACTTTTGAGTTTTATACCTATTAACCTAATTATTCAAATTCAATCCTACAGGATGTCCTCTAAGCTGGAAACAGTGACGTCTGAAGACTGGTTTCCCTCAGCATATCTTGATTGGATGGAACGATTCAAATGCCTTGAAAAGGGTTGTAATACCCTGAAAGAAGCTTCGCCATCCACTCTTTCACAGTTTCAGTTCTGTGGTGGATTGCAGAATTTGGTTTGGAAAGAGGGATTTTCCGGTTTATTCAATGTTCTTATGGTATCGATTTTAAATTGTCGTAAAAACTCTTCTCTGTCTAGCCGCAGTGATTTTACTTTTCAGTAGAAAAAACACCCAATGCTGAAAGGGAATGACAAATGCTTAACAGAGGATAATTTCAAGCTTGGAACTGAGGTGACAGAAATAAAGTGGTCTGGGAATCGGTTGGCTGTGAAATGTTCAAACAATAATACGTTCCATTGTGACCATGTCATTGTTACTGTCTCATTGGGTGTATTGAAAGAAAAAGTAAAAACTCTATTCAAACCTCCTTTACCATTCCTTCATCATAATGCAATTAATGTGAGTAATTGACTTAGTAAAATTTTGCTTAATATTTAAGGGAGTTGATTTTTATTACAAAAGAAAGCAGTTAAATGTAGATTTGTACCCAATAATTACTTAAAGTGTAGTGTTTATTTACAGGGACTGGGCATTGGGACTGTAAACAAGATCTACCTAAATTATACAAGCCAATGGTGGCCCGATGATTGTTCCGGTTTCTGTTTTCTAGAACCCAAGGATTCTACCAAAAAGCTCTCAAATGTTAGATTTTTCAGAATTAGTATTATTGAAACTGTGGGGTAAAGTAAGTCAATATTTTTAGGAAAAGACAAACTGGGAAAACGATATTGTCGGCTTTTTCACAGAATTTGGCACACGCAATACGCTTTGTGCTTGGGTAGTCGGAGGAGCGGCTGTCAACATGGAGCTATGCTCAGATGAAGAAGTTGCCAAAGCATGTACACGAGTACTTAATAACTTCTTGGGAGATAAATATGATATTCCAGAACCTAATCATATGACAAGGTAATTTTTTTATTTTGTATCTTATTTATTTATATTTTTAATTTTTTGATTATATTATTTTATTATTATATTATTTTTTCAGGAGCAAATGGTTTTCAAATCCTCATTTTCGAGGGTCCTACAGCTTCAGAAGTACAATAACAGATAAATTTAAGATTAATACATCTGTCTTGAGGTTTCCTGTCATTAACTGGGATAAACCGGTATTTAATTTTTTGAAAAATTCGTAATTTTAAAATCACTGTTAATATGTTAATTTTAAGTTTAATTCCGATCATTTCTGAGTTAGTATATTTATGCTTTACTTTGTTCTTATTTGTTTCAAATCTGAATCAATAAATATTTAATATCAATAAATACTAAAAATGATCAGAAATAAAAATGGTCGAATTGTACAACACAGCAAACAACCAAAAGCTAACATATTTATTCTTATATGTTTGGTCTACAGATGATTTTATTCGCTGGTGAAGCCACAAGTGAAAAGTTCTTTTCGACTACCCATGGCGCCCTTGAAACTGGCTTAAAAGCAGCAGATTGTTTAATAAATTTTTACAAAACGTAAATAGATCTTTTGTTTTCTTTTTGCATGTGCAATTTTCATTTAATAATTTATCTTATAATCGTTGTGAATTGTAATTTTAACTAAAACTGTTGTTATTGTTTTACCTTTCGTGATAACTTCAAAAAGTCATAAATTAACTAATTGTTGAGTACCTTATTTTAATTTTTTGTTTTATTTATGATACAATTAATTAAGGTTTTTAGTTGAGATAAAAAATTCAATGGCACGAGCGGGATTCGAACCCACGATCTTCGGCTAGATACGCCGCTGCTCTACCACTTGAGCTATCGTGACCTCGATCCACTCGGACACCAACTTCCTGTCTCAACCGCACCTTTTGAATTTTCCCTCCTTTTTGCCATTTAATTGGTCAAGCGGACCATGAAATTAGTGAATTTATTTATAATACTGTTTTTGAACGTATTCTGCATTTGTTTTGTTGTTTTTTGCTCTAAATTTTATTGGTACCTTACTTAAATTTGCCATAGTAGCTTTTAGCTGAAAGCATAGATTATTTATTTTTAATCAATGATTGTTGTTTTCCAATGATTAATAAATTTCCGTAAGCTTTATCATATTTATCTCTAATTGGCTTTAGCTTCCTTGGGAAAATAAAAACTAAACTTGCATTTAATTTTTAACAGAATTGTGTAGAAATTAGAAAATTAACAAAGAACATTAACAAATAATCAAAAAACATCAGAAATTATTTTTATTTTAAACTACTGCCCTAAGTATTGTGTAAAGGGGCAATGTTGCAAATTATTATGCATACACAATTTTGTGCATTATAAACATATTTCTTTGCCTGGGAACATGCTTTTTTCTTTATTATTATTATTATTTTACATTGTTACATTAATTTACAAATCAGTCTAAAATGTTTATTACAGTACAGTAATAAAAAAAATGTTTGTACTAGATGAATTTATTATCCAATGTGTTTAGCATAGTTTTAATCCAATAAAGTTTATCTTGCCATTTTTTAAGTTATTTATACTAACCTTACATAATTAAAATTGTGATGTGACATGTCTTTTTTGCCTGTTTAAAATGGCACTTTTCCCTTTTCATAGCATGCCCCATCATTTGTTGCAACATGCATATCATTAACAAGAATTAACCTTTTTTTCTTCTTTTCCTCCTGTCTAAGCAAGGATTAAAAGGGAAATGGTGTAATTACATAAACATTAGTGTACAGGAAGAAATAGTGAGCATTTAATTTGGAATGAGATTTGTGATCTACTTTAGTGCACTAAAAGAAGTAAACACAAATGAACTGAATATTTATTCAGAAATCATGAGATGCGATCTGGTGTGATGTAGGTTTCAGAAAAACATTTTCTTTATCGTGCCAACGTTTTGATCTTTATTGAGATCATCTTCAGGGCCTGGGATTTACTGGATAAATCCCAGGCCATGAAGATGATCTCAATAAAGATCAAAATGGCACGATAAAGAAAATGTTTTTCTGAAACTTATATCACACCAGATCGCATCTCACGATTTCTGAATAATTATCGATTAACGATCACCACACATTTCTACACGAGAAGAAAGAAGAACTGAATATTATAAAATGGTTTTTCATCAGGTTGCAATTTATTAAGATAAAACATTGCTTTTTTTAATATCAAACTTAAGCGAGAATGTCAAACAACTCACCATGTATTACTTACACTACAATCTACCTGTTTTGTGTAGTTCATGTTAACATAGGTTTTCCTGTTAGTCATGAGATTTTCCCATTAACTTTGCCAAAATTTTGATTCAGTATGTTTATCAGCAATTATTTTTTGACAAATCACACAAATAAGTTAATATGTGTATTTGTCGGATTGAAAGAGATTCTTTTTTATTATAAGCCTTTACCAAGAAATCAAATATTTAATTACAAAATGTACAGCTGGAAATACTTAAAGGCCGAATTTCAGGAATAGCATTTGCTTGTTGGAAGCCAAAGTGAATTACAGACAAAACGTTGACAGACCCAAGTGGTCATAGATAAGGGAGACCTTTGGAAGACTGGTCCCAAGTTTCAGGAATGGGACCTAATATGGTAGGCAGATGGATCAAAATAGAACGGGGAGTAGGTGTTAGGGGGTAAAAGGCGAGAATTATACCTTAACAAAACCCCTTGAACTAATCCCAACATTTTTCCAAGCAGAAGTCCATGCAATCCAACACTGCTTAGGAGTTAATAAAGAAAAATATGAAAGGGGCACAGATTTTACATATTCTCAGACAGACAGGCTCATACAAAGGCTTTAAATGCATATGCTTTCAGCTCCAAACTTGTCTGAGACTGCCAAAATTGCCAAATAGCCTAGGAAAACAGAGCAGATTACTTTAAAGTGAGTTTCAGGACATAAAGGAATAGAATGAAATGAATAGGCCGACCAACTAACCAAAAAAGGGCTCTCTCATCCATGGGACCAAAGCCACAACTAGGTGCACCAGAGTAAGTGCTAAGTTAGAACTTGAAAATGACTTGAGAAAGAAAAACTCAAGCACTGGATAAGAGAACCTGGTATGATGCAAGCTAAGAAATTTACAAATCTTTCAAAAAGGAAACCGAAAGAAAACTCTCTCATCAGGCAGGATTTGAGGAAAATTATAGGCTTTTGTACCGGCCAATGTCTTCCTAACTACCACCTAAAGAAAGTGGGCAAAGCAGAAATAGAAACATGGCGACTCTGTTAGGTAGTACAGATATCAGCGCATATCTTTTGTGCAGCTTTAGCCCCCAGTTACTGTTCAATATTGATTTAATAATGGTACACTTTTTAACATTAAATCTTTATTTTTCTCCGTTTGACTTTACAGATACTCTGCAGATGTAGGTAAGATATTTTATTTAAATTTTAAATCTGCAGTGGGGTGTAAAGTAAAAGTGTTTGCTTCTTCACTTAACATGGGAGTTCATTGATAATACAAAAAAACACATTTTGATATTAATTTTTCTGTTCAATATAATTACAAATATTCATGTTTAATGTGTAGACCACATGAATTAATAGAAATAGATTCTTGCGGCTGTCACTTTTACTTTTTTCTATGAAATCTACTGTTGTACTTGCTTCAGTATGTATTTGTGAGTTCTATGATCATTTCTTATTTATTATGATTTATATGAACCATAGTCTTACCTTTAAAATATTTGTTTTCTGTACATTGAAGAAAACTTAATATTCTAGGGACCCAGTAGTAGATTGGCCAAAGGTAATCATAATAGGGGCAGGAATTGCTGGCCTTGCTGCAGCAAGAACACTGATAAAAGGAGGTGTTAACAATATTAAAATATTTGAAGGTAAGCTATCAGGATTGGAAATAAGTACATGAGTAGCACTAAAACAGTATCAAGTTCTTTAATTATAGTTAGACATTTGTAAATGGTCATTTAATTGCACAGAGTTCGGAAAAGATCTTGCTACGAGTACTATAAAATCTCATTTAAAATGTAACAGATTGATTTTTACTTTGAATATGGTTTGGTATAAATTTTTCATATAAAGATAATCTAAAATATAAAAAAATGTTGTTTCCATTATAGAAGATAGTTTATTTTATTTTCTTTATCAGCTCAGAAAGAACCAGGTGGAAGGATTAAAAGTTTCGAATATGATAATGGGATCATTGAACTAGGAGCCCAGTGGATTCACAGCCCAAAAAATAAACTCTATGAAATTGCTAAGAAAAGAAAACTTATTTCTTCATCAGTTTCTGATGAAGGTCTAGGTATTAATATTTAATTCAACATTTTTACAATTTTAACTTTAATAACACTTATCGTATGTGATCTAGGGCTTTACGTCAGACCAGGTGGGCAAATAGTTTCTCCGGATTTAGTTAAAGAAGTCAAAGATGACGTTGAAAATATACTCTCTGAATGCGAAAAATTTAAAGACTTTAGTGATATCTCAAAATGTCCAATTTCAGTTGGGCATTATCTCGAAAGTAAATTTAACCAACTTATTCCATTGAGGGCTGATCGATTTACAAAAGAAATTAAAAAAGAACTTTTAGATTGGCACATAAGGTGATTAAACTTATTTATTTTAGGGTAATAATTACAAGTAATTATCAGGTTTCAGCTCATCGACAATTCATGTTCCAATCTTGATGATCTATCTGCTATATCCTGGGGACAGTATGTGACCGAAGGACAGAGTCATATTAATTTAAAAAATGGTTACTCCTCGATTATTAAATATCTCCTTGCCGATATACCAAGTCAATGCGTGGAAACTTCAAAGTCTGTGAAATCAATAAAATGGAAAACAAATGTTGAAAATTATACAAAATATCCTTGTGAAATTATCTGTGACGATGGAGACTCCTGGAAAGCTAGTCATATTATCGTAACTGCTTCCATTGGTTATCTCCAACAGAATACTGAATTGTTTGACCCTCATCTTCCACCCAATCATCAACAGGTTGTTCATTTTTAAATATTGTTATATGGTTTAGAATTCTGTTTGTATTGTTTAAAATAATGATGAGAGAATGATTCAATCACTTTTGAAAAGTTTTTCGACTCATTTTAGGCCTTGGAATGTTTTGGCTTTTCAGTCATAAACAAGATATTTCTGAAATATAATGAACCTTGGTGGGGAAACACCAAAGGTATCCAGCTTGTGTACAATTCATGCCAAGGGATCAAAGAGGTACTGAAAAATCCTTAATGCAGTATTTTATTAGTTTCAATATTTTTAAGTACTTTGTCAGTTTGATATGAATGGAATGGACTGGACAAAAGGTATAACAGGTTTTGACACAGTTTCTGAAAATCCCTCTTTACTTCTTGTCTGGGTTGGAGGAGAAGGAGCAAGCAAAATGGAAAAATTAACCCAAAAACAAGTGGCTGTACATTGCACTCTTCTTTTGAGGAAGTTTACAGGAAAAGCAGACATCCCTTTCCCAGATGATGTCATACGGTATGGATGTTTGATTAATATAATTTTGTAAGTAATAAAAGATTTTCTTAATTTGAAAGATCCACCTGGGGCTCGAACAAATACATTTGTGGTGGTTACAGTCACATAACAGTCAAAGCTGATAAACATGGGATTTGTCCTAATGAAACTCTTTTAAAACCAGTGTTATCTAAAAACGGAAAAAGTTGGGTATGTAAATTATTAATTTCTTTTGGAAACTTATACATTAAAATGATATAAATATACAGTAATAACATTATTTCAGCATCCTTCATTGTTATTTGCTGGTGAGGCAGTGCATAAAAATCAATTCTCAACTGCCCATGGTGCATATGAAAGTGGTGAATTCCAAGCCCTCCAGCTTTTAAGTTTTTTAAAAAAGAAATTGAGTTAACTATAACTTTTTTCTTTTGCAACTGAAGTTTCATTATAGATAAATCTTATCTATCCTGTCTGTGTAAATTGCCAAATTTTGTAGTGCTAGGTTGGCTATTTGAGCCAATATTTTATTTATTGAAAAAATGTATACTCCTGTGAATTATTTCCTTGCCAAATATATATTTTACACTGACAATACTTTAACTATCGGAGTCCTGTACATTGCATCTTTTTTTAGACTACTCTGAACATTGTGAGATCAAGTTATTTATCTGTATCCAGTCAAATGGTGGGTTTTACTCAAGTTTTATGTTCATGAAATTGCACATTTTGTTGCACAAAATTGCATTTTTTGTCTTTTTGAAAAAACCACACATGCAAGAATAACTTACTTATATAAGTAAAGGAAATAGGAATTGACTGGGATAAAAATATTTAAAAAACTAAGCCACTGAAATTAAGTGAATCCATTGCATTAAACCAACTTTTGAACTCTGGTTTGACTTTTTGTTTAATTTTTTCCTCCTACTTTATAAATTTTGTCATTCTCAAAAAAGCATCTGTAGTTTATTTTAAAAATTAATGCCAAAAGATGGAAGTAGTAAATCTTCTAAAATCACAAGAAGGATAGAAAAATATCCACAACTAAAAAGAGCTGGTATTACGGTTTATTGCATTACTTGTGCCAAAACTATTGGTTTTGAGAGAAAATCTCAACAACGTTTTTAACTAAAACCACATATTTCTCCCTTCATCTTATTGGAGTGAGGATCCAAGATAGTAAGTTTAGAGGCAGAAGGATGAGGGCAAGCAATCCTCAGGCCTGGGTGAGCAGCAGAACAGCATCTGGACATCCGTCTTGAATTCATCAACCAAGGAGAGAAGGTACTTAGATATACTTAACTTGTATATTTTTTATCTAAAATTACAGAATCACGGTTTTTATTTTTAATCTAGATTTTCACTACTAATGCAAAAACAGAAGCAATCTCCTGTCCAAAAATTATTAACCTTTAACAATAATATAAGAATAAACAGAAGGAATTTTAAAAGATTTGTGTCATTCCATGTTAGCTTCTAACGTACCCCTTTCTAACATCAAAATTAATTCTAAACCTTTCTAGGAATTTTTGGAAAATTATGCCCAGCAAAATATTCTAGAAGAGAGTACAGTTAGAGAAATGTGTTTAGAAGTGTTTCAATTCAACAGTTGACAAATTCAAGAAAACAATACCTGATAATTTCATCTACTTAATAGTTGATGAAACTACAGGTGTATGTGGCATGTATATTTACTTGCTCCTTAGTAATCAGCATCCTTGATCCTAAAACAATGCCAACATGTTACTTGATATCCTGCAAAATTTTTGGAAAAAAAAATCATGAAACAGTATCTTGTTTTGTGATTGGCAGTTTTACAAACTATTCCCCAGAATTTTACTTTTAATACAGACATGGCACCATATATGATAAAAGCAAGACAACATTTAAGGTTTTCTATCAGAAAATGGTCCATGTCAATTTCATAGCCCATGAACTGAATAGAATTAAAAAAATTGTTAAATATTCTCTCAAGTCAATAAATTTATCAATAATGGTAAACGAAATTCTTAAAGTTCCTCATTAGGTTTGGCAAAATTGTTATGAACTGCCATCTTCCAACTGAAGCTGTAAACACATGCTAGGAATGTACTGGAAGTTGCTTTATTCTACTGCAACAACTTATTAAAATTTAAAGAATTGATATGCCAGATTGATGACAATGTACAATCTGCGATTAAAATAAAATCAATTTTGGCCAGTTGAACAATTGTGTCTGATTTGGCTTTTATGCAGTCACAGATTTGCCAAATGGCGTTAAAAAACTATAGAAGGGAAATTTTACTTTAAGCGACCAAATAAAAATTATGGAAGATCTTTTTATGTAAGGTTTTGGTCGACCTTCGGCTGGGTTCGAATCCCGCTCGTGACATTAGCTTTTTTCATTTTGACCAAAACCTTACATAAAAGATTAGTTGAGAGAAGTATTTTGGTCAAACAGACCACTAAATATAATGAATTGTGGAAGATGTTAGAAAATCTTTAAAAGAAATTATAATTTACGATAAATTCAAAGATATTTTTAGAACAAATGCTGGATATGAGATTCTCATAAAATTAAATAATAGTCTGAAAAGAAATGTTACTACAGATGAAAATGACCCAAAATTACTAATTTGCTACAAAAATTGCCTGCTTACAAGCATAGAAGTGGAATTTTCCAAATTGAAACATATTTTGAGCGACTGGAGTCATTTGATTTATATTTGATCATAATTTTAATTCAAATGAACAAACATAATTTTTTTTAAAATCAAATATGAAATAAAGTGATTTTTAAGAAGTTTTTTTCTATAGTTTTTACCTCAAATTTAAAATGGTTAGTTTTTGCATGCTTCAAAAGTTTTATTGCATGTTTTCACTTTTTTCCTGCAAAGAAATAACATCTTTAGTTATTACTGATTATTTACAGATGTTATTGGTGATAATTGAGATTTTGTATCTCATAAAAAACAGACTATTTCTAGAAGAAAATTTTAGTATTTAACTAATCCATATGTGTATAGTGGTCATAATTAACCATATTAATAATATCAGTTAATTCTTCTTTTTCTTTTTTTTTATCTTAGGTCTTGGTTAAGATGAGAAAGGTTAGTCTCACGAGCGGGATTCGAAACCACGACCTTCAGCTCATTACACTGCTGGTCTAACCAATTGAGCTTATATGACTTCGATCCCACTCGGACACCAACTCCTCATCTCAACCTACAACCTTTCGAAATTTCCCTCTTTTTGCCATTTTTGTTAATGTCTAAATCATATTAGTTAAGGAACGGTTGGGAAAGATGATGAGATAACACTTGGAATCTATGTTAATGAATATTTCTACAAAAAAAGTTACTTCCTTCATTGTAAAGCAAATTTAATGCTGATATTCTACTTTTATTCTGAATTATTACATAACATGATTCAAAAATCATTCATGTGAGTTCGAATTGTAAAGCTTGGTTGATCTTAACTTATTAGGACTACTGAAATTTGAATTGCTAACCAGTGTATATTTCTTATTCAGGTGATGTAACTGGCTTTTCCTTCACCTGAGTAAACTTTTTGTAATGAATTTTTTTCCGTCTATAATTGAAACTAATCAAATATATTGTTCCCATTAATTAATATTATTATGACTTATTGGTTGATGATTGTATAAAATAAATTTGATACGTTGAGATTAAAATTAGAAACTCCTTAATTAATCCCTAAATAATATAAGAAAAAATCCCAACTTTTTGGATTTGCAGTTACATCCCATGTGATTATAAAAAATAGTTGATTACTTGTTGATCAAATTACTAAAATTTACTAAAATTGAAGTATATCTATTTTATAAATAAGCCTAAATTATTATATTACAATTATAATACATATTTATTACATTAGAAGAGAAGAATTATCAGAAAAAGAGAAAGTCTTGTATTATATGATATCATACAGTTATTTGTGGTGTACCTCATGGACATGGTTGAGAGATACAACCCCTTCCCTGTTAATTGACTTAATATTGCACTTTTACACAGGAGTTTTCAGTTGCTGGCTGCCTTTCAGACATGATACTTCGATTGATAGAGTTCCTACCTCTTCTTGTCGCATCGGTCTATTTGTATTTTTACGAAGATGTCGACCCCAAACGAAAACCCGTAGATATTGATGAAAACAGGCTTTCTGGAATTTACGATTTTATTATTGTTGGCGCAGGATCTGCAGGTATTTTTACCTTTTTTAAATTTATTGTAAAGAAATTAATGTTAATTTGGTAGAATAAAATGAATAACTATAATTGGAATTTTTCAAATAATTTTTGAAGTACTAGAAGTCCAAAATAATAATGGTAGATGCATTAGGTGCAAGGCAAAAAAAGGTCCAAAATAGGCAAGAAAAATTTACTTGTTAAAGTTAAATATTTACTGTATTGTTTTTAATAATTTATTTAATGTAAATTTCAGCTTTAATTTATACAGATAAATAATTTTACACTGAAGATTTATTTTATTTACTTGGATTTTGAAACTTAAACTTAACTTTTTTTTTTAATTATGACCTTACCCCTGGGTATTGGCCAAAGAAGGGAAACAGGGAGGGAAGCTAAATAATGTTAGATTTACATTAGATAGTTTTTATATAGATTTATGCAGACAAATATTTTTTATATTGAAGAATTACTTTATTGGAAGTTGTGATTTTCTAACTAAATAACGTAAAATTTACTCTTTATGTACATTTAAGGCAGGCAAAAATATAATTTTACATTGAAGATTTACTTTATTTGGAAGTTTTGATTTTCTATCTAAATAATGTTAAATTGACTCTTTTCATCTAAACCTCCTTTGCATAAATATGCATATTAACTACTGGTTAAGATAAGTAATAAGGATATAAATTTATCGCAGATAAATAAATATTTTAACAGTGAAGATAACATTAAACATTATAACCATATTTTCTATTTTCTGACAATATTTTCTAGCTAAATAATGTAAAAGTTGAACTTAAAAAAATTAAAATTGACACTTTTCATATTACTTTATGGTGAACAATTTTTTTAAAATTAATATAAACTTTATTACAACTAGTATAACAATATGTAGGAAACAATTTACAAGATCATTTGTGTGTACCTGTGTACATGCAAGTGAACAAACATGTCGGAATAAGAGATGAAGAAGTGTTTTCAAGAAAAGCAATTATGAGATACACAAAGAATAAGAGTGGGCCGCTGACAACAAATGGATACGAAGCGATAGTGTTTGTTAATGTATTCGATCCTAAATCTCTTCTGCAGAACATTGAATGGCACCTCACATCTTTCAGGATGTTCGTTGCTGAAAATCCAGCAAACATCAAGGAAAATGTTGTCGCCCCTATTGTAATAAATGTTAATCCTTCCAGTATAGGAACAGTCAGACTAAATCCCCTTAAGCCACAAGGACCTCCTTTAATTGATACAAACTATCTTGGGGCAGATGAGGATATGTTGATTCTTAGAGAAGGAATAAGATTACTTTTCGACTTCTTCAGCACACCTACTTTGGCTTCTCTTAAACCACAGATTTACTTTAGAGAATTTGGCAACTGTGTCCAGTTCAAAAATATGATTGATCAGTTAATAGACTGTATTATTACTCAATACTCGGCAACTCTGTACCATCCGGTTGGTACAGCTAAAATGGGTCCAAAATCAGATCTGACTTCAGTAGTCAGCCCTGAACTGATAGTCCATGGATTTGAAAATCTGCGAGTCATTGACGCTTCAATAATGCCAAGGATAACTCGAGGAAATGTAAATGCTCCGACAATAATGATTGCTGAAAAAGGAGCTGATATTATTAAATTCAGTTACCATACAAGTACTTCTTAAATGTTATTGTTATAACTAAAACCAAAATATGTTGTGATATTAAAATTTATTCCCTCGTCAGAATCCACATATTGACCCAGCTGCACCGACAAAAACACCAGTTGATGAAGAACCTCTATCATTATCAAGAAGTACAAGATCAGGATGCCAAGTTCGCTTTCCCGGACGCTATATCCAGTTCATTAGCTGACCTAGCCGATGATGGGAGTGGTGTGGGGTAGCATTGTTTCAAGATTACGTGGCTAGAGAACATGTGAAGTTAAGTGCAAGAAGAAAGAACGTTTGCCTTGGGTATTACTTATATAAATAAATAGTGATACAAATTAGTAGTGTGTGGTTACTAAAATCACCTAAACCCTTACATATCCTTACATACTTAGAGTTAAAATTTGAATTATCTCCAAGTATTTGCGAGTTGTCCTTAATCCCATAGATGTTAATTTGTACCTCAGTATGTGTAAATAAGTCACGTTTTATATTAAAGAATAGTTGTATTATAGGTATATCTGCATATATTTATCGCAAATCCTTTACAACAGATCATATTTTGTTAAGTAATTAATGGAGATAATGTATAAGAGAAAATTAAAAACATTATGGGTAACCACATTTTTTGCCTCTCAGTGTAAATAATCCAGCCAAAAATGCTTTGAACTATTGCCCAAGCGCCTTCATATCCAACCTTACTATTCCTGCTTCAAAATTTCTATTCTCTTCAAAATTGCAATAGGTCAATATAAACGCCTCCATAAAACCGTTGTACCTCATCCCAACCCTCTGGTCCAATATCTTTCAACCCCCCCCCTCTTATACAATCCTTCAACGATGCCTGAAGCGCCAATGGCCTCATGATTTCCTACATAGTGAGAAATAGTGCTGTGATGGACTATAATCAATGGATTTCTTTTTCACTCTAATATTGTGTGATGTTACAAAATTAATAAAAACAATTAAGTTGCTTGTAGTGCTTTGGCATTGATAACAGAACAATAAATTTATGAACAAATTTGTTTGTATGTAATTAGGTAAAAATATTTCAAAGTGTAATATACGTTATTCCATCCCCACCACCCAAAAAACTGTTTAAAGCAATCTTTCACAGAAACTTTAAAAATATAAAATAATAAAAATGAATAAAGTACTATAAATATTTTTTAATGCAGTCATTTTTTACCTACATCCATTAAATTTAACAAAATTTTCTTTTTGCAATATTAATCTAAATCTTTTTTAGTTGGTCCTAGTTAACCAAAGTGATTATCTAATTGATTTTTTTTTCTAATGTGTGATTGAGATGAATAATTAGTTTCATGAGCAGGACTCAAACCCACAACCTTCAGCTGGATACGCTGGTGCTCTAACCACTTGAGCTGAAGGTCATGGGTTTGAGCACCACTCGTGAATTTTTCATCCCAACCACACTTTACATAAAGATTACAAATCAATTTAATTAATCTAAATAAAATAATCAAACTGCTTTGAACAGGTTTAAAATAGAATTATTTTAATAATAATTTTAACTATTTTAAACAAACAAGGGTTCACAACAGCAGCGATTTATCAACCCTGGGGTTCCAGTCTTTTTCCACTGGAAAAAAAAGGAAGTACTTCGAATTTGAATTAAGATCCAGTGAGATTCGAACCCAGGACTCCATAGGGAGACTGAGAAGATAAAAATTGATTTTAATTCAAAGGAAATATACATTGTACTGAAATATTCACTAATTTCGTGGCCCGCTTGACCATTTAAATCATTACAATTAATTAAGGTTTTTAGTTGATATGAAAAAAAGTTAATGGCATGAGAGGGATTTAAACCCACGACCTTCGGCTAGATACGCCGCTGCTCTACCATCTGAGCTATCGTGACCTCGATCCGCTCGGACATCAACTCCCCATCTCAACGACACCTTATGAGTTTTCCCTCCTTTCGCCATTTCAATTGTTGTCGAGAATCCAAACCGATTACACGACATTTGAAAAATGGCGAAAGAAGGGAAAACTCATAAGGTGTGGTTGAGAAGGGGAGTTGATGTCTGAGCGGATCGAGGTCACGATAGCTCAGGTGGTAGAGCAGCGGCATATCTAGCCGAAGGTCGTGGGTTCGAATCCCTCTCGTGCCATTAACTTTTTTTCATTTCAACTAAAACCCTTAATTGAATTGTACTGAAATGTTTTTTCTAGCATTCAAGTCTGGTTTGGTCTAATAGCTATTACATATTATTTATATAAATGGGAAACACTTGATTGTGTCACATTTAATTTATATAAATATTTTCCACCATTTTTTCCTACATATTTTTTTTATGTTTTGCAGATCTAAGTTTAAATGTAACTCTTTGTGATTGAATTATGTATTTTTTATTCAAACTTGATGATTCTTTGTCACACTTTTTTACCCACATGTCTTCCCTTCTATGTAATGAATGTACACATAATATTCTATAAAATTAAATTACTTCTGGGGAGCCTCTTGGACAAGGTTGAGAGACATGGCCCTTCCTCATTAATAGACTTAATATTCCATTTTTATACAATAGTTTTCAGTTGCTGACTGTCTTTCATACATGATACTTCAGTTGATAGAGTTTCTACCTATTTTTGTTGCTTCTGTGTACTTGTATTTTTATGAAGATGTCGATCTTAAACTATAACCTGTGGTTGTAGATGAAAACAGTCTTTATAGAATTTATGATTTCATTATTATCGGTGCAGGATCTGCAGGTAATAAATGTATCATGAAGAAATTAATTTAAATTTGTTAGAATAAAATAAACAGTTATAATCAGTACATTTTTGTAAATAATTTTTGCCATAATTTCAAAAAATAGCAGATGCGTTAGCCAAGTGGAAAAAAATTTACACATTAAAGTTACGTATTTATTGTAATGTTTTTTGTTTGTTTTTTTAATTTAAAATTTCAGCTTTAGTTGAGTAAATTTACTCTTTTTATATAGCTTTATGCAGTTAAATAAATAATTTTACAAATAAGATTTATTTTATTTGTTTTGATTGTTTTGTAACTAAATGATGTAAACTTTAGTCTTTCAGTATAGAGTTTTGGCGAATAATTAGACAATCAAAATTTTGTTTTAAGAATTTACATTTCTCTCTCACTCTCTCTCTCTCTCTCACTCTCTCTCTCTCTCTCTCTCACTAACTCTCTCTCTCTCTCACTCTCTCTCACACTAACTCTCTCTCTCACACTCTCTCTCTCTCTCTCTCTCTCTCTTAATTTATTTATTTTTTATTTATTTTTTTTAATAGGAGAATTTGGAAAAAGAATTTACTGGCATCACAGTATCAAGAGATGCAGAATCAATTTGGAATTTAATATTTAAAAAAAAAAGTAAAAAACATTCACAGATACTTCAACAAAATAAAAAAAGTTTTGAGTCCAAAAAGCAGTAGAACAATAAGGGTTACTCATATTACTAATATCAGCATTCATCACTTTGTTGTTTGTCTTCTGTATCAGCTAAAACCATAGAGATTCATTGTTTCCTAGATGCAAAAGCCTACTTCATTCGTTGTTCTTGTCTTCTATATGTGAAGATTCTTGTGATGTGTCCCTCTTTCTAAAATCTGTGGAATAGACTTTTAAAGTGCTAAGGTCTTATATTGGAAAGTTATTCCAGTTTCTAGTTATAACACTCTACTGAAATAATGAACCTGTACTGTAGGCATTCTTATAGAGAACAATTATTTTTAAAATTTTTATGTTAATACTTTTATTGACAGATTATAAAACTTGATGTAATGCAATGTTTTCAATCATTTTTTCGTTAGGATGCATACTTGCCAATAGCTTAAGTGAGATCAGTTATTGGAACATTCTGTTAATTGAAGCAGGTGGAGATGAAAATGCCCTTACTGACTCTCCTTTTCTTACCTTTTACACCCACACAAAAGAGTTTGATTGGGGCTACAACACAACAATCAACAACAGCCAAGGGCTTGCAGAGGTAAAAACCAAACTGCCGGGCAAGTCCAAACGTAATAATAATTTCACATTAAATTACAGCTAGGTCATTGTAACTACCCAAGAGGAAGAGTCCTAGGAGGATCTAGTACAGTCAATGGACTGCTGTATGTTCGTGGTAATCCATACGACTTCGATAATTGGGAAGCGATGGGCAATCATGGCTGGTCTTTTAAGGATGTTCTCCCTTATTTTATCAAACAGGAGAATATGTCAACGACCGATCTCCCGAGGAATGTTCACGGCTTTAATGGCCCTCAAAGTGTACAATTTCAAAGACATGTATCTAAAATAGCAGACTATTACTACAAGGCTGGAGAAGAATTCGGTTTCAAATTCATTGACTACAATGGACTCCACCAGATAGGAATTGGCCCTGCTCAGGTAAACATAAAAATGATTAACTTCTTAATTAATCCCTAAATAATATAAGAAAAAATCCTAACTTTTTGGATTTGCAGTTACATCCCATGTGATTATAAAAAATAGTTGATTACTTGTTGATCAAATTACTAAAATTTACTAAAATTGAAGTATATCTATTTTATAAATAAGCCTAAATTATTATATTACAATTATAATACATATTTATTACATTAGAAGAGAAGAATTATCAGAAAAAGAGAAAGCCTTGTATTATATGATATCATACAGTTATTTGTGGTGTACCTCATGGACATGGTTGAGAGATACAACCCCTTCCCTGTTAATTGACTTAATATTGCACTTTTACACAGGAGTTTTCAGTTGCTGGCTGCCTTTCAGACATGATACTTCAATTGATAGAGTTCCTACCTCTTCTTGTCGCATCGGTCTATTTGTATTTTTACGAAGACGTCGACCCCAAACGAAAACCAGTAGATATTGATGAAAACAGGCTTTCTGGAATTTACGATTTTATTATTGTCGGCGCAGGATCTGCAGGTATTTTGCATTTATTGTGAAGAAATTAATGTTAATTTACTAGAATAAAATAAATAATTATAATTGGAATTTTTCAAATAATTTTTGAAGTACCAGAAGTCCAAAATAATAATGGTAGATGCATTAGTTGCAAGGCAAAAAAAGGTCCAAAATAGGCAAGAAAAATTTACTTGTTAAAGTTAAATATTTACTGTATTGTTTTTAATAATTTATTTAATGTAAATTTCAGCTTTAATTTTTACAGATAAATAATTTTACACTGAAGATTTATTTTATTTACTTGGATTTTGAAACTTAAACTTAACTTTTTTTTTTAATTATGACCTTACCCCTGGGTATTGGCCAAAGAAGGGAAACAGGGAGGGAAGCTAAATAATGTTAGATTTACATTAGATAGTTTTTATATAGATTTATGCAGACAAATATTTTTTATATTGAAGAATTACTTTATTGGAAGTTGTGATTTTCTAACTAAATAACGTAAAATTTACTCTTTATGTACATTTAAGGCAGGCAAAAATATAATTTTACATTGAAGATTTACTTTATTTGGAAGTTTTGATTTTCTATCTAAATAATGTTAAATTGACTCTTTTCATCTAAACCTCCTTTGCATAAATATGCATATTAACTACTGGTTAAGATAAGTAATAAGGATATAAATTTATCGCAGATAAATAAATATTTTAACAGTGAAGATAACATTAAACATTATAACCATATTTTCTATTTTCTGACAATATTTTCTAGCTAAATAATGTAAAAGTTGAACTTAAAAAAATTAAAATTGACACTTTTCATATTACTTTATGGTGAACAATTTTTTTAAAATTAATATAAACTTTATTACAACTAGTATAACAATATGATAATGAAATATAGTATTGCACTAATGATGATTCATATGAAACTTGTGGGGGATCCTATGATCACCATTTAAACACAAACATTAAGTGTGTGCACTGGCCGAAAGTTGTTCAAAAAGTTTGCTTTTGGGAAGGAAGGAATTGAAGATGAGCCACAGTCAAGTAGACCTGGTGTCGTCATTGTCGTTTGGTGCCTTCAATGGTACGTTCTCCTGGCGTTACTGTACAGTATCCAGTTTTTGTCACATGTGACAATCTGATTATTAATTATTATGTCTTTTATCCAGCTATAAAATGTCTCTATTTATAAGGAACCAATTTTCTCACTTCCACATCTTCGAAGTCAATCAATGTCTACCAGGTTCTTCTTCAATCCCCGACCCACACTGTGGCAAGCTCCTGATACGTTTGACTCGCATCAAGTTGTGCGCTGAATTTTGTTTCAGCGCTGAACACAGTGAAAACTTTACATTCTCCCTTGGTCGCCCTAGTACTAAGCTTAAATTCATGTAATAATCATACATGATGTATAGGTTTTGAAGCCACGAGAAAGAAAATATTTTATAATTTACAGTGAACTTTTCAAGAAAGTTCTTCTTATAACTGACACATTATTCTTTTGATATTACATGATGTAATTGAGTCTTTTATCCAGCTTAATCCCCAAATATTGTACTTACTCTTTGACTGCTTCTCTGCAGAGATAAATAAAGGAAGCCAGATATTTTTCTAATATGTAAAAAAACAGACGACTGATGCTTGTTATGGGTTTTGTTTGACATGCCATACTGTATTCCAGTAATCCACTTTCGAGCAAAGGTCAACCTTTTCGTGTGACTCCTCTCCAGTGCTTCAAGACTGTCATCTTTAAAATGTGCAATTACTCATCTTGAGGGAAGTTATGTGTGAAGACATTATTCATGAAGGGTCCTAGTATGTTTCCTTGTGGCATGCACAATTTGATGGGCTGTATTTAGGAGATTGCACCATTTACTGACACAGAAAAAGATCTGTTCGTAGGGTATGATTTAATTACCCTGTACAAAAAATCATGAAAGATTTAAACTTTGCCAGTAGACCAACCATCAAAGGCATACCTCATCAAACCACCCTTTCTGTATCTAAAGACAAACCAGTGCATACTTACTTTCCTTTGAAAATGCCCAGTGTCTGGTACATTATGACTTAATACTTTTATACTGAAATGTTATTCAATTTGGGGATTTTTACATAAATAATATACAAGTTATTCTTTTTTATGTAGATTTATCGCAGTCAAATTGCTATTTTTATACTATACAGTTATTTAAGTTTCTAGTTTTAACATTCTAGTGAAATAATAAAACTAAATAGATATACTGTAGACATTCTTATATTGACAAATTATTTTTAAAATTTTTATATTAATACATGACATGAAATTAGAAATCATATTTTATATTTATCACAAAGTGTAATGAACTTTAAATGTTTTCAATTAATTGTTTTATTAGGATGCGTACTTGCCAATAGATTAAGTGAGATCAGTTATTGGAACATTCTGTTAATCGAAGCAGGAGGAGATGAAAATGCGCTTACTGACTCACCTTTTCTTAACATTTACACCCACACAAAAGAGTTTGATTGGGGCTACAACACAACAATACAGCCAAGAGCTTGCAGAGGTAAAAACAAACCGGCGACCAAGAACAAACATAATAATAATTCCACATTAAATTACAGCTAGGCAAGGCCAATGTAACTACCCAAGAGGAAGAGTCCTAGGAGGATCTAGTACAGTCAACGGACTGATGTATGTTCGTGGTAATCCATACGACTTCGATAATTGGGAAGCGATGGGCAATCATGGCTGGTCGTTTAAGGATGTTCTCCCTTATTTTATCAAACAGGAGAATGTGTCAACGACCGATCTCCCGAGGGATGTTCACGGCTTTAATGGCCCTCAAAGTGTACAATTTCAAAGACATGTATCTAAAATAGCAGACTATTACTACAAGGCTGGAGAAGAATTCGGTTTCAAATTCATTGACTACAATGGACTCCACCAGATAGGAATTGGCCCTGCTCAGGTAAACATAAAAATGATTAACTTCAAATATAATTGATCTATGTTTATACAAATTTTTAGGTGTCAATGGTGGGTTCCACAAGAGCTAGTACTGCAAAGGGCTATCTTAATCCAATTAGAAAGAGAAAAAATCTCCATATAGTAAAACATGCAGAAGTAATGAAGTTGGTTTTTGAAGAAAATACTCTACAGGAGGAAAAAAAGAGAGTTCTAGGTGTAATTTTTAGCCACAAGGGAGTCAAGAAATATGTGGAAGCTTCAAAGGAAGTTATTATTTCTGCTGGAGCTATTAACACACCAAAATTATTAATGCTCTCAGGAATCGGACCTAAAAATCATCTTCGTGGCCTTGGCATACCTGTAATTGCGGATTTACCAGTAGGAAACAATTTACAAGATCATTTGTGTGTACCTGTGTACATGCAAGTGAACAAACATATCGGAATAAGAGATGAAGAAGTGTTTTCAAGAAAAGCAATTATGAGATACACAAAGAATAAGAGTGGGCCACTGACAACAAATGGATACGAAGCGATAGTGTTTGTTAATGTATTCGATCCTAAATCTCTTCTGCAGAACGTTGAATGGTATCTCACATCTTTCAGGATGTTCGTTGCTGAAAATCCAGCAAACATCAAGGAAAATGTTGTCGCCCCTATTGTAATAAATGTTAATCCTTCCAGTATAGGAACAGTCAGACTAAATCCCCTTAAGCCACAAGGACCTCCTTTAATTGATACAAACTATCTTGGGGCAGATGAGGATATGTTGATTCTTAGAGAAGGAATAAGATTACTTTTCGACTTCTTCAGCACACCTACTTTGGCTTCTCTTAAACCACAGATTTACTTTAAAGAATTTGGCAACTGTGTCCAGTTCAAAAATATGATTGATCAGTTAATAGACTGTATTATTACTCAATACTCGGCAACTCTGTACCATCCGGTTGGTACAGCTAAAATGGGTCCAAAATCAGATCTGACTTCAGTAGTCAGCCCTGAACTGATAGTCCATGGATTTGAAAATCTGCGAGTCATTGACGCTTCAATAATGCCAAAGATAACTCGAGGAAATACAAATGCTCCGACAATAATGATTGCTGAAAAAGGAGCTGATATTATTAAATTCAGTTACCATACAAGTACTTCTTAAATGTTATTGTTATAACTAAAACCAAAATATGTTGTGATATTAAAATTTATTCCCTCGTCAGAATCCACATATTGACCCAGCTGCACCGACAAAAACACCAGTTGATGAAGAACCTCTATCATTATCAAGAAGTACAAGATCAGGATGCCAAGTTCGCTTTCCCGGACGCTATATCCAGTTCATTAGCTGACCTAGCCGATGATGGGAGTGGTGTGGGGTAGCATTGTTTCAAGATTACGTGGCTAGAGTACTTGTGAAGTTAAGTGCAAGAAGAAAGAACGTTTGCCTTGGGTATTACTTATATAAATAAATAGTGATACAAATTAGTAGTGTGTGGTTACTAAAATCACCTAAACCCTTACATATCCTTACATACTTAGAGTTAAAATTTGAATTATCTTCAAGTAATTGAGAGTTGTGCTTAATCCCATAGATGTTAATTTGTACCTCAGTATGTGTAAATAAGTCACGTTTTATATTAAAGAATAGTTGTATTATAGGTATATCTGCATATATTTATCGCAAATCCTTTAAAACAGACCATATATTGTTAAGTAATTAATGGAGATAATGTATAAGAGAAAATTAAAAATATTTATGGGTGACCACATTTTTTGCCTCTCAGTGTAAATAATCCAGCCAAAAATGCTTTGAACTATTGCCCAAGCGCCTTCATATCCAACCTTACTATTCCTGCTTCAAAATTTCTATTCTCTTCAAAATTGCAATAGGTCAATATAAACGCCTCCATAAAACCGTTGTACCTCATCCCAACCCTCTGGTCCAATATCTTTCAACCCCCCCCCTCTTATACAATCCTTCAACGATGCCTGAAGCGCCAATGGCCTCATGATTTCCTACATAGTGAGAAATAGTGCTGTGATGGACTATAATCAATGGATTTCTTTTTCACTCTAATATTGTGTGATGTTACAAAATTAATAAAAACAATTAAGTTGCTTGTAGTGCTTTGGCATTGATAACAGAACAATAAATTTATGAACAAATTTGTTTGTATGTAATTAGGTAAAAATATTTCAAAGTGTAATATACGTTATTCCATCCCCACCACCCAAAAAACTGTTTAAAGCAATCTTTCACAGAAACTTTAAAAATATAAAATAATAAAAATGAATAAAGTACTATAAATATTTTTTAATGCAGTCATTTTTTACCTACATCCATTAAATTTAACAAAATTTTCTTTTTGCAATATTAATCTAAATCTTTTTTAGTTGGTCCTAGTTAACCAAAGTGATTATCTAATTGATTTTTTTTTCTAATGTGTGATTGAGATGAATAATTAGTTTCATGAGCAGGACTCAAACCCACAACCTTCGGCTGGATATGCTGGTGCTCTATCCACTTGAGCTGAAGGTCATGGGTTTGAGCACCACTCGTGAATTTTTCATCCCAACCACACTTTACATAAAGATTACAAATCAATTTAATTAATCTAAATAAAATAATCAAACTGCAGCAGAGATTTATCAACCTTGGGGTTCCAGTCTTTTTCCACTGGAAAAAAAAGGAAGTACTTCAAATTTGAATTAAGATCCAGTGTGATTCGGACCCAGGACTCCATAGGGAGACTGTGAAGAGAAAATTTGATTTTAATTCAAAGCAAATATACATTCTACTGAAATGCTTTTTCTAGCATTCAAGTCTGGTTTGGTCTAATAGCTATTACATATTATTTATATAAATGGGAAACACTTGATTGTGTCACAATTAATTTATATAAATATTTTCCACCATTTTTTCCTATATATTTTTTGTTTTGCAGATCTCAGTTTAAATGTAACTCTTTGTGATTGAATTATGTATTTTTTATTCAAGCTTGATGATTCTTTGTCACACTTTCTTACCCACATTTCTTCCCTTCTATGTAATGAATGTACACATAATATTCTATAAAATTAAATTACTTCTGGAGCGCCTCTTGGACACGGTTGAGAGACATGGTCCTTCCTCATTAATATTCCATGTGTATACAATAGTTTTCAGTTACTGACTGTCTTTCACACATGATACTTCAGTTGATAGAGTTTTTACCTATTTTTGTTGCTTCAGTGTACTTGTATTTTTATGAAGATGTCGATCTTAAACTAAAACCAGTGGTTCTGGATGAAAACAGTCTTTATGATTTCATTATTGTCGGTGCAGGATCTGCAGGTAATAAATGTATCATCATGAAGAAATTAATTTAAATTTGTTAGAATAAAATAAACAGTTATAATCAGTGCATTTTTTATATTAAAGTGCAATATATAAGTACAAATTACAATTTTTCATTTCATAAAATCACCGTGTATATTAATTAAATGGATAATACATAATGGAAAAATCTTTAAAATAACATATTAAAGGTAGAGAATTTTTATATTAAAGTACAAAGAACAATTATAGAAATAATATAGGTGTGTATTATACTGTACCCTTTAAGAGCTATTGTATCACAAGTAATATAAGTAGTACATGTATTTTTAACTATAATTTCGTTAAATGAAAGGAAAATATGATAAAAATAATGTTTCCTTGCAGTGCTTAGCATAGTCAATCTGATGCATTATTTTATATTGAAATTTATTCAAATAGAACAAGACAAATCATTTAGTGAGGTGTCGGTGGCCGAACCAGTTTAGCACCATTGTCACGGCGCTCATCACTGTAAAGAAATACTTTTAGTCTCATCTTTGAAAATAAATTATTAATTTAATACTATACAAGGTAGTCTTTTAATATGATGTAAAATATGAATATTAATGTTACGCTTATGTATTTTTATAAATATAGATTTCTGATCATGGATGTAAATTCCCGAACGTCCAAATAAATGTTAATAAATAACGTATTTACTTTATTATTTTAAAAACCAAATGGACATGTTGCCTGACCTTAACCAACAAATTTGAATAAGAGGACTTCTTCCATGTTTTAAGTAAACTACTTTAAATTTTTAGCGTATTCGTTATTGCAGCATCTGGATAGATTTTCATTCCTTCTTAATAATTATTTCCAGTTTTGGACAAAAGTAGGCTTCCTCAATTAATAATAAAATGCTGGGCCGTATAACCAAAATTTATTTTTGACTAAAAAGTAAACAAGAATGGATTAATGGCCAAATTAGTTCTATTTTGAATAGGGAATATATGCTGAATCTAACTTGTTATCTAGTCCATACGGATTAAAAGGATTCTGAGCCATTACTTCATTCTGCTCTTTGCAAAACAGCTGAAGGAGGCGTAACTTAAAAAATGACTTCCTCTGCATTGGTATTCTTCTGAGAGGTTCGAGCAAGCTGAGCAGAAAGTGATAATCCTCGTCAGCATGGAATGTTTGGTTTATCGTCGAAACGACTTCCACTTTTCTTACTTGATTTTTCTTTGACTTTGGCGGATTGTTTTCAGAATTATCAAGGGGCATCAATGGCCTCATAACCCTGTTCTGATTTTGTTTTTTTCTTACCAGAAGGCTTACCAGATCTGTAGTCGACATTTTTTCTTCCCTTGTAATGTCTAAAAAAATATTTATAATTATGTACGTGTATTTTCATGATTATATTCTTAGCCATATACCAAGTTCATCAGCTTTTTTCTCTGATACTGTGATGTGTCCTCTCAGGAATTGCATAATGCTTAAATAAGGCCATTTTGGTTTGATGCCATCTCCAGAGACATGAGACCTTAAATATCTACCCATTTCAACTCTGTATATCTTCTTAAGTGCGTCCCACTTGAACTTAGCATCTTCATCTAGAATTAAAACAGCTTGATATATTGCAGATGCAAAACTTTACATTTTAGAAAAGAACAGAGATAACAAAAGATAAAAAGAAATGTAAAAAATTATAGTTATATTTTTTAAAAATACATTTTGTAAGAACATTACATACAATCCATTATATTTCGTGGTCCGATTGACCAAATAACTTCTTTCAATTAATTAATCTTTATGTAAAGATTGGCTGAAATGAAAAAGTGTCACAATCGGGATTCGAATGTTGTACTTGTTCTAAAGTCATGGGTTCAAAACTCGCTCGTGACACTTTTTCATTTCAATCAATACCTTGCATAAAGATTAATTAATTGAAATTACATACAATGTACATTTATGTTATACACGGTTTTACCTCTGATTTTTTCAGTTTCAACGAGTTTTACTCAATAGTTTAAATTAAAATAAACCATAGAAATGTTAATGAATAATTTACAGGTGAGTCCAAGATTGAGGGCAATCGCTTGCCAAGTGTTTCTCTTTGCCTCTTTGTTTAAATATTCCGGGCTTGTCTTGTCCCATAAAAGGGGTTGCTTTTCTATTTCTCTAATCAATGATATCAGTTCCATCTTAGCGATTTTCTTTGCCTTTAATCATCACATATTTATGCATTTCTGATCAAGAATCAGTTATGTACTTGTAAGCTCTCAACTTACCTTAGACATTGTCCTGAGGTTGTTTTACTAATATAATAATGAATTAATTTCAACAAAAAATTTTGATATTTTTTTTTAGTTTTGCCTTGAACTATAAGAAAAGAGTTAAATAAAAAGTCAGATTGTAACATACCATCTTGATCAGATGTATAGTTTATAAAAATAAAATAAAAACTGTATTATAAAGGTATTGCATTATTATGGAGAGTTTCAGTTTGTGGAAGCTACAATTTCACTGCAGAATATTTTTCATAATTTAGTCTTCCATGATATTTTACTCTAGATACCTTCTTATTTTTTGTTTTATAGGCTCCATGATAAACAGGATGGTGTGTGAAATGCCAGCCAAACATATATGTCTTTTATATGTGACTTTTAATATACTTGTTTCTCAACCTAAAACTGATAACCCCACAGAACAACTACTGACTTCAGCAAAATGGTTCTCAAAAGTAAGTTCCTCACCTAGTAGATCTGGCCTTAACACGTTCACAGAAAGACCTATTTCATTTGACTTGTTCAGGTGAATATTTTTGAGTAATTTGAGAAAACTGAGAGCTTGATGACACTGGCTTGTATCCGCGTGGTGAAACCATCACTGATGTCTCCATTGTGGCATAAAAGTTTGTAGTTTGGATTTTTAAGGAACAACCAGCATGCCAGACTTCACAGATTTGTGCTATCTATGTACAATCCGGATTTCAAGCATTAAATCCATTAAACTAAAAACCCCATTAAATTTAAATTAAAGGTTTTCGTTGCATGCCATACATTGGTGAACTATAGGAAAAAGTTCAAAAAGGAAAAATTCTTTAACAAGGTTTTAGAGGTGCTGTGAATCAATACCCGAAACAATTGTAGTACTGTTTTGCAGATTGTAAATTTTTTTTTGACATTAGGTTGGAGTGACATAAGTTTGTATAGTAGACCATCGTTTCAGTCATGTACGCTGATCCTCTTAGTTAAGCATGAGTCTACGTGGAACCAAGGCAGCAGACAGATTTGGAGATAGGAATGTTATTGAGTTTTGAGAGATTTGCTTCGATGTGTAAATGACATGGATGCATTTGCATTCATTCATCTAAATTTTCCATTGTCTACACCAGTCTGTCTCTACATATTTTCTAAAACAACCATAGCATCGGGGTCAGAGGATAGCACTCTCCCTCCCATGGCATAGTTATTTGGAATTTTGGTGTTACCTGTTTCGTGTCAGACCCTACAGAATTAAGTAGAGGTACGGTATGGATGAACACACTTTAATTTATACAAGAGACCCTTGTACCACATCAAGGAAAGCTCCTATGAAATACTTTTCAAGGAAGGACATGGTCTGAAACACTTGATGGACAGTGGAATGTGAAGGTCCGAAGTCATCGAATATAATGTACAATATGCTGCAAGTGCCTTTAATCAGTTCTATAGGAATAGAAATGACGATTGTATTAATCATGGACAGTGGAATAGTGGGCGTGAACTTATGAGAGAAAGTTAGAGTTTAAATTTTGGCGTCTTTTAAGATTTTTTAAAAATACTTTGGTCATGATATGAAGTGAACTAATTGGACAATATGATGAGGCTTTTTGAACTGGTTTGCCATCTATTTCAGGAAGAGCACGATGGCCAAATATTTCCAGAGTAAGGGTAAATGGGTAGTGCAGAATATACAATGATCAAACTATACGTTTGCTTTAGTTGACCGCATATACAGTTGTTCCCCAGATGTCCATAATTCATATGAACTTTGGTCTCTTGTTTAATCATTGTCATTTAGTTCCAAATCCTTTCTTGACACATTTTCCTATCTGTGAAGTAGTAAATAAAATTGTTTTATGCAACCCAGTAAGCAGGTGTGGCGTTAACATTACACGCGTGGATCATCATCATTTAGGTTTGGAATAAAAACAAAATTGTTATTTTACTTAAATAAAAAGACATTTATTATCATTATATGGTATAAGGATATTATTTTTTGTAATATGGTAGCCAAGTCAAAAAGTTTTTTGTTTACAATACCAAAATATTGAAGACTAATAAAGAATGTGAAGTCCAAGAGATCTGAAAAAAGAGAAAACACTTCAAATTAATAAAATATGTTATGCTAAATATGTTGTTGTTACTGTCATTGAATAAGAAGAATCTTTTAAATGAAATTTTTCATTTAATACTTCAAAATAAAGCGTTAAGGACATGTGAGATATCAATATTTTAGACAACATACCATTCTGTTAAAACAGCAAAATCTGAAATTGTGATTAAGAACAAAATTTATCCAATAAGTTGTATTCTATCTGGGAGCATTACTGTGATAGCAGAGGTCATGTTTAGGGGCGGAAAAAAAAGAAACCAAAAGTTGAAGAAATTAATAACTACCCAAAATACATTTAAAACTGTAAACGTAGTAGAGTACCAGGTACCAGCATTTATTTATTTTTAAATAGTTGAAACAGTTTGATTTTATTTACTTACATTTTGTTGATCTGATTTGATGCCAAAAGAATCTTATAGATAGGATAACAAACAGCAACAAGGGTTTTATAATAAACTAATAAACATTAGTTTACCACATTTACCACTAATAATCAACAAACAGTAATGCTAATAGCAAATATAAAAAATCAAACATGCAGACACTTATCTAATAAATGTATATTTTTGAAAGATATTTGATTCCCCATTTTTTAAAATTATGTTACTCATTTTTTTATTAATACCTATATAAAAATATTGTTTTGAAAAATAAAATAAAATTTATCATACAAATTTAGTGTGGTAAATTTTTTTTTTAGCACTGGCACTCTACTGCTTTTAAAATATTGCGCTAGTAACAATAAAGGTTTTATTAATCGCCCAACCCTTAATATAAAAGAAGTTTTTTTTTTTAATTTTTAATAGAGCGAAAAGATAGAAAAAGTAAACCGGTGAGAGTGAGATATGGTTGATCAGAAATGCAAGATGGAAATCGCCTAGCTCCTAGAAGTGCCATTCTCGATCAGTGCACTTTTAGTTTCTTTCTACCATCAAACTGTCTTACTACAATTTCACCAAAAGAATTTTTGCAATTTTCCTTACCTTAAATGTGTCTGGCAAAGCAGGTCAATTAAATGACTGTAGAAAGAAAGTAAAAGTAATTGCAGCAAAATATTGAAATGACCCCAAATTTTCTTCTAGGAGCATAAAAAAATGCCCGATGTCAAATTTTTCATGGCCCCAAAAACAAATGAAACATTTAAAATTAAGTTAATAAAAAATCCAAATGATTATAATAATTTTGTTTGTTTGTTTTATTAATTGCCTTCACTCGCTCTCTCTCCCTCTCTCTCAATCTCTCTCCTCTCGTTCTTATTTTTTAAAGAGACGTTTTTTCTTTATTTTTTTCTCTCTTTTTAATGAATTTAAAACCGGTTCAATACTGGACAGCAACTCTGGTTCTGCGGACAGGAAACAGCAAACGGACAGGAAGTCGTAATATCAACTGCTTTCTACACTGAGTCTGCTTGTCGGTTACAACTCTCTGTCTGCACTTTTCAAAGCCCCCGCCTCTCCCTTTCTCTCTCTCTCTCTCATCATTACACCTCACTTGCCTGTTCCCCAAAATATATATGTTAGTCAATTCATCCAGCCCAATAAAAATACATATTGTTTGTTTGGGAAAAAATTATTATAATAATAACAAAAAGGTTTTTGTTTGGCTTACAAAATAAAAAAATAAAATAAATAAAACTAAAATAATGTTTTAACAAAAAAACACTATTAAAGATAACTATTTTAGTGATTTAAAAAAAAGCAAACAACAAATTTATTAACAGCACACAAAGGCTTAATGAACCTACTAAGTTATGATACATTAAAAAAAATACACTTTGTTAGTAAGCTTAACTATCTGAGGGATCTAAAGTTTACTAATTATTTTATGTATTAAATAAAGAATACAGAACATACCGATAGTTAAGCCAACTTGGTAAATATGAATGTTGTGTTGTGTATCTTGTACTGCGCAAACAAATACGAGTACGTTTATGTGTCGGGAAAAAAATTATGTTCTGCAAGGTTTAACTGTCTTGTAGGGAAATGAAAAGATTTTCTTTAAAAACCAAACAAATTGGGAATTCAGAAATGACATTCTGAAACCAATTATAAAAATGGAAAACACACTTTGATGATTTCTTAAGTCAAAGTCATTGGTTCATTTTTATTTTTCAAAAGGACAAGGGGGAAAAGTTCTGATTTAAAGTAGTGTGCACCTTTTATTTGCAAGTGTTGTGTATGTATAAAAGTATTTAACTAAGTATATTAAAACAAATTTCCTGCAAGGTAACTTGCAAGTACAAGGTTTTAAGTATATGTTTCTTCTTGAGGGGAGAAAAAAAGAGTAAATTATTGTTTAAACACTCAGACACTCACCTTAAGCAAATATTAAAACAGGCATCACGTTTATTTCATAATAAAATCAATGATGATAGGATCCTTTTATCTGTAAGGAATAACAATTTCTCATTAATAACAGAACAAGAAAAACCATAAATTTTGTAGAGCAAATAAATATTAAATTTTTATATAAAATTTTTTTATATAAAAAGGTCTTCATTGAGATGAAAAAGTTAGTGACACAATCAGGATTGGAACCCACGACCTTCAGCTTAATAAGCAACTGCTTTGACCACTTGAGCTATCGTGTCTTCAATCCACTTAGACTCCTCACTTCAACCTACATTCTAGAATTTTCCCTTCTTTTTGCCATATTTTCAATTAAACTTTTTCGTCTCAACCAAGACCTTAGATAAAAAAATATAATCAATTGAAATAATTAATACAGTCAGTTATGTCTACTAAACATATATGGTTTATACTGAAAGAAATAATTATTTTCCTTCATATCATAAATTGTCAAATTGTAAAAGTCAAATCCTGATTTGAAAATAGAGCAAAAAGAGGGAACAATTAAAAAGGTCAAGATAAGGAGTTGGTGTACAAGTGGAATGAAGTCACAATAGCTCATTCATGTGGTTAGAGCAGCAGCATATTGAGCTAAAGGTTGTAAGTTCAAATACACCCACTTTTTCATTTTAACCAAAACCCTATTTAAAAACACCACATTATATAAAAAGGTTAATTAATTGAAATAATTAATGCAGTCTTTTAGTTAAGACTACTACATGCATAATGTAAACATAAATATTAAAAATTGAAGAAAAAAGAAAAAAAATATTCTGTGCAACTTTGAAAAACGGTTTAGGAAAAACTTCGAAATTTTTAAAAAGGCAAATCAGAGCCAACAAGCATAATTTTCATAAGTTGTATTGTACATTGATAAAATTTACAATTATTGCCACCAGTTGTGTTACTGTAAAATGACAAAACAAATAGTTATCCATTAAAATGCAACATACTCAAGACTTGTCAAACTGTAAAATATATTTGAAAGGTAAGCTTAGCTATTTTATTATTTAAATCAAATTTATAAATGTTGCTGAAACGAAAGAAGAAAAGATTAAAATAATCGTATTTTATTTGAACTGTAACAAATCTTTTCATCTTAAATTCCATTGTTTGTAATATATCACCTACCATAAAATGTATAAATACAGTTAAATCATTAAAAAGTAACCAATAAAAAGCTTTAAAAAATAATAAATAAGCAAATGTAATTAAAAAGAAGAAGCAGCCCACAGAAAGGGGAAAAGTTAACAATAGGTATAACTTACGGGTACTAGTTTCCGTGTTCACAACGCCTAGTGATCTCTCTTATCTTGCTTTCTTGTTTGTACTGTAAGGAACAACTAATTATTAATTTTCAAGTATTGCAGGGTCCATTTGAAAACTAGTACCCGATAATTTTCTAAGAGAGGAAATATCATTAGAGACATTATAATCCATTAAAATAATAATCGGTATATTCAAAATTTAAGTCATTTTTTCAATTTTGAGCTTTTTTTTAAAATAATCTGTAACTACCTGGATCTAGAACGTGATCTGGAATGTGATCGTGACCTCCCCCTTGAGCTCTTGCTGTCGGACCTCGAACGAGAGCGTGATCTAGAGTAAGAACGCCTTCGTGAACGAGAGCGTGATCTTGACCTACTTCTGGACCTCCTTCTAGAACAAAATTTTCAAACAGGTTAACCTGCGTTTTGGCTGAAAAAAATGCACCAAGTGCAATTGCATTCCCCAAATAGTTAACGTTCATCACAAAGTTGACAAAATTACTTCTAAGTATTCAATAGAACTAAGAAAAAGAATGGTTTAGAATGGCGAGATTTTACTTTCTATGTTTTAAGTTCTGTAAAACGCTTTTGGTTTAGAAGGTATTGCTTTTGTTTTCAAGTTGTTTTCAATCATCTTGATTGGACTTTCCTAGCTTACTTTGCCATTTTCAGTTTAGCAATCTTACAATGAATCTTACAGAACAAAACAGTTGGAAATACAGACCGGAATGGGCAAAAATTACAAATAAGAAATTTTCCAATTAATAAATTAATAATAGTATTCAGCATGGCAGTGCACATCCAATAAAAGAATAATGCAGAAACATAAAAAAAATGTTGAAGTAATGTCTAAATTGTATCTGTATCTATATTTTCCTTTCTTTGCCCAGTCTCTCTAGCATATGATAACGTGGTGGTAGGGGTAGGGGTACTTAATTGTTCGAGTGAACAGAAGGCTATAGGCCCATTACTGATTGTCCTGATCGCATTTCTCTGAGCACTGTCTCAGAAGTATTAGGTAAGTAAGAGAGGTGGTGGCTGAGAGGATACAAACCTATGTATAACAGTACTAAAAACTTTGTTAAACCTCCACTGGAAACAGACAAACAAGGAGAAGTTAAGAAAAGCTCATTTAGGCTCCAAAAACAAGCAAATTGGATGGAAATTCAACAATTCAGGCTCACCACTTAATTAATAAAATCAGAGATACCCATTCTTAGAAATGGGGACTCACTATATGACCCCGGAAACATTCTTTACATGATCCTATAAAGTCTCAACAGACTATGAAGTAGAGAAACTCAGATGAAGAAGGAGAGAAACACATACAATGATATGGTATACAGATGACTCCAAAACAAACGAAGGAACTGGTTCGGGTGTTTTTGTTCAAGTTCAAAATATGAGCGATCAAACTCATTTGGGAAGTACACTTCGGCCTTATGAACAGAAATAAATCAATGCTTGTGCCCTATACAATCTTAAAAGAGGTTACACAGGCAAAATAAAATCCTCATAAGATTGGATAGCCAAACAGCTATTAAAGCATTAGCATGTAAAAAAATAACATCGAAACTAGCCAGTGAATGCATCCAAAATCTCCAAAACCTGGGGAAACACATCAACCTGATATCTTTGGTGCTAGGAAATGAAGAAATTTTGGGTGTCAGAAAAAAAAAAAAAACAGGCCCAAGAGGTCTGCGTGACTGTAAGCCCTGAAACTATTCTTGGGTTAACAAAAGCTAATACAGAATCCTCCATCACAGATTGGATCCAAACAAATCAAAAAGAGAATTGGATTAACTCTAGAGGTAAACTTGTGTTAAAACAACCCTTGCCGAGACTGCCAAATTCACTGCAACAAATGGAGAGAGCCGGACTCAGTGGATGATACGACTATTAACCTGTCACTGTCACCTGAGAAAGCACATCTACACAACTTGGGTATACTCAATAATGATTCAATTTGTAGATTATGCAATGAGGAGAAAAAAACAGTCAGACATATCTTCTTTGTGAAAATATTTTGATTTGAAAAGGTTGACAAATGACAATTGCAATAAAAGGCGAGACTTATTTGCTTACTCTCATGCAAATATGGTGAAGATGATTAAATAGATTTTAATACTGTGAACGTTTTAAAACTATTTTCTAACTATAAAACTATAAAAAACAATCTCAATCTAGTTTCTACTCGTATTGAATTATTTACTCAAGGATTAGTTTTCCTAGTATTAATTGAGGATATGGCTTTTTGTACGATGTACCTGATTACCTGACAAGATTAAAAATAAATGCTAAAAAAATAAATAAATGATTAAAAATCCACCGAATGCTCAGCACTGCTCAAAAAGTTGTTTTTACTCCATATGATCTCTAAATATCTTATCACTCAAACTTAATTTGCTGCAGGTCCATAAACATCCAAAACAATATATTTTTTCTTTATAATTTTTGAATTTTACTTTATTAGCTGTATTTGATAGTAGGTCAAACATTTCAATAAAATTGGCTCGATTAATTTTTATATCAAATACATATTTTTCCCCCCAATTTTTTTTTCTTTTTTGACATCCCTAATAATGATGGCTTAACTTGGCAGTTGTATGAATCAACTTAATTAGGTGTTTATTTTATTTTTTCAATGTGTGCCCATCAAGCACATTGCGCCCGACAGATTAAAAAATTGAAATGTTTGGGCAAACTTTCTACTCCAGTTTAACTAAATGAAAATGGCATGACAGTCAAATGTTTTACCATATTTGTTTTAAAGATAATTTATCGTCCTTACATAATGTTACACTATTCAGTAAAATGTGCCACTAAGAATAAGGACGTGGTGTTGTTGCAAGCATGAAACCATGCCCAATTTAATTTTTTTTTTTTTAGTTAGCTGTTGACCAGACCAGACAGGACTTGCTGGCTCAAAGCCAAACATCGAATCCGGTTAAATATAAATACTTTATAAAACGATACGGCTTTTAAGAAAATATACCTTCGACGGTTGGATCTTCCTCCACGGCGGTACGGCGAACTGGGACGTCCGTACCTCGCCATTTGTACCCTCAGCTCCCTTCCATCCAGCATGCGGCCGTCCATCGCGTCCAACGCGTCCTCGGCATCCCTTTTGTCATAAAACCTGCGGTGAAAAATTTTGTTAGCCAAGATGAAAAAAAGGCGTCGAACGACAAGGTTAAAAGTCTTGATATTTTTTTCGAGTGGGCGTTGGTATGGGACTGACCGTACAAAAGCGAAACCCCGGCTTTCCCTCGTGAACCTGTCCCTGGGTATGTAAATGTCTCCGACTTCACCGCATCTTTCGAAAACACGCCTCAGGTCGTCAGGCGTAGTGCGGTACGTCAGGTTGTCGACTTTGAGCGAAACCATGCCGTCGATGCGCGGCGGTGGCCGTCCGTAACTCATCTCTGCACGTTTTAAGAGCCGCCTCCAAAAGTGGTCGTTAACTTTAAGAACTCACAGATTCTCCTCTCGACCCGGTTCAGACGAAACGAGCAGTGGAACGGAGTCGACTGTACGTTGGAGTGAACTTCTAAGATGGCGGAAGCTTGGGTTCCGGGCTCCCCAACTGGACTTTCTAACAACTAAAGTTTTCAAGTGGGGGGAACTCTAAAGATAAACTCTTACGACAATCGCAGTGAGCGGCCCGGCATATTTTAAAGTTCAAACCATGGAATAACACAACATCAATTTATAAGACAATTATTCTTTCCTCTACAAAGTTCTTATATTTTTACCCTTCAAAAAACGCTTTATTCAATCACTGACAACAAGATTTCTGCTTTTTCTATAAATACTTTTAAAAGTTCTTTTTTACTTCAAAGAACATCAGGTGGAAATACCCAGTTATAAAGTTATCAATACAATTTATCGCCTTAAGGCATTCACAAATATCCATCTAAAAACTGGCTAAAATTGTTATAGCAAACTTTATTTTTATAAAAACGTGTATTATTAAAAAAAAAAATAAACATTTTTAAATTATAATTATCAACTATATTGAGCAGATTGTTTGCAGCAGGGAGCATCATTGTCTATTGATAGAAAAAATACTTAGCTCTCCAACTCTTGAGAGAAGATAGAACAAAATATTATTATTTTTTAAAAAATCGATATTACTTTTTGTCAAAAAATTAGTAATAGGAGACTATAGATGTTAATTTTGTCTTATTCTAGTCCTATAAATTAAAGAATGAAACATTTATCTAATTAAATCACTGACAAAAAGATTTATGCTTTTTCTATAAATACTTGTAAAAACTCTTTTTTTTCTTTTTAGCATTTTTCAGCCAATTTAAACTCTTTTTTCAACCAAATTAAATCATTTTTCAACTGTATTTAAATCATCAAAATTGTGAAGGTTGGGTGTTAAAAACCTGTTAAGACCAAGTAAATGAAAGAAAATTGTTATGAAAAATATTGTACATTAATATTTGATCGATATCGAACATTATGAAAGATTATTCTTTTTATCTAAGGTTTTTGGTTGAGATGAAAAATTAGTCTCACAAGCAGGATTCAAACCCAAATCGGCTCAATACACCGCTGCTCCAACCACTTGAGCTATCGTGACTTTGATACCCTCGGACACCAAAAACCTTACATAAAAAGTATAATTAATTGTTGCAATAAATATGACCAATTATTACCACTAAGCAAATATAGATTAATTTAATAATTGCAAAAAGAGGGAACTTCAAAAGGATGAAGGTTGAGATGAAGAGTTGGATTCCGAGGGGGATCGAAGTAATGATAGCTCAAGTGGTTAAAGCAGTGTCGTATTGAGCCAAAGGTCATGGGTTCAAATCCCACTCGTGGCACTAATTTTTCATCTCAACCAAAAGCCTTAGATAAAAAGAATAATTAAATGGAATAATTAATATGGTCAATTATGACCACTATGTAAATATGGATTAATTGTGTTGTTAAATATCTTTAAAAAAATTAATTAGTTAACATTTATCATTTCTTGTATTTGCTTGTTGTCACTTTTGACAACAACCTCCATCACTACATCATTACGATTACGACTGTTGAATGATCCTATCATGAATTTATTTTTAATTTATAATTGCCACAAAGATGAGCAGATCTCATGCTCACAACAGGGAACATTATTGCCCACTGATTGGAATGACAACTCTCCAACCCATGGGAGACGATAGAAAAAAATGAGATCTTTAAAATAATTAAAATAAATAAATAACAATCTCATTCAAATCACAACTATACTTTCTTATAGGATATTACTTTCCTCTCATTCTAGTCCTATAAATCAAGAATGAAACGTTGTTCTAATTAAATCATTGATAACAAGATTTATGCTTTTTCTACAAATACATGTAAAAGCTCGTTATCTTTTCATTAAAGAAAAACCTTGTTAAAAGAAACCTTGTTTAAATGCTAACAACAGAGAAGATAGCCTACTGAGTGAAAAGATACTGGTATGATAAAACAAATGAGATCTTTAAAATAAAATAAACATTTCATCTGACACAGAAATATTTCTATAAATTCTAGTCCTATAAATCTAAAGATAAATTTCTTCTAATGATGATAGCAGCCTGGCATCTTTAAAGTTCAAACCATTAAAAAACAATCTAACTTAATTTACAAGGTACTTTTTCCACTGCGAAGTTGGTTTTTTTTTTTTTTAATTATTTATAATAAGACTAAAGTTTTCATGAGAATCTCCGGAGTAGTGAAATTGTCAGTGAGCCACTTAAAAGAGCCACAACACTATCACCAGTGCATCCAACGGCCTATCAACTACAGCTCTACGCTTAGTTTTACCCTTTAGCTATTTCATTACCTTAAATTATTTTACATATTTTCTAGTATAAGTTGACTATCATCATCCCTCCCTTATTCCCCTTCCATTGTACCCTGTGTCTGTGACTGAATTATGAGTGAAATACTTGATTTCTTGACTTAATGGCAAAACGAATCTCAACCCATGAATAGTATAGCTTCTTAGTCCTACTTGCCATTGTATTTTTAGATTTCATATATCGCCCAAAAATTCTTTTTTTTTTTTTTTTTTGCATTGCCAGTAAGAAAAAATTTTTTTGGTTGTGAACTACTTTCATACAAAGTGAACCCAGGTGAAACAGACATGCATGACACATTTCTTCCTTGTAATCTTGTGCACTGCATCCACCAGATCAAAGTGTGATAACTTGACTATCATCCCTCCCTTAGTCTTCCTCCCTAATAGCCTAAGCCTTCAAAAGTCTAAGGCTGAATGTTCATACGTCCGTTTCTGGACTTACACAGGAAAATAGCCTAAGCCTGTGACTCCTATGGCATTGTGAATTAAATAATTTATTTTTGAATTGACCCATGGCAAGGCGAATTGCATTTCAACCCACGACTAGCCCTACTGGCCATTATACTTTTGAAATTCATGAATTACACAAAAGTTCCTTTTCTTACATTACCTATAAGAAATTAACATTTTTTTAAGTGGCCAATACTAGAAAGAATCTATGTGCAAACCCAGGTTATAATGACTTCTGACAACATGCATGCCTACCTCTTTGGTATGAAAACAATTTAGTTTTTAAATAACAATTTTAACATATTGACTGCAATCCTGTCAGGCCTTTTAATTGGTTTAAAATTACAGCAGACAAAGCCTGGAGAAATCGGCCTGCATCAGTACAGAAGGAGGGGTGTTGACAACTGCTGTCAAGGTATTAGTTCAGTGAAGAGACATTCCGTGTGAAAGCTACCAGAGCTAATTGCTTAGTAACTATAAATGTCCGGCTTGGAAGGTACGAAGCTTCCTTATGTACCATTGTAATTGATATTTAGGGATATTACTTCTTTGTATGTGTTTAATTTAAAAAAATAATTATTGGCAACGTTTTACTAACAACCACCTGATACGTAGCAGTTTCACCTATTAATGTCGTATGTTATGTTAACCGTCAGATTTACCTGACAAATGCGAATCCCCTGCTTTCTCTGGTGAATCTGTCTTTAGGTATGTAGACGTCTCCAACGTGACCGTACTTGCCGAAGATGAGCTTTAGGTCGTCACAAGTCGTCCGGTAGGTTATGTTGCCGACTTTAAGGGAAATCATAGCTTCGAGCCTGGCCGTGTTCCTACCATAACTCATAATTATACGTGAAAAAAAGGTCGGCCACCGGGATTGAGAGGGTTGTAAGGTAGACCCGATCGAACCCTCTAGCCCATCAAGAGCACCGGCCACCGGTCCCACAAAAAGAAAGTCGTATTTTTTTCAATTTGGCCGTTTGTCTTTTAGCTCATTTCACACTCGGGACACGTTCTGAGCTGGAAAAGGCGATTAACGACAAAACAGTGACAAAGGAAACTCCTTATTGCCTGTTAGAATCCTCACAGGAGCAAGTTTTGATTAGCCCTCTAAAACTCGATGGGAAATCGAGCATGGACATTGCTTTGATCAGCATCGATTAGGAAAGAAAACAGTAAAATCAATTACAAAAACTGACGTCACGAATAAGAAAATCCATACAATAATTATATATTTCATACAGCAGATTATAAATTTAGCAACCTCTTAGCAGGAATCATCATCATTTCATAATATTACTACTTAAAAACATTTTCTTACAAGTTATCAAATGTTTCAAACTATATGTGGTATAACACTGTCCCTCAGGGATCACACTTCAGCCCCTCTCTATTTAACATTTTCATTGACAATGGTATGTCAAAGACATCTGCCCTTAATGAAACGCACATACTCCCATTCGCAGACGAACTCAAAATATTTCACAAAATCCTTTCTGAATCTGTCTGCATTTAGTTACAGTTCAAACTAATTAACCTGGAAAAGAGATACATCAACAACCACACTACTCCACAAAAAATGTGTCGCATTTTGAAATTTTGATACTTTTTATGGTCTTGCTTTTTCAGTAATATTAACGCCAATATTTTTTATAATTATTTAAATAAAAATATAAAAAATTATTTTATATTTATTTAAAGATTTAGTTAGTATGAAAATAAAACAAAAAATGAATTAAAAAATAAAAAGAGTCTCTCAACATGACACGCACAATTACACAGAAGACAAACACTTTGAGCCCTGAAGATGATCTCAATAAAGATCGAAACGTTGGCACGATAAAAAAAAATGTTTTTCTGAAACCTACATCACACCAGACCGCATCTCACGATTTCTGAATAATTATCGACTAATGGTCACTACTCACCACACATTATTTACAAAATTTAATTATAATACAAATTATTTAAAATTTAGTGGAAACTCGTAATAAACTTCCTTTACATCGTGACACTTTTTTCCTTTCCTTGAGTCGATTTAAACATTTTTTTTTTTTAAATATTGATCACGGTAATTGTGTTTGATTTGTTTGTATATTTTGTTGTTTTCATCATACTTTTATCATTCCTTATTATTTCCTTTTTATTTATTTATATATTACTGTTAATTTTTATCATTCCTTCTCACTTATTTTACATTTTTATACACATAAGTATTATGTCATAATACTTACAATATTTTATTTGTGTTTGTTATGTTAAATATGTCCATATTTGTAATTATTGTTAAATTAATATTACTATTTATGTCGTGTAATCGGATTGGATTCTCGACGACCATTACTATTTATGTTTCAATTATTACTTATTACTTATAAATATTTTAAACTCTCAGAAAACTTAACCGGGTATATTTTCCCATATAAATTAATAAATATTTAAACCTTTAACCTCCTTGAGGAATTCTATCCCAAATCTCAATTAATGTAACTTTCAGCTCAGCTTAAGTTGTAAGTGTTAATTCTTTATTTTACCAAATGCAAGAGCTTGTCCCAACATGGTTCAAATCAAGGATGTAGTCTGGCCTTCTTAAAGTGTAAATATTGACATCTCGAAGGTACTGCATAACGCTGGTGGCAACAGTTGGTCTTGGCCAATGAAAGTTCGATGATTGGCTCTGAACTCTTTTGTGACATACCAAACTTCTAACAACATAGATCAATCAGGCAATGGTTAATGTAGCCAAGTACAGTGGCATGCAAAAAGTTCATTTAAAGACCTTCCCAGAAACTAAGGGCAGAACTACTAAAACTAGGATGTGTTAGGACTGTTAGGAATAGCTGGGCTGCTAAATGGAAAATGTAGCCAAGGACAGAAGCACGTAAAAAAGTTCATCAAAAGACCATCGGTGACAAGAGCAATACTACTAAATCTAGGAGGGCTGCTACCTGGACACTGCAGACTCCCAAGGCATACATATTGTGGCAGAAACAAGCCTGTTCAGATATTGCAAGGAAGAAGAAAAGACATCAGAATATGTCCTCTATTAGCGCAAAGCCTAATATTCTTACTCCCGGGAGAGGAATTTGAAATGAACACATGAAAAAGCTTTGGGATCTGGTAAAAAGCCTTAAGCTTAATGAGGAGCTCTAAACAAGAATGGAGATGCACAATAGCCCAATACTGGTCACAGCACACAGATTGTAAAGGGCAGGCACCAACTGTAATCTATCTATTTGATATTTTTTAAATTATTTTTGTAATGTTTTATTGTATAGTAAGGTTTAGTCATGCTGTGGATTTATATGACACAGAAAGATTGAATTTCTCTTGTCACTTGAGGAAGGGCTAGTAGTGTTTGCTGTCATGCCACAAAGTGATATCCATGATGTGTGCACAACTGGTCAGTGCATGAATACTGTAAGATGAAGACTTTCTGATGCTGACTTACAATAAAGATGACCTGCCTACCACATTTCAGAACTTCAGACAAGACATGGTTGTTTTGCGAGAGATCTACTGGATCGAGCAAGATTGGAAATTTTATTTTATGTTCAGTCTAGGTTTTTCCAAGGATGACAGTGTAATTAATATAAAACTGCATAATATGATCATATGTTAATATATTTGAAGTATTTTATGAATAAATGTGATTCACATTATATCTTTTTTGTATTACTGTAGCATAGATTTCAGCAACTAAATTCAAACAAGCATCCCTTTGCCATTCTACAGTGCCATGCAAAAATAACAGTCCATCATTTCCCATGGCATATGTGTTTGTTGTGTTATTGAACAAAAATCCTTAGGCCACTTCCATGGAGAAATTTCGAGCATGCATTGATATACGAGAAGGTAGCAGGAACGCAAATCATAGTGAGTCCCTAAAATTATAATTCTATCTCAATTAAAGTAGGCATGTAAAATTACGTAAAAATATTGTTACCTCAGTAATAAGCAGCTTAAGATTCTAATAAACCCAGTTCTTCATAATTTTGGATAAAATATTTTCAATGGAATTAATTCATGTGCTTTTATGTAATTTAAACCATATGTTGAAAAACTGATTGTTCAAATAACAAAATATAACACCATGCTATCCACATAGCGTACAAATCTATTCATGTTTACAATTAAACAAATAAATGTTTGTTTGAAAATTAAAAATTATTTTTACCTAATAATGTACACCATGCACATACATATTTCAGGATAAATTCCAAACGTTTTCCCTACAATTTGGTACCATGTTGCTCTTTCCATTTATATTGTTGGTATCCAATTTACTTCTCATAAGAATGGTACAGGCTCAAAGGCACTACTGCCTATCTGAAGATCTAAACCCAAACATGCTCTTTGGGTCTAACACAATATATGAGACAACACGAGGAAAAGTTGAACATAATCTCTTGCCAGGTAGAGCCTGTACATAGAAATGTTAGATTATTCAAAGAAATAAAATAAGTTTTACAGAGTGTGAAGTAAAGGCGATTTGGACATTAGTACGGGTCGGTTCACATTACCCAAGAAAATCTGATTTTAAGATGTGGGAGAAAATGAATGAAATGAAAGACGTGATTCTCAGCAATCATAGAACTAAAGCTAGTAAGATAAAATGTTTTTTTAATCATTTGTTACATTTTATAACATTTATTTTTTGTCTGAACAAATACAAAATTAATATATGAACCACTACACTCAATTTTGTTTAATTGTTTTTTTTTTGTATTAACTCTAAATTTGTAATTTGGTCATTGATATCCCCACTGTAAGATATGTTTTGCTGTATTGCTGGGTTTGACCTACTGAAAACCACACTAGCCACCACTGATGGTAGCACAATGGCAAAACACATCTGATAGACCAACCCAGCAGATATAGGCAGACCAAAAATGACTGGTAATGACCAAAATATAGGTCCATCACCTTCAGACCACACAGAGAAATCTCACAATCGCTAAATTTCTTGTAGTTTGGTCATTTCTGTTGTTCTGGTCTGCTTATCTGATGTTTAATTGCAACTGAAAGATTGAGGCAGTTCAGGAAAATCAGAGGTGAATAATTCTTCAAACCCTCCATTTCATCTGTCTGCAGAGTTCAATAAAAAAAAATAATCTCACATTCTAAATTGCTTGCTCTTTGTACAAGGTGCTGTATTTAGTTAAACTGAATTAATTCAAATGAATATCTATTTTTTTCTATAGTTTTTTCTACATAATCTTTATTTTAACGATTGCAGGAGGTTCACTATGCCCCAGAGATCTTGATGCACTTGAAAGTTGGTATCCAGTATTGGATATCACAAATGAAAATATGTTGAACAAGGTTGGAATGTCAGAGACAACAGAGATTGGCAAAGATTTGGTGAAAATGTACCCAAAAGTGTTTAAAAATATGAGTGTCCCTGCTACAGTAATGGTATATAAATTTAATAACAATTTATGTTGTATTAACTTATGGTCTGTAACTTGATCAGTTTTTTTTCTTTCAAAGTATGCATATAGCAGCCAAAACCCAGCAAAACAAACTGCTCAGGTTTTTCTTGATGGGATGAGGCTTGCAGGGTCAACAGCGAGGGTTATAAATCTTGGAGAGTTTTCCGCACTTTCTGTGAGTGGTCTTATTTTTATTTCTGATAATATTTGGTACGTTTCGCCTCGATTGTTACATTCCAGGTAGATCAATCGTGCCCAAAATACAAAGATTTCTTAACATCTCCTGAGAACCTAAAAGAATCACGGATGTACAAAGCTCAAATGGAGATAAAAGAGATGCTGAAAGAAGTCAGCCATCGCCTTGGCTACTCCTACGATCTCAATTTTGGTATAAAAAAAAAAAATAAAATAAATAAATAAAAACCGTAAATGTACTGATATTAAAGTTATAAATCTGTTTCAGATGTTGTCTTCCAAATGTATAAACTTTGCAGTTTTGAAACAGGCGCATATCTTGGCAAGATTTCACCGTGGTGTGCAGTATTTGAAAAACGCCATTTCAAGGTTATATTTCAATTAATCATACCCAACAGAAATATAACAAACAATTATTTCTTGATTCTTATTATTTTTATTGTTGGATTTTTCAGATTTGTTTGGGTTTGAATGTGGAAAGTTCCATCACAGTTGGGAAAGCATAAATTTATTCAAATCCAAACAAATATAACATATTACTGCTCAAATGTTCAGTGAACGACTGAATGTTCATTGTACAGATTACAGCATTAGATAATACATTTCATATAGAAAAGTAAAATAATTATAACAATTATTATTGTTACAATATGATAACTAAGTTATTGTCATTACATATCACAATTTCAGATATTTCAAAATGACGAAGATATAAACAGCTATTACACTATGGGTTTTGGCAGTACGTATGCACCAAGACTTGGTTGTCCAGCGATAAAAAACTTATTCCAAATATTGGGGTAATTTACACAATAATATAAAGCTTTGAGTAGTACATTGAAGGAAATCTTTTAAAAGGGAAATAACAAAGCATACACCCGACGACCCACAAGTGACAGTATTGTTCGCACATAGTAATACTTTACGGTTTGTCCTGACTGCACTGGGTATCGCTTGGGACTCGACAATTTTAACTGCAAGGAATGTTGACGTTCGAGAAGACCGAATGTGGAATTCATCTTTGATGGTGCCATTTTCAGCTAATCTCCAAGTCGTTTTGCACAAGTGAGTGTCAATATTGTTAGGCATGATTGCAAATTTCATCGATTTTGGTATTTCATCTAGGTGCCAGAATTACAAGGTGACTTTCATTCTCAACAATTACAAAGTCCTATACTCAACTTGCAACTCGACAAAATGTGATTGGGATGTTCTACGAGATGAATATGAAGACATCATTGACCCTTTGTCATGTAATTTTGACTTTTGTTCTCATCAGCTTAACAGTATTGGTCACAACACGCATGTCCATTTCTTTGTGACTTTACTCGTAATGTTTAAAATAATTTGGTGACAACACATAATAAAATATCAAATTTTATCACGATGTACGAGATTGTGTTTTATGATGTTATGCCAGTTTGCAACTAACTCAATTTTGAATTTGACAGTACATATTGTAAAACTTAAAAAGAGTAAGTATTATAATATATAATGGCAAATTGCATAAATAAGAGCATTATATTGTTTTTATTTATTTATAAAGTTATATTCCAAGTAATAAACAAAAGCTCCTTTATAAAAAAAATCCTTTTTTATTAACATTTAAATGAGTAAAAGATAAAGGTATTTATAAATTGTACAAAATATAAATTAAAGTCGGTTTTATTTTGTCAACTGACAAAATACAATTGAAAAGTCCTACAAAAACAGGACAATTCTACAAATAAATGTTATGCTTAAAAATAATTTGTTTTTTTACAATTAATTATAAATAGGCAATTTACAAATATCACCAACCATTTGATTAATATATAATTCAAATATTGTATACACAAAAATGAAATAAAAATTTAAAAGAAAATTTTGATAAACTGAATAAATAAATTCCAAGCAAAATTTACATTTATGTACACATGATCAGCACTTGTTCAGTCCTCTTCATACCAATTATAAAATGTTCTCTTGTTATTTTAAAAATGGAATGGCCACAAAAATGAACGGTTTACTTAATTTATGATCGCCCACCAAATTTCCACAATCTGAGACATATTTCAAAAATTAAACCCCTGGACATTTAAGAGCACAAAATAAAACATCAATTCACTTTTAACAAAACAAATAAATAAGCAGTTGAGTATAACCTAGGGATTTAGAGTTCCAGCCTTTAAAAATTCATTTGACTAGAATAAATTGGGGGAATTTAATAAAAATTAAAAGTGAATCTAAGGTTAATCCCTTCACAAACAAATAACAATGTATAAAAAAGGTCCAATTAAATGTATCCAGGAGATTAAATTTGCCCGTTGTTAATTTACAACCATTTGCTTTTTTTGTCATGATGGGGGTTCCTCTTTAATCTTAATATCTGTTGGCATGATAATTGCACTTTTGGATTCATTCTTTTTCCTGTTTCTCCGCCGAGGAGCTGCAGTCGGCTCAGAGGAATCATCCGAACTGACAGACGAATTCTTCCTCCGCCTCGATGCACTATGTGGAGACGCTTGAGTTGTAGATGTTGTTGACGATTCAGAATTGTTCCGCCGCCTTTGATTCTGAGGTGCAGCTTGACCAGGTGTAATAAAACCAAAGTGTTCTTCTATGTCTCTCATTCGCACCTTCCATAGAAGGTTCTGCTGTTCAACTACATCAGGGTACCTAAATATTTTTATTAAATAAAATCACAATATATTGAATTTAAAAAAAAAATGAATGTTACTAAATATAAAAGATATACAGTAGGGCCTGGTTAAATTAATAACAAATTATCCATTTATGTACAATACATTTTGGAATGTTACCTTTTCATAAATTCCCCATCAGGTTGAAGCCTGAACTGCCACAGTTTGTTGCGCTTAAGAACACCAACTTGGCTCATGATTTCTTTAACTTCTTCAAATGGTAAAGCAATTACACTTCCAAGGTTTTTACGTTCCAAGGTTCTACCTTGATGAAATTCATGCAGCTATAAAAGAAAAATATATATTATTTTTCATACTTCTAGATACACATAAATTCACTGACATACGATATAATCTCGTGAGTTTGCCATGACCTCTTGGGGAATCCCATTCTTAGGGCCTCTGTAGAGCAAGTCACTCCGGAGGACCCAATTGCCAAGCACCAAAACAGCACATGTTTGGAGGCATTGAACCACTTTGTCTAAATCCATGGAAAGCAACCAGCTTAATTGAATTGCACCAGTTACTTTCACTGAAAATAAAAATAAATAAGCTTAATATAACTTCTATTGTAAAATTATTATGTAATTAACTTACCTTGATCTAGAACTTTCCTAACTTGATCTTGCTCACTAAGTTCCTTTAGACTATTGATTGATGTCAAATGGTCAGGTAACTCTGGTATGTCTTGGTTAGTCTCGACTTCTTTAGGAAGAAGGTTATCTAAATAACTCTCACAAGAAAGTTCCATTGGAGTTTCGAATTTTCTCTGTGTACCCACACAACATAACCTTTCTCGCTCAAACTAACATGTAAAAACATAAATAATTAAATTGACCCGCAACATGACACAAATGTCCTATTTCAATTCCCTTATTATTCTAATTTATCTAAATCACAACTTTTTGTTATTGATTTCTTTATTTTACTGTTCTCCCTAATTTTAAATATTATACAGTTTGTCCTTTTTAGATGGCCTAGCTGAATTTCTCTTGAACCAATGACCTTCAAAACACAAAAAATAGGTGTTTAATATTTTTTAACTTTGTTTCAAAGTATGGTGATTAGTGACCATTAGTCGATAATTATTCAGAAATCGTGAGATGCGGTCTGGTGTGATGTAGGTTTCAGAAAAACATTTTCTTTATTGTGCCAACGTTTCGATCTTTATTGAGATCATCTTCAGGGCTCAAAGTGTTTGTCTTCTGTGTAATTGTGCCATTCTTGCGTGTCGTGTATTTGTTTCAAATGTTTACCTTTTTTTTGAAGAAAAATTATACAGGGTACCTCAGGCTCAGTTCAACTTCAAAATTTCATACGACCCAATACATCTTGACAGAGCATTTTAAAGGAGTTTTTGCACTGAAAACAATGGCGCAATTGGATTTTAAATTTGTCAATAGTTGACAAAATTATGGCCAAAAGTTTGAAAAAACGCATTTAGTTTGTTTCGTTGTTAATTCCAAAAATTGGCTTCTTCACTGAAGTAAACATTAATTGCCTTTATTGTTTACATTCTGTCATTGTTTAGCAAACAAACATTACGAGAGCAAATTCTCTTAATTCCTGGAAGTAAATAAATTTTACAATAATACCTATTCGTCACATTTAGTGTCAGGATGTATACGGTCATATTTGAAATTGTGAAGTTGAACTTGGTCTGAAGTACCCTAAGTACAATTTCTCCAAAAAAGGTAAAAATTTAAACTAAACTAAAAAATATTAAACACTTTTTTTTTATAGCATCATTGGTTCCAGATAAATTCAGCTGGGCCATCTAAAAAGGACACCCTGTATTATAATAGAATTTATATGAATACAAAATTTACATAAGCGATTGTTGACTATTTTGGACATATAATGTACAAGAATGTAGGCGTGAGAAAAAAGAAAAAAAAATCAAAACTTTATCAATTACTTTTGCCAATGGTGATTCATCTTCATGATATTTTGTTGAATACCATGGCTCGTTACTGGCTTTTTCGCAGTAGTAATTGTAACTGGATTCTCGTGCTTTTTTGGATTTTTCCGTTTCCACTTGTGCAAACTGTACATGGACCAGTCTTGCCTCTTCTTTGTTTTTTGTTTCGTCTTCTATAAGCAAATTGGTAGTCAGATTTCCACTTTTATAAATCTATTTATTTTTGTACTCGCCTTTTTGGTCAGACTCTTGATTTGACTTATGCGAGAAGGTTGGAAACATAGAGACTATACCTCTGATCGGGGATAAAATTAATTGCCTTCTATTCATAACACCGATTGCAAAGTTATCCCTATTTATATTGGCTTTTTTCGACTCTAATTTTATTTTGTCCATAATCTTCCTGCAATCAAAAAACATAAATAAATTAAAACCTTAAAAAGAGTCAATAACTACGATCCACTTACATAGGGTAAGTCCTTGACGAAGCTGGTTTATCTTTGTCAACAATCTGAGCCAAGTGTTCGCCTTGGGCTTTGTCATAGTTAGCATTTTGGGTGTCCAAAGATACCTCCAAGACAACTTCTTGATTCTCAGGTTTGATCTGGCTCTAAAAACATTAACCAATATTTAGCGTCTTTTAGAAATTTAAAACCAAAAATATCTTACTTTGATCACATTGTATTTCCCAACAGAAGCAGCTGGTTGTACTGGATACTGATATACAAACAGATTTTCCGAAAGATCATGGGTTAAAAATACAGGTATCTACAAAAAATTTCCTTAATTATTTATGCAAAATATATGACAAAAGATTTAAGGAATAATTAATTAAAATGAGATGCTTAGGTTAAATCTTTGTTATGTACATCCTAATTTATTTATCTCTACATCAATAAGTCAAATTTCAATCAAATGTAAAATTAGATTCATCAACTTTATTTATGTACTTGACTTGGGATTCTTTACATGGTAGTGAAGGTTTTCTAATATTTCATCCCTGTAATTTGGTCATTATTGATCTTTCAGTCTGATTATCCTCGTTTGGGTTGGTCTGTCAGACATGTTTGGACATTTGACCATCTTCAAGTGTGATCAGTAATGACTAAATTACAGAAAGCACATGGAGATTTCATTCCTGTTTATAATGTTTATGTTTTAATTAGCTTCAGCTTTTCACCAATGTTTTATTGTCTCTTTTGAATTCAAACTGAAAAGTATGCTAGAGGGGGGAATTTATGCATCGCTTTTATTTATCAAAGTATTTATGTATAAAACATTAAATCTACATAGAATAGGCCCGCATTGCATAATTTGATAAACTGGACTATGGTTTATAAAGATTAAAACGCTCTAAAAACAATATGATTAGTCCATTGGATTTCGTTCTTTCTAAATCATTCTGTTTGACTGAACTAGCAAGAATAGTACAACCAAATGATCAGTAACGATTAAATTACACGGTTGATCACCTTGCTCAGGCAGAAACTAGCTTCACTCTCACAATATTATTATCAATCTAATGTTATATTTACATTAATAATAATATATTCTATCTTACATAAAAAAGAGATATGATCAATTCATACATGAAAAAGTAGCCTTAGAATTTACCCTAATTGGCCACTAATTTTACATAAATTAATTATTCTGTAATTTTTAAGCCGAATAAGGAGGCGTAGTTTTTAAGACATTTCTGGAAGAGAAATATTTTAAAAGGAATTTCCTTTAAACCAGGTAATAATTATAAAATAAATCAAAATAATAGTTAACTTATGCTTGAAAATTATCTTAAAAGATAATCTGATTAATCTTTGAATCTTGGGGATATCAAAGATTCAAAGCAATAGAAAAAGTACAGGTATTTCTTTATTAGAAAAGTACTCACATTGCCTTCTTGTATGCCGAATTATTTCTATAAATTGGAAATTGCTATTTTACATCTTTAAATTTTATTTTTCTTACACAGTAAGTTCTGGTTTCTCCTGATTTAAGAGGATTAAAATCACCTGTTCTTTGGAACGATTTACTTAAATTTTTTTAATTTTTTGAATTAAAACCTGATGAGTGTGAGACCTCCTGTGGTCTGCAGGGTGAACACATAATTTGGTTGTTACTGAACATTTTGGTCTGCCCACCTTCACTGTTCCGATCTGTTAGTTGCATTTTGGTTAACCAGAACAGTCGAAAATGAATAAACTACAAGAAATTTAAAAATTGTGAGATTTCTCCAAGTGAAAACGCAATTCGGTTGTTACCAATCATTTTGATCTGTCATAAACTTTTAGCATTTTGCCAACATCAGAGGTGGTTAAGTATGAATTTCAGTGTGTCAGACTCAGCATTGACAATGGCAAATTATCAAAATGTATCTGGCAGACCAGCACAGAACAAAAAAATTATTGGTAACGACAAAATTACATCATAAGTAAATATGTAAAGTAATTCCTGTCATACAGGAGGGCTTAACGTCCAACTAACTGTTGTGTGTTGAGGATGAGATGTCAAACTGCTTTATCATAGTTTTTCATACCATTATCAATTAAAAAGCCATGGGCTCTGCTGGGATTCGAACCGCAAATAGTGTGGCAAATACGAGTCACTCTTCCTAACCACTCAGCCACTGCAGTCCGCAAAAACACGTGTTTAAGACTCTATCACTTAATGAGAAATTTAAGGATCTCTGGCTTTCTTTGGTATTATGTACTATTTTGATGAACTCTTAAGTCTGAATGATGTGGGATAATGCTTTATGAGATAATGTGTCTACTAAATAATAAAATAATTTCTAACATTTTAAAATATAAAATCATAAATTAATAATTAATTAATTAATCCATTTGTTTTAATGGTCTAATTGACCAAATTACTTATTTCAATTAATTATTCTTTTTATGTAAGGTCTTGGTTGAGATGAAAAAGTTAGAGTCACAAGCAGGATTCGAACCCACGACCTTTGGCTCAATACACCGCTGCTCCGGCAGGCAAAGTAATTTCACCATACAATTTTACGGGAAACATCAACCAATCTTTCTCTACATGCCGGACTATTAGGCATGCCAATCAATGCCACTACTCCAAAATAAAATTTTATTAAAAAGTACAAGGCACTGATACCAGAACGGGCAAATCCCTACTGGTACACTGATGGTTCCAAAATCGACAAGGGCACAGGAGCTGGAGTCTTCGGGATGAATCCAAAGACCGAACTGATGGTAAACCTAGATGTTACAGTTTTCCAGTCTGAAATCATAGCAATTGAACACTGCGTCAGGGGAAAAAAAAGGGTGAAAAATAGCCATCTTCTCATACTGTCAGGTAGCACTAAAGGTCCTAGCCTCATACGAGGTGAAAGGAAAGAGTGTTTCGAACTGCATTGAAGCCCTGACGGAAGTCAGTGGCACTAATGATCTGACGCTGGCATGGGTCCCTAGGCTCTCAGGGCATAAGAGGCAAAGGTTAACATGTTGGCAAAAGAGGGAGCCAATATGGACTCTCTAGGTCCTGAACCCTAGTGTGGCTTAGCATCTTGCCACAAAAGATGATACATCTTAAAATGGATACTTAATGAGTCCAAAACCTGGTAGAACAATACCACAGGCATTAGGCACGCCAAGAGATTCATAGAAGGACCATCTGCAAAACATACAAAGGAATTACTGGAAGACAACCGCAACCGAAGCAGGATTATGGTTGAACTCCTGACAGGGCACTGCCACTTAAGAAAGCACATGCACTGGATAGGAGTACAGACAGAAAAAACACTATGCAGATACTGCCAGGAAGAGGAAGAGACCGCAGAACACATTTATATTTCTGTGAAGGTCTATGTAGGTGCAGGTTCATGCACCTAGAATAGGAAAAACCACAAGCAAGATACTACACTAAGGAGCTGCCAGCAAGGTCATGGAGGTTGATTTACAACCTGAAGCTGTCCAGTGGGTTATAAGAAACAGGGGAGCACAATAGATCTTCCCAAGTCGAGGAGCAGAAGGCCTTGCAGCTGCCTTTTTAATCCCTATCCCTACATGTCGGATATATGTGGGCTTTGGGTTAAAAGTAAATGTCCAAGTGTCAACCTTGCATGGCCCATCCCCTCTTCTCTGAAGGCCACCTATCGACACTTTATATGACTGAAAATTCTCAGTCTACCTGGCCCATTGATGCTGGTACTTTCTTTTAATCATACTGTTTAATCAAAGGGCAAGATTGCAGTGGTCAGATCTGGAGGTTGGGACATAGCCACCTTGCCCGCCTTTTTTGACCCTCCAGACCTACTTCCTCTATTAAAATTTACAGTTTTTTAATTACTTATTGCCTTATGGAAGGTAAAGTTTAAGGTTGGTTCACAACACTTCGAAGTTAAGCTAATTACTTGAAACAACATGCACTATAATCAACAATGATGCTGAAAAAATGCAAGAACAAAGTTTTAATTAAATCAATCACATTGTTTTGTTGTTTTTGTTTAGTATGCAATGCATGAGTACCATGCGGCAAAGAATGGTATGCATGACCGAAAGTAGTACATAAAGTATAATTAATTAATAAAAATGACAAATCATTACTCATTCAGCTTCACAATTGTTAATACTTCTATCTGGTGAAATTATTGACGTCATTTCAAAACAACAGTTCACCACTGTTAGAAATAAAGTAAATTATAATTTTAATAAATGTAAAAAAAACAAGTGTTATGATTCAATAACTGAACAACCAAAAAAATGCCAGCTAAAAGAAATTGTTAAAAATCAAAACCAACCACATTGCTTTGTTGTATGTAACGCACGAGTGCCATGCAGGGCAGCATGGCTAACATGCCATAAATTTGGCATTAGACGATACCATTCTCAACAATGCAAGTAATGTCAGGTAAAATTAAAGTTTTGCCAATTGAAACGACGTAAGAATGTGCAAAGAAATACATCATATTAGAATTAAAAGATTTGTCCTTTCTACAGAAGATACCTCATCGATTACTGGATCGTCTTCGTCATCGGACATCATAGCAGTTGGTCATCAGCACAATCCCCGATCACACGGTCATCGAGCAGATGAAAATGTAATCACTCCACGTTTCTTAACCTTCAACCTAGTCAACAAAAATCGAACACCAAATGGATGAAACCATGAAACCGTAAGCTTCTCCCTTTGACCACAACTCTGGTATCACCTGTCATCCCCACTATGTATTATCGAAACAAAATAACTTACAAGTATCGATAGGTGAAAGGAATAATTAAAAAAAAATATATTACAATTTTATATATTAAACTCCTTATAATAAAAACTTATATAAACTCATAATCAAAATAAATGGTTGAAATAAGCAGTGATGGAGAGTCAACAATATGCATAAAACGTAACATAAACTCATTAGTATATGAAAAAGTAGCATTTCACATCAAACATAGCATTAACTTAATTTTATGCAAGATCATGTTGTCAATAAAGGAGCAAAGTTAAAAATTGTGACAGTGAATATGCTCAATTAAGATATGTGTGTGTGTGTGTGTGTGTGTGTGTGTGTGCATATATAAAACTGCTCATTGCATAAATTCATATCATAAATTATAAAACATTACATCAATTCAAAACGTATTCATTTTTCATAATCTATATCTATCATCTATAACACGTGCATTTTAATATGCAATAAAAATCCACAAATATGCCATATAATATGCACTAAAAAACTATCAAATATGAAATGATGGTGCACTAAAACAATTTCAAAAAAACTCATAAATATGCCATATAATTTGCACTAAAAAACTATCAAATATGAAATGATGGTGCACTAAAACAATTTCAAAAAAACTCATAAATATGCCATATAATTTGCACTAAAAATATTAAAATTCATAGGATAAATGTTAGAGACATTGCTTGACTAATAATTAACTCTTTTTGTTAACTCTTGACATTTTTTGGAGATCTAGTACCTATTCATTTTACAAATGGATCAAGTTATGGTCTTGAAGAAGAATGGAAATTCAGTTGCTAGTGTCAAGTTTTTGACCTATTTTAAGGTCATCATCAGGGCAAAACAACCTTAACTGTGTTCACAGATTGACATATCTTCAACATCATTGCAAACCATTACTGCCACTTCTAATACTGAAAACATATTCATTTTGAAAGGATATATAATAGAAAAAAGTCAGTCGTTATATTTGCAATACAATAAAGTGGAAAAATTATGGACTTGATTTATCTAGTGTTGGGGTAATTCAATGATCATTTACTGTAAAACCTAAATTATCTGTAGTTTTTATTGCAGTAAGTTTTTAGGCCTGATGGACTGTGTACAATTAATTAAGACATAATCGCTTCCTTTTAGATGCACGTTCCTTTTTAGACACCTTGAAACATTTGGATAATTCTATTTATACTTTTCAAATTCTAAACATGAAAAATTCCTTTTTGTAGGCCTGAAATAAACTTTTTTTAATAAAAATGTTTATGTAACATTTAAGAACAATTTTGATAAGGACACAGCATCTCTAAAACATTGGAAAGTGCATAAAAAAAAGAAGGACAATGTTAACAAATAATATAAATAAATAAAAATATCTAAAATTTAAACTCGCAAACCTGGAAAATTTTTTACTGATCAAGTTTTGCCCCAAGAGTGCAGATAAACTCTGCTGGGCACTCTACAAAAAGAAAAGCAGTTAAACATAAGCCCCAGCAACAAACTAACAACTATAATATTTAACGAAAAATAACAGATTGTAGATTGGAAAGAAGTTTAAACAAAAGGAAAATCATTCGGAGAATTATAAAAAACAAAAATGCTTTTAAACTAAAAATGTAATTAATATTAATTGTACTATTATAACAGCATTATTTTTTAAAATATTAATACAATTTATATTGATCATTTTTTAATGATTCAATTGACACCACCTCAACTGCCTGGAGTGATCCCATTGACTCCATGGTTCTGGATAGAAAATAGATCAATGGCCACAGGGGTTACACTTGACATGGATGAGGCAATAAAAATGACAAAAGGAATACCTCAACTAAATGAAAGGAAAGGTGGCTCCGACATTTGTGGGAGAACAACTCGCCTTATTTGGGGCCTCATTGTATGGTCAAAGTGAAGACACGGAGAGGACAACTTGTCATCAAATTCCTGACAGAACACAGATATTTCTGCTTGTACATCAGCAAGATGTGTAATTTTGGTGACTACCCGCAGGATGATGCTTCCACGCATCTTTTGAATGTGAATGGTGGGCACCAGAACACCTTCACTGAAACAGTCATGACAGATCACATCAGAATAGTGAATAGGTCTCTCAACAGCTGGACGGAGATGGTGGTCTTCAAAAGACAGCACTGGTACGAAATAAGGTGGTACCATCACTTGAGGTTGGGCAGAACAGGTGATAAATCTAGATCTGGAGGTGGCTTATAAGCCTTAGTGAGTGGTTCCATCCTGAAGTTATACTCATAATACGTCCAGATGGGAAAATAGCCGGGCTTAGGTAGGTTTTTTTTTAGTGAGTGCAAGTCAGACTCAACCGAGAGGGTAAAAAAAAAAATTATTCAACAGAAATTTACTTTTAAAAGTGTTTAAATTATTAAATTGGGTTAAGAAAAGAGTTCATTAAAAAAGAAAAGAAATTTTTAATTAATTACAATAATAAAACATCCAAAATAGACTGAAAAAAATAAAACAAAAAACAGTAGAATAAACCAATTTTATTTCTGGCAATAGAAAAATTATATTTCAAATAAATACAACTTTAAAGATGACAAACAGCAGGTAGTCTTTCAATGTTATTAAGTTATCTATCATTAAATACTAGAAGCAGAAGGTGCTGGCAGCAAATGCTTATGCACCATGTGCTCCTTATTTATCAAGTGCGTAGTATGGTTCAAAAGTCGCATTAGATCGGCCAAATTTCTGCCCCAGTCATTGAGAACATCATTAGGCTGCTGAGTCGCACTGAATGTCACGACACCAGCAGGACGGTCTGTTTTTGCCGTTACGGACTTATTAACCACCATTTCGCTCAGAGTCTCTTCAGTTTCCTGCAAATAAATGCATTAAAAAAAGTCAGTAGTATTATTTAAAAAAATATATATATACAAAAATACTAATCATACATCAACTGTCATATCAAGTAATTCAGACATTCTCTTCAAAGTGATTCTTGTGTAGTATTTCGCCATGACTCTGATGTTCTGGAAAATATCAATTTAAAAATTTATTGTCAATAATAAAAAAATAAATTAAAAGTATGTAAAAATGTTAAAGTGATAAACGTTCTTACATGTTCAACAACCCTAGATTTAAGCTGTTTCCAGCTTTTTTCTGCGAGTTCAGTCCCAGGCTTGAATACCCTTGCCGCTTGTATTTCATTAGTTCCATTTTCCAGAAGCGGCTGGTAGCGCTTATAAAACGCTTGCCATTCCATTAGTTCATGGGTCATGAAACTCTGCAAGAATTGCCTGTGGAATAAATTTTATTGTAATTTGCTTGATTCTTAAATAGGAATAAGAATGTAGTACTTGTATGGTGGTAACTGGTCAAGTGTCTTGTCATTCAGGACACGGTGTGCAAGATCTGACTGTTCATTGTCATATGGGGCTAATATTAAATGGATCACAACGTTTTGAAGAACATCCTGGCACTGCTGTTTATCATCTTGTACTGCAGGTGTTGCCAAAATTGCTCGGTAGTGTTTGCATGTTGCTAAGTACAATCCTTCATGCTGATCCAGATCAATCATTAACCTAAAGAAAGTCAAAGTAAGAACAAATAATATGCAAATTTATATGTAATTAAGTGTAAATAAATTATTATAATCCACCAATTTTGAAAATATTTCCTTATATATACTTTTTTTCCCCCGGCTGGCTAGCTGCCTGTGCTACTAGCTGGCACCTCACATTTCTTCCACCTCACATTTTTATTTATTTATATATTTTATTTATTTATTTAATTAATTTTTTTTTAAGTTAGATTTTCTGTAGGAAGTCTGTTGAACTTTCTGGTTGTGTTCTGGGACGTTATTTCTACATTTTTAACCCTCCCACACATGGTGAAAAAGCTCTGAAACTATCTCATTCTCTAGCATTCAATCCTAGCCTAGCCTTTATGTGGGTTTCAGAGTACTACATACTCATTCCTCTGAAGACCCGCCAAATATCCCTATTGTCCAAGATAAAAATATCAAAGTACTGACTGCAAATCACCCAGTGATGAATGTATTTAATGATAAGTAACAAGGTCAAGCCCACAAACATCGATGTTTGCACCAGGAAAGAAGGAGAGGATGTCGGCAAACTTGAAAAGAAAATGTAATCCACATACTCATGAGAATAAACACATTACAGAACGTAGAACTGAACAAATGAGAAGAGAAAAAGGGAATACCACACTATATTGACATGTCAGGTCTGAAAAAATCAAAAATCTAACAGCAGTGGTTGAGGTATCGATGGACCCAACAGGGAAGACATTGACATGAGCTCATAACCGAAGGTAAAAGTCCCAAGGACAAATCCATCACACATATGGGCTTTTTTTTCAAAAACACCGGCATTTCTAGAGTTCAAGAGAAAAAATTCAATTAAGTGTTCTTTTTATCTTATATTATTATACTATTTTACTATCTTAATTGAAATAATTAATGTGGTCAATTATAACCACTAAACATGTCGCACATCTACAAGAAAAGTGACACAATTGAAAACTACTGATGGTTCTGGCTCTTCAGATTTCACTTACAAATCTGGCAAGCTTGAATGCTCAGCTTCAAAGTTGCAGGTCAAAAATATTACAGAAAATCTAAATATTGTAAATACTGAATTATCAAATTATATTTTATGTGAAAAAATAAGATTGCATGTCCTTAACTGAATCTAACAATACACGTTAGTTCTTATGCTGTTTTTCTTTTCATTGAAAGCACATAATATTAATTTAAGGATTATTTTAGTTTTCAATGTTAGAAGTGTCGATCAATTTTGCACTTTTACTGTTGCTGCCAAGCTTTTGACCTATTTAAAGGTCATCATAAGGGCTTATAATTAATGTCACATTATGAAAACAATTGTACAAATATGTTTTTTGTAAGAATTTTTAAGCTTGTTTGTTAGGTTTGTATGTTATCTCAAAGAAATTAGTGACCTTAACGCCATTCATTGACCACCACTATTATACAGCAAACAAATTAACTTAAATTACTGAGTCAATATATGCAACCAAAGTGTTACAACTCAAAAAAACGGTAATATTTTATGGGTAGTACAGCTGTAAAATTTTCTTTTGTTGAGTTGTGTCACTTTTCTTGCAGGTGTGCAATATATGGATTAATATAATAATAATAACTGATTTTGATTTAATTCAGATTTGAACTGATCTTCGCAAAACTTTATCCCTGTGACAAAACAGTACATGTAAATATAAGTAGAATAAAAAATAAAAATTCCCCCCTCGATTCCTCAGGTTTCGCTTAATCCATCAGTTTCCAAATTTTATTCTGGCCCAATTGCAATGGATAAGTGTCAACTATGCTATTAGAACAGGGAGAATGAAGAGTTAAAGAAAAATAAATTTGAGAAAAAACACTCGAATTACTAATAGAAATTGTACTTTTCGTGAAAGGACATAAAGCAGAATCAATATAAAATAGATCTGGTTAGATCATGGATGCTATGAAAGTAACCCAAGTTTGTTTCAAATAAAGTCAGCCACTTGAATTCTTAAAATAGTAATAGTTTTACACTAAAACAATACCTATAAAATTTAAGTTTAAGATCCTGTGTATCGTTTTCCTCAAAAAATTTTGGATTAATTTTCTTTGCAATGATCTGCGTCCTGATGTAATCTTTTTTTAAAAGGCACAATCTCATTTGTTCTAAAATTAATTCAACCTAAAAACAGAAAAAAATAATGTAAAAAATGAAAAAAATTCTAAAAAGATTTGATTTACCTTTTCTCTTTTACTCATGGATCCGTATGTTTCGACCTGAAGCTCTTGCATTATGTTAGCAGCTTCGTTAATGTTACCCTCGAGCTCCTTCATTTTCGCCAACTTATGCGTAAGCCTTGCTCTTTCTACTTCAACGTAAATCTTGAATAATAATTGTAAAAAAATTAAAGAAAAATTGCCAAAATACTTTTCCAACTTGAATGTACCTTTCCTTCTGTTACCGATCGCAAGACTTCAATTAGCTTGAGCTGCGAATCCTTGGTAGGCATCTGGTCAACGTACTCGCAGCATTGCTGAACCATTTTCGTGACTGCCTGCTTCAACTGCGATCGCCTCTTCGACATCAGCACAATGTTGTCGTACAACGCCAACCAGTTCTTCGCTTCAAAACAAAGCTGAACTATGGCAACAAGGACTCTGCTGGTACTCCAAACATCAGCTCCCTGTACATTAGAAATGGTTTTAGGGTGGAAATAAGGTCTTTTTAATTTAAGTTCGAATTACCGTTCTAGTTTGTTTTTCGAGACTGATGAGGACGTCCAAGGCATCATGCAGTTTTCCTTCTGATGCCATTTTCTTGCACTCGGCTATTTTTTCATCGCAGGTCGCCGAATAATCCACTTCCATTTTCATGATTTTTCCACCGTTGTCGGTGACCAGAGCCGCTGGATCTACCATTTTTTTTCTGTGGCGTATTAAAAATATTTAAAAAAATTATATTCCTGAGGTAGATGAACAAACGGAGAAATTGTATATGAAATAATTGTTGCTTTGAGCTGTTGAAACTTACAGAAATACTATAACAAGATAACTTACAGTGGGCAATGGGATAACCTTTAAAATTATAAACAGCTAAGTCACCGAATCCGAATTAACCTGCCAATTCACAGAATTTCCCTCGGTACTTCGTGCGCTTTCTCATGAACAAAACGACCATCAAGTCGAATTTAATAATAATTATAACAATTTTATTAATTAATAGACGAATGAGAGCGAAAAAAATTATAGTTGTGTAAAATCAAAACTAATCGATTTGTGGACTGTGTTAGAGCCGTGGTAACAAGATTTAAAAAATCCTACTACAGAGTACAGGGTGTGATCACCGGCATTTTACTTACTAAAACTTTGATTAAAACATATAAAAAAAATACAAAAACTACGAAATTTTTGTTTTGTCATTAAATTTTCTATTAGAGTAAACACGTTTTTGTTACTTTTTATATTTGTACAAAAAGTCCAGTTTCTATCTGGAAGAACATGTTGACATGGCAAACTTTCATTAAACAATTACAATAAAAACAAGGTTCAGTATAATTTACAAAATAGAGAGCTATAGTTTTCTATGAAACATTTCTGATTATTTTTAAAATTATCTAAAGGTGTTAGGAACAGCAAACTTACGACAAAGAACCTCAAAACTGACAAACTGATACAGTTAGAGAGGGCAAAACTCAGACAAGCGATACAACTACATATCGGTCACTGGCAAGCAACTGAGAAAACATCTACATAATGTGGGATATTCAATGATGACTCAATTGACAGATTAAATAATGAGATGAAGGAATTGTCTTCAAAACCTGGGGAAACAACAACCTGATGTCATCTTTGGTGCCAGGACCAGAGTTTGAGTAACGAAAAGGTAGATACACAGGCCAAAGGAGGATCTGCAAAACCATATATAGTCCCTGGACATATTCTTGGAATAAAAACAAACACAGAATGGATCCAAAAAAGACAAAAAGAGAAACGGATAAGCTCTAGAGGTGCTAGACACAGTAAGCTTATGCTAAAACAACCTTAACCAAAACTGGCAAATTCACTGCTACAGTTAGAAAAGGCACTAATTTCATGTACATAAATTATCATACAACATACAAAAATAGCATAAATCTTTGTATGTATATTTCAGGTTGAGCTTTTATTGCAATTCTCACATCTGGAATTCTCAATTCATTTAAATTCAATTCTGCACAAGCATAACTACACGTATAGAATCAAGCTTATGACTTCGCACAAGAATTATCTACCTCATGTTTCAGCAGTCCAGGGTTAGACTATGGTCCTATCTGTCCTGCCGCCAAAGTTTTTTTTCAGGGGCTGTCAATAGCAAAGTCATTTCAGCACCCAACATGTGCAATTTTTAAATCTAAATACACTCTCATTCATTCTTAAAAACATTCTTTTCTATTTATAGACCATTCACACAGTAGAATGGTGGTGTACTCGATAAACCTTCATAATTTAAATTATCTAATTGAAGTTAGATAGGGAACAATATTCACACTATGAATTTGCTCCACATTCGCTTTTTATATACACAAAATGGGACACAAAACAAGATATCTATCGTTATATAGAATAAAACAGAAATTTCCGCCAAAAATTGTTACAGCATAATTCTTAGATCGGGTGGCATTCCAGCATACTATATATGGAATGGCAATCTTTCAAATAGTGACACATTAGTAACAGTAACCTTTCTTTACAAACTGGACACATAAGTGGGATTCGGCCCTGAAGTGTGACATGTGACAACCCTCCTTGGCTAATTGCATAGCTTTACTATAAACAATTTCTACTGTAACTTTCTGTACAAACAGCCACAGATCATACAACCATAAATCTGTCTGAAAAGTGTTTTCTTTATTGCTTGAAAAATACATGTTTAAGGTTTGGACTTGACAAAACTGTATTGTTATATTGGGCTAAATATCTTTGTTGTCATTGTCAATCCAATAAGGTAATGTTAAAGTAATAAAAAGAATATTAAATAAATATTCTACAGGAATATAACTAAACAATTTATTTATCAAACAAAAACTTATAAAAAAATAAACAAGTTGCTGTTATGAGTAAAATAATACTAATACAATTTATTATTAAAAATAATGATAATAATAAAAAGATAAAATAAAACATAAAATATTTGTTTTCTTAGTAATATTGGTTCATTAAACACTATTACAAATAAAACAATTTTCTTCTCAAATACACTTTTCTTCGCAAGGTAACCATATTTTAAAATATAATGTACACCATTATACAGTTATGTACAATTATAAAAAATCTTCTGTATAACAATGACTTGATTCTCAAAAGTTTTAAAAACCTTTATCTCCTTAATACATCTGCAATTGATAAATAAAGTAACAATTTGCACAAAAAAATAAATAAATAAAGTATAATTACTACCATTCACCTTCTTTGCTGATTTGATAAGCAGTTTAGTTGTTTCAGGTGGAACGTACAAGGCATCATTTTTCATTTTTATGTTAAGCGCCTGGAAAGGAACCTTTGTAAACTCTGAGAGAACGGCTTGCAGACGCCGCACTGCACAATTTAATGATGGATCGACTGAGTTGAGAATCATTGGCACTGGAAGTTGCTCACATTCAATAAAATCATCTGTTTTTGATAACTTATACGGAAAAACGACAAGAAAAATTTAATATACAAATTGTTAGATTAAAATATAAACAAATATTACTTTAAATTGAATCTGAACATTATGCTTTAAGAATGACCTATCCTTGCTTTTGTTTAAATCCCAGCGGAACCATTCCACTAAATAAGCTTTCATTTCTTCTTGAAGCAAGCAGGTGTTTAATGTAATAACATTCTCTTTATCCTGAAAATTAATTTTTTATTTACTCAATATTAAATTTTTAAAAAAATAATATACCTCTAGAATGGGGTAAACGTATGTGCTGATTGCTTTTGAAACTAAATCTTTTATAACCTCAAAGTTGTCATTTCTAACTGCTACGATGACCAAGACTCTGTATGACAGACCAGTTAGTTGCACAGTTGAGTCAATTTCATTGACTTGTATGTAAAACGAAAGTAATTTATGCTTATATTTATCAAACTTTTCAAACATATTGCACAGTAAAGGTTCATAAAAATCAAGTAGATCTAAAATCAAAAATTTTTAATGCTAAATATTGCTTAAAAAAAAAAAAAAAATTACCTATTGGTACACGTAAACTATTCTGAGATTTCATTGTGCTTTTAAATAGTGTATACGACACATCGACCATTTTGGCTGAGTTAAAGTTGATAAAAAGGAATTGTATAATTTGTTTAACAAAGTGGAATTCCCTTGAGCTACCGCTGATTTGCCATTTTGAACTGTCTTCATATAAGAGCTTATTATCTAAATTTATTAAAAAAAAAAAAAAAATCGTTATAATCACAATATCACCCAAACCATCGGCAACTTACTTATCAAAATTGCAATAGCAGAATTGTAATGCTTGTTGTAGAAGTTAATTTCAGAACAAGTAATCGCAATTCTCAATTCACTGTATTCATAACAAACCGGCTAAAAAGCGTAACATTTTGTAATCATATGTATCTATATAAACACGTTTCTATGGTATATACAGTGAAACTTCCCTATAATGGACACTGCTGGGAAATGAAATATTATCCACTACAAAGAGGGATTGAAAAAAAAGAAAAGAAAAGAAAATGTTTAGTATTACAAGATGGGTCACAATGGGGATTACAAGATAATCTACACAATTTAAACACAACACATGAGGATTCCCATTCTTATGACCAGAGGGGTTTTCAATTCACCTAGATATTTGTATATAATGGCAAATTTAAATACTCCTTTGAATCTTTTCCTCTCTGACAACGCTCATTTGCTCCTTCTCCATTTTAATTGTCTTGAAAGAAATCTTAAGCCGTGTTCTAAATTTGTAAATTTATCAAGCCAACCTGAAGTAGATGGTTTAACTTTTCGGTACTCATGACGAGTTGTCTCGTTCAGGGTTATACATTCCCCAGGCCTTGTGATGTTATTTTATTATTTTTTAATATATGCATTGTATGAGATCTAACTGGATATCTATTGGGCTAAGGTTATACCCAATAAGTTGCCGAAATGGTGAGGAATGGTTAGGTTAAAAATGTCAGAAAAACACATTTTTCATTTCATACCAATGCCTCAATCTTTATTCGGGTCATTTTAAAGGCGTAGGTAAAATACGAACATATGTTGACTGAGGAAAATAGGCATAAATTTTAATTTTAATTCACATATTCTTACTCACATTCAAGTATAGTATTTATTCCAGTAGTATGGTGTTTGTTAAGTGTATATGTGGTGAAATTTCAGGAAACTAAAGAAGACAAGAAGTACATAAACATGTATGCAAAGTGGCATAATCAAAATCAAGGAATTTGAGAATAAGGAAGACATTGGAAGGCGAACAAAACACATAGGGAAATAGTATGGTGTTTTTCAGAAAATGTTAATTATTGGAAGGCTGCCGTCCATCTTTTTGCCGAGTTTTAGAGTTAGAATATAGTTGAAAAAGGAGTCAATATCTATTACTGGGAGTGTCCACTCTTTAGAGGTGTCCGTAGGGAAGTTTCACTGAACAAATTACCTTCATTATGATTGGGTTTAAGTGATTTTCCCGAATAAGCAGAAGAAAATCGAAAGCCAATTTCCAGTCGCTAAAGTTTATGACAAAATGTAGCATAAATGTAATGCAGACACGTGCCATAATTAATATGCTGTGTTTCATATTTCCACCTGAAAAGTAATTATTAATAGTAACAATCATTAAACATACATCTCTTTACTGACTTATTCGGATTTCATGAATAATGTCCTTGATCAGCTGGAATGCATTTTTTTCCGGTTGAATTAAAGTGAAAAGCTCCTCCGCAAGTATGACTTCATACTCTTTCTTTCCACCGTATTTAAAAAGTATGTTGGCAATATCTGGGGTGTTTTTTGCCTTAAACGATCTCAGCAACGCAGCTTTCACTTTTTCGACCTCATAAACACCTCTAATATTGGGAGATGTGCTATTGGCCGTGTTCAATATCAAGGGCTTTTTCAACAAAGGATGATCCTCTGTTGAGAAAGTTTGTGATCTTTTTCTTGATAAATTATGCTCTTCTCTTGGTTTATTGGCTTCTTTTAAACAGCTCTTGAGCGGCATCTTCACAGGAAAAATTTGTTTGTGAATTTCCAAGAATTTTTGTATCAGTGTATCCATTCTTTGCAAATTCATCGGTTTCATCTTCTTCACCTAAAATAAACACAACACATTAAATCAAATCCACCTGAGGTTTTATTTTTAATTAATGAAAAACATTCAAAACCTGTAGGCCAATTAATAAAATTGCATCATTGGAAAAATTGTTATTTTTGTCATGACAGAGTAATTCAAGCAGTGATCTGATTATAGTGTTCGGCAGCTGAAAACCGATTTCAACCAAAGGTTGTAACGATTGCCACATGTTTGGATACACTCTTTTTTCTAATCCAATATACCTCATGATGTTTCTTGTAACCTAAAATATAGTTTGAAATAAAATCAACAGCTAAATCATATTGATGAATTTATTCTTACTGAAGGGCATGTATCAGTGTAAAAATATAACAGTACGCAACACACAGCTTCCCACTCGTGAAAACCAGAAATTGTAAGTGCCTTTAAAACAGCTAGCCAAACTGTTCTACAATTTTCAAATGTCTTTATTCGGCGGAAATATTCAGTCACCAACATAATCTGTAATTTCAAATAAAAATAAGAGTACAGTGGTTAATGGGAACCCTTAACCTGAATCTAGAAAAAACCAGTGTTTTCAAATGCAATAAAACAAAAAATTAAAATTATTTAGAAAGACCTAAGTACAAGATTTTTTATTATTAGTTATCTTCTCCTTCTTTTTCAATTGTTTTTTATTTGTTAAATTCCATGTATATCAATAATAAAAAAGAAAAAATATTGAATTCATATGTTTCTGGAAAGAACATTAACACATTGACCAAGACAAACAGGGATCCATGTTTTCTACTCAAATCTCAGGTATGGCTGAAGCAAACACCCACTCCCATCAATGTTTACAAAATAATTTGAAAGGGTGGTTTACATGTTACAGTATTTTTTTTTAATATTGTCAGTCCACTTAACACATTCAATACAGTGTACAGGCGTTTCCTAGTCTATGTCCAATGGGCCGTTGGGATGCTCTCGTTCTCCTATTTTCTTTTGACAATTTGTGGGGGTAAGCTTTGTGTGGAAACATTCTACCTGCCTCTATCCGGCCTCATTTTGACCCAAGCTTTCCTACTGTCAGTTTCGCCCAACTTGTTACAACTCTCGGTTTTTAACAAATATTTTTCTTTTTGTCTCAAAATTCAGCAAAACCTTATTAAACACATAAGTATATGTTCTTATTGGTGTTTTCCTGCATTTATTTCTTCAAACTGATTTATCAAAACTTCTTACTTACCGTTAAATTATTTACTTTGTATTTATATTGATTCACTCATTTTTTTTGGGGGGGGGGATTTTAGAAGGTTCTTAATTTTCCCCCAGTACATAAGGGTTTTTAAAAAGTCTTTATGACTGCTTTTATTATTATTAATAATACAAATACTTTGTTGCTATTTAGGGATGCCTTTGAAATAGTCATTGTCGTCAACCCCAAGCCTTATGGCCTCAAAAAAAAAAAAAAAGGCAAAAAACTTTTTACATTTAATTTTTTTTTTAGATTGTATTTTTATAGTCCTGTCTAGGAACAACCTTTTCAGATAAAACTAGGTCAATACCAACAAGGATAAAGAGAAGTGGAAAATAGGTAAGCAGATTATGTTCCTGAACAATGAAATGGTGCCAACTGACCGGGGCAGCTCCTGAGAATCCCATTTTTGTAAGCAGGTAGTGCAGGTCCTGTCTTCGCTACAAAGGCAATAAAAGGGGAACATACTTGCATCATGCAAAGCTACGCGACTTGTCCTGACACCTTGTCTTGGTTTTGGTAGGGTGTGCACATCTCTATGAGACGTACAGTCACACAGTGTGTATCACAAATCAATATCACACTCGCAATACCTCTTTTGTTCTTAATGCATTATTTTGAGCAAAACCATGTAATAAATTGTTAGTTAAATTTAATTGTTTTAAGTAAAGTTATTCCAGTGTTTTAGATAAATTTTCTGCCTAACCACCATAATTAAATAAATTTTATAAAAACTCATGAATTTTTGATCCCTTTTAATTTGGTTTACATTAAAAAAGCATGATGTAATTAATATAACGACAAAATTACATATACATAGTTTGAAATAACTACAAAAAATATAAGTGTCCGGTTCTGACGCTACTTGACAAAAATGGTGTAATTTTATGAGCTAAACCATGTAATGAACTGTTAGTTAAATTTCATGAGCAAAACCATGAAATAAATTGTTAGTTAAATTTGAGCAAAACTATGTAATAAATTTTATGAGCAAAATCATGTAATAAATTGTTAGTTAAATTCATTCTATCAATAAATGGTATTACGGTGTTTTAATAAATTTTGCCACCAAACCATTAAAATAAATTTCTTTAAATAAAAACTAATGAATTTTTGATCTCACTTAGTTTGGTTTATATTAAAAGAAGTATCTTGTATTAATATAACGACAATAATACATAGAGTTTGAAATAAAAATATGAGTGTCCGGTTCTTTTGTTTTCAACTGTACTCGATGCTACCCGACGAAAATCTGGACAGTGGGGATCGCGTAGCGAAGAGTAGGGTAGCGTTGTGTTGCATCGGGCAGATGTGCACGGGGGTAATACAATCTTATGGAAAATAGGACATTGGATTTGCATCCGGTGGCTGCTTCGGGTCATGTCAGGTAGCGTTGCATCGGGTAAGTGTGTTCCCTACACCTAAGGCACTGCCGAACTGAATGTGTTGCATTATAAACACCAAAAACCCAAGTAATTTGAATTAATTTACCTTCATTTTACACTTCTTAACTTCACCTAACCACTCCAAAACTGAACAGCAGAATGATACAGGAGGTTGTGCTGCTTGTGTTAAAATAAGATTAGTAATTGCCCATGCCTCTTCATCAGCCATCATGTTGTACCACTCTTTTGGTAACTGTAAAATTAATTAAATTAAATAATTAAAATAGCAATAGTTTTTCTTTCAAAAAATAAATTTTGAAAAATAATTTACCAAATGTTTTTTAACGCATAACGGAGAACAGCAATTCCCGTTTTTATAGTATTCTTCACAAATTTTGTTCATAAAATTTTTAACGACGTTGTCTAAAAATTTGAAATTGCTTATAACACAATAAATTATAATAATTTATGAAAAATCCTAGTACCCATAAAAGGTTTTTTCAGGAGCTCCATTTGTTGGCGAACTTTTATCTTCATTTTGCGAACAAATAATTCTGGAGTATACCGTATTTGATACTGAAAATAAATGTAATACAATTATAATAACAGTGACCTAAACAATTTATTGTTTATCGTATTTAATGTAAAATGAATGAAAAATTTTCCATACCTTTTGTTCTAAAACTATTGTGTGTACAATAAATACAAGTTATGGCTTAAAATTGCCGACATATGTATGCCCGTTGCCCAGTGGAGACCAAAGTGGGGGGGGGTAAATGAATGATGAATATAAATGAAGAAATAATACAAAAAGGTTGGGTCATTAGTCATTACATTTTAAACAAATGGAAAGGCAAAAAAATAAAGAAGAAGGAATCAAAGATAAATAACTCAAAACAAATTAATTACTCAGTGATTACCCAGAATCCACGGTGATTGCAAGGAGGATTGGTTCTGTGTTCAACAAAACAGGATACAGAATTTGTGCTCTGTGCCACTTACAAGGCTCATTCATTTAAGGGACAACACACACACACATACGCACATGCGTGCACACACACACACACACACACGCGCGCGCGCTTAACTGGGAGTCTGTTTACAGTGTCCATTGGCGGATTTTCCTGAAAGCCTTTTATTTTGCCCTGGACGGGAAAATCATCCTTTTTGCAGCCAAGAATCTCCTTCCATGTATCTGTTCCTAGCCCAGGATTTATCAGCTGCACATCAGGAGTAAAATCTAACAAAGAACCGATCCCTCTCCGCTGAACCACCGGCCTAACTCACCTATCCTTACTTGAACCAAACAGTCAAATCACCCTCCTCATGGCAGAAATCCCCTTCAGAGTATCCATCCTGTTCATGATAAGGGCAATCTGGCAAAATAACGCCTTTTCCCAGTCCTTGGGCCTGCTGGACTCATCTTGCCTCCAGGCGTTGTCCTCTTATCTCACTCCCTTCGTCCATTCCACCTTTTTGTTGGCATTCTACACTCCCGATTAATTTCTCACCCATTTTCCTTTTTTTTTTCTCAGTTAAAATTGTATCATACAAAGCCAACCCTCGTTTTATATTTGACCAACTTGGTCATGACTCAGCTGCCTTCTTTTCTCTGGCTCTCACCTCCTCTGTCTAGCAAACACGATATTTTCTAATGCTGAGGGGGGGGAGCAACTGAAGCATTCATTTTAACATAACTAAAGGGAATGGATTGTTTATCATATATTAAATAATGATAGTTTATAAAATAGCATATTTTAGAATAAACTAAACAATGTTCAAAATCTGTTTTTTTGTTTTTTTTAAATGCTAAGTTGACACAATTAAAAATAATATAATAAAGATAATAATTACTTTGTCTTTGTAAGAAAAAAATGACCCTTCATCAATTGGACACATTATACCAATGGGTTCATTATTAACGTATGCAGTTTTAACTAGTATTTCATTGTTGGTGAAGACCCTGAAAAACAGGACAAAAATTTATTAATAACAATAACAAATATTACAACTCTGTTGTTGAAATTAGTCTATAGTCCAAATTTGTATATTACTATTTAAACTAAAATAACTTATTGCTAGAAGTGTAATTAATTATTGCTTGCAAAGCTGAATTTGAAAAATAATTTTACTTTATTAATAAATTAAATAATTTTATTCATTAATTATTTAAATAATTAATGAAAGTGTTATTTATATAATTAAAAACCAAAAACTTACGAGGTGTCCTCCTTTTCAACTTCCAAACAACAATCATAATGGTACGAATCTTTGTCACAGTACATATTTCTATAGATGTCCTCTTGTGAAGAAGAAATAGAGGGAGATGTTGAACAAAGTGAAAAATCAAAATCAGAATTATCTTTGTTTTTATAATCAGGAAAGTTCGGAAGAAAATGAACCTTTGGGGATTTTACTACCTCTTTTTTAAAATTAGAATCTGATGTCATACAATTACTTTCTTGTATTTCAATACATTTAGTAACGGTGTTATCATATCTAAACCTTTTTTTACAATGATCAATGAGTTCTGTTCCTGTTATCTTCTCTCTTCTTAGGTTCTCTCTTCTAAGCATTTTTTTTTCTGGTGTTTGTAAATTTGAATTTGATTTATAATTAACTAAAGGACATGAATTATCATGACTGTATCTCTGTGATTTTACTACTGAGTTATTAAAAGGCAAAGGGTGAAAATCATTAAATGCAGAATTTAGTTTACAGTGTAATAAACTACTATTAGAATTTAAATTTGTCTCGAAGGGAGAAGTTAAAATTTGATTTCTTTCTTTGCTCCCTTCTTGAAACATTGTTAAAGAACTATATTCTTGTGAATTTAGAGGATTTTTGGTATTTGTTTCATTTTGGTTAAACATGTTGTCCAAATTTGGAGTTAATAAATCTAATATGTCATCGTCATCGTCATCATCATCGTCATCTTCTTTCCCAACAATTAAAGTTGGGACCATTTCAGGGTCTAAATGGTCCAATTCCTTTTGACCCTTCCTGAAAATTGGATATGAATAACAGAATTTATTCCAATCTTTTAGTGATATAGAATGGAAATTAATTATTGTTAAAGATCATTGCAATGTTATATCATCACAAGAAAGTATACAAAAAAGTTAAAATGTTCAGTAAATTTCACCACTGTAAATGTTATGTTTTTAGATTTTTGAACTTTTAACACTATCAATAACTGTTATGACTCATCTGTAAGAACGATTAGGTGATGTTAATCCCTCCCGTATGACAGTAATCACAAGATAACTGAGTCACAATATTGAAGGGAAAAATCCTATGAAGAACAAACTTCTCTAGTTAAAACGCAAACAGATTTTTTTTTTAACTTTTGCTTTTAATAAATTGCACACTAATAAGAATACATTGAGCACGTTGACTGGAAATAGCTGTCGAGGAATGATAAGGAAAAATTGTTATTAAATAAATTAAACTGTTCTTTTAAAATTATGTCAAGTTTCAGCACTATATCCTCACAGGACAGTTGGTCATCTAGGGAGAGAAAGACCAATACCTCCCAAAATGGTAAACATTCTTTCAATGAAAATAATTTAAAGGTAACAACTGCAAATTAAAGAACTCCAAAAACCAAGAAAAAACAAAAACAAAGGAAGACAAAATCATTAACAATTGGAAAACTAAATGTAAGATCTCTACAAGAGGAAACAAAATTACTTAAATTAGAAAATGCATTATATGAAACATATTGATATCTTTGGGCTTTATAAAGTAAAAAGGGCAAAAAAATTATAACATTTAAATCACAAACTGTTCTCTTAAAGGCTCGTCAGAAAACGGAATTAAAACATTTAAAGATTCGAGTAGCCCTATTGCAAGTCCAGTTTAGCAAAACAAAACTTCAACTCTAATTCAAGTTTACGCAGCAACTGCAGGATTAAATGAAGAGGAAATTTATTAAGGAAAAATAAAACCACCATTTTCAAACTTCTACAGCCAAGCAGGAGGACCATATAGATAAAAGAAATGAAAGAGGTGAAAGGTTAGTAGAATCCTGCCATGAGTACCATCTCTTCAGCATAAATACCCCACTTTAATACAACAAAAACAATTGTTGAACAAAAACTAATAATTAAACTATATTTAAATTAGTTTAGGCAATGCTAAAATACATAATTAACCCTAAGGCTGCGAACAATCACTTAAGTATAATATACAATCAAATAAAATTTTAACTTACGTAAACTTGTCAGATCCATTTATTTTGGATCCTACTGAAGTTTCAAAAGTAGCTTCATTACTCTCTTCATTTAAACAAGCAACATTTTCTTTACTCCCATTGTTTATTTTCTCCAGTTTTGCACTATTTATTTCCTTGATCATCTTTTCGTAAGAAGAATCAGAATTGTTGCCGATATCGTATTCCAATGCAATATAATCATTTTGATTAGGTTCAAAATTATCAGAATTGAACTTAATCTCATAGCAATGATTTGGGCTCGTTTTATTCAAATTTACCTCGCCGTTGTTAAATGTTGGTTCATTTTCACTACTATCTGTTTCATATCCGGGCAAACGAGTTGCTACCTCTTCGTCCTCCTGTTTTGTAATTACTGTTTTTAAAAGTGTTTTCTGTTTCATTTGCTTTTCGCATTCCTTTTTTATCAATGGTGATGCTCTGGAAGAAGTGTTTGGCTTTGATAGGAGTTCCATTGTTTCATCTAGGTCAGTGTTATCTTTAGACAACTTTTTACTTGTTCTTTTTCTTGAAATGTGTGGTTCAGAAATGGAGGAATTATTTTTTGTTGTATTAGCCATTTCTAATGGTTTTTTAGATGTTTTAGTTGATTCGTTTTGATTCATATTTGTTCTTCCTCGTTTTTTTCTTTCTTTTTTCTTATCTTTCTTAGGTGCTTCATTGTCATGTTTTAATTTGTGCTCAGCCATTTCTTGTTTCTCATTTAACAATTTATTATGGTTTCTCTCTGTCACTTTATGCCTTTTTATTTCTTTTTTACGTTTATTAAGCTGAACTTCAGCGTTTGACTTATTTGATTTTTTTTCTTTGAAACGATCCATGAATGGTGAACATTCCTTTAGGAGTTCAGGATCTTTGGCACTGTGTTTTGGCAATTTCTGATCTTTATGAATGCTTTGTTCTATTGTATTATTGTATTTAGTAGTTAATTTAATTGAATTATCTTCTTCAATTGATTGTTTTAATTGATCACTTGTATGCATTTGAAGGGCTTCATTACATTCTAAGTCCTTTTGTGTAATTATTTCTAAATTTGGATTTTGTATGTCCTCCTTGGCTGATTCATCATCGCTACCACTGTTAGAAGAACAACTAGATTCAGAAGAATCTTCCACTTTTAATTTTTTGTTTGTTTTAATACAATTTTTTGGAGAATTCCTCAAGTTTGTTTCTGCACTTGTATTGCTGACTTTCCTACTCGAATCAAGTTCAGAAAAACAATTTTCTTTTGAACCAGACAATTTAATCTGATCTGTAAGTTTATTAATGCCATCTTCACACAAAGGACTTCCTTGAGGAGAAAGAATTTCATGACTTTCTACATTCAAATTGTTGTGTTTCACTAAATCTTTGTCACTGTTGCTAGAATCATCTGATATTTCAATAACTTCTACATTACGGCGCACAAGTTCTTTACTTGTAGCAAGAGATATCTCTTTCTTGAGTTCAATATCTGAGCTTGAACTGTCATTCACGAAATCCTTATTGGCGTTAGAACTGTTAAATGCCTTCTTTTCTGTTTGATGATCCAGCTCAATGTCATCATTTGAAAGTACAATACGATTACTGCCTTCTATCTCTGTTTCTCCACAAATTACAACATTTCCTATGACTTCTTGCACAAAATCTTTACGGCCAATTAACTTATGGATACCTTTTTTATTTTGGGTGAGATAAAATTTAGGTGATGCAATACTAAAATTCTGTGGAAGAAAGTTTTCTTCTTTTTCAAAGGTATGATCGATGTTTTCTTTTAAAACATCGTTTTTATTATTATTGGTAAGCTCTGTTAATTCTAACACATCTGGCTCTTGAATCATTGGAGAGGATTCAGCTTGTAATTGGCCCTTCATAATTTTTTTGGCCTTTTTTCTTCGATTAGTCAATTTGTGTCTTCTATTTTTATTAGTTGACCTGGTTTTATTTCCATTTTCACTAATGCCAGTTTCATTATCCAGAATTTTAGTTTCTGATTCACTAATTTCTTTAGTTTGATTGTTTGTGGTGAAAAGACGTTTAATAAATTTGTCCTTTTTGACATTTTCTGATGTACTTTGTTTGTTGTCTGGGCTACAACTTTGAAGTAATTCTGCAACAATCTGGTTAACTTTCTCATTATGACTTGGGCTAGATTTCAAAGAGAATATGTCACACCCTTTAAACAACCTAAAAAATTAAGTAAATTTATTATTTTTATTTTAACAATAAATATATATTAACAATAAATATTACGATGCAGCCAACGGATTAAACTTACCCAATATGTTCTGGCTGGTTCAGATTCTTGTAGATCTTAAGAGTGGATGGTTTCAAAATCTGGTAAACCTTTTCTCTGTCATTTCCACCACTCTTGATCAAGTTTTTAACTTCAAGGATTTCACTTTCGCCATACATTTTTTCAAGCTGTGGCTTATGTTCATCATCAGACATTATTGAAACGATATGGTCCATCATTCTCTTTAAGATGACAACATTTTCATCTGAGTGCATCTTGTTTGATTTCCCAAAATCTGTTGAGACGAAGTCTTCAGGCTCAATAATGACCTTCAATTTACTGTCAAAATCACTTCCATGTCTGTTGTCATTTCCAACATCTTAAAAAACAAATAAATCAAAGGTAAATTATATATATATATATTATACATATATAGGTATAATTATACATATATATAAAAATCATAATAATAAAATAAATTACAATAACAGAAAAGAAGAAAAGTTACTATTTACGAAAGATGGTTGATGGTCTACATTGATAGATTAAAGATCTACTTTCTTTGCTGTATCGTCAACCATTGAACAAGATTTTATACTTTTTGCAAATATACGATATTTGTTGAACATCTATAGGCTAAACAAACATCACCTTTGTACACAAATTTACTACAAAGTTACAATACTTGATATTGTGCCATTGGCCCTCTCATCATACCTTCACAGTAATAATAAATCAATCATACTAGACATGCAACAATCAAATGATAAATTGTAAAGTTTTTCAAGCCCTATTGGTGAGAACATTTGCAGGTTGTAAAAAAAAAAACAAATATTTACACTCCCTCTCAAACGTTGTCATACTGACCATTTAATCACAAACAACAGATGATGTAGGACAATGATCCAATACCTGTAATATTCACACAATACGTTTACACACTGAATCCTTTTTTTTTAAATATAGTTCCTACTCACAGTAAGTTTTTTTAAAATATTGATAAAACGTTTTGTATCTCTTTGACTGTACAATTTATGTAATTCATTATTTAAAATGGTTTTTTGGCATTTACATTGTAAGAGAGTTGAACAGTTCTTAATATTAATTTAGCAAGAATGAATTTTGGAGTTAGATTTAATTTCAAACATTGGGAATTGAACCAGATTGATTTTGATGACCAGGTTGATTTTTGAGCATTAAAGTCTTAATTTATAATAAGGATTTAAAAGTACTTCTTTACTAACATTTTTTAAGTTAGTGGAGGTAATAATTGTGTCCATTACTGCTTTGACTAGCATATTAATAGAAATGATAAATGATGGAGTGAATGTGGTGTTAAATCCTTTTTTAAAAAAGATAGTTCCTACTCTCACCAAAAAACCATTTTAAATAATGAATTACATAAATTGTACAGTCAAAACTTAGTGTGAGTAAGAACTATCTTTTTAAAAAAAGGATTGCATATCGCACTCACTCCATATTTCTATTTACACACTGAGTCTAGAGAGAACAGCCGAACTGATTACACTGGTTTAGTGGGAACTTTTAAAAATTCAGTATTTGAATAGTTATAGAATTAAGTTAAAATTCTGAACTAAAAACTATTTTAATTACATACTATTTTTTCTCTAATCTGCACAAGTTGAGTGGATTTACACTTCATGTACTATGGTGGATTGATTACCAATTTTAATTATAAACAGATCTTCACTTATTTAAACTGAAGTGATAAAACAAAATTCAAGAGTCCTGAAGATAGAATTGACATCCCTGAGACGCCGGTTATGCTCAAAGGACCATCTATCAATCAATTTTAACCACTCCCACCAACAACAATTATTATATAAAATAACAAAGAAATCCTGCTTGAATGAAACCCTTCCACTATTTGAAACACAGTGGTTTGAATTCTGTAGGTTAAACAAACATCAACTTTGAAAATGGCACAAAACGAGGGAAAACTCATAAGGTGGGGTTGAGATAGGAAGTTGATGTCCGAGTGGATCGAGGTCACGATAGCTCAAGTGGTATAGCAGCGGCGTATCTAGCTGAAGATCGTGGGTTCGAATCCCTCTCGTGCTTAACTTAAACTTTTTTTCATCTCAACAAAAAACCTTAATTAATTGTAATGTATTAATTAGTCAAGCGGACCACGAAATTAGTGAATTTTTTGAACACAAATTTATTACAGTTATAATACCAGATATTGTGCCATTGCCCCTGTCACATCATACCTTCATGGTAATAATAAATGCATAAATCAAATGATAAATTGTAAGTATTAACGTTGGTGTTGGTGGCTGTGACGGTTTAGGCATTGACACAGCGCTCATCACTGTAAGGTAGTCATGTGTTCGAAAGTAGGGCCACTGGATAACTTACAAATGGGCTTTTTTCCAAAATGAGGAGCACTCTGAGGGTTCATATAACCTCATAGTTGAAAAATCTTAAAGTTTTTGAAGCCCTCATGGTGAGAACATAAGCATTAGTAAAATAAATATTAACACTCACTCTCAAATATTGCCATACCGACCATTCAATCACAAAGGATGTTATTATTTATTAAAAAGATATTATTTATTATTATAATTATAAAAATTATTATTCATTATCTTACAGTGAGTAGGAACTATCTTTTTAAAAAGTCTGAGCAACACACTCACTCCACCATTCATAATTTCTATTGTCATAAGAATAGAATGATATAAGACATGAATATCTGTTGATATAAAATATAAATAAATACTTAAGTTACTTTATTGATACTTAATATAAGTAAATTTAAACCCTTCCACTATTGAAACACAGAGAGCGGCATGAGTCTATGCCAGAATTGAATGATCACCCTTCCATTAGTAGGAACTATATAGTTGGCTAATTTTGAGTCGCATAATAATAATCTCTCTTCTCTGAGATTCAGGTTATACCCAGAGGACCATCCCAAAGTAACCTATGGCTCATTAATCTGGTGGACTAAAGCTCAGCAAACTACCCAAAACTTAGGCAGCATACAAATACTGGCTAACCTATTTATCACAGGGGCAATGAAAACAATACCATCAACTGCACTAGAAACTCTGCTAAACATACCGCCAATGGAAATAATTATTCAAGAAGAAGAGAGGGAAAGCTCATTTAGTCTGTAGACACATTTAAATTATTGGGCACACAACAATAATTAATATAATCACACACCCATTCTTAGAAATAGTAACTGACTAGATGATCCAAGAAATACCCCCTTACAATATCCTATAAAGTCTCAATATAGAAGAAAGGAGAAGAAGAATTCAGGAAGAAATCAGATACAATATGGTATACAGATGGCTCTAAAACAAACCAAGGAACCGTGTTGGGTGTTTTTGAACAAGCTGACACAAGAGCAATCGAACTCACTAATGTGCAATAGACCAATACTGGTCATGGTGTACAGTTCATAAAGAGTCCATCTATTTTAATCTAATCAAACTCATTAGGAAAGTACACCTCGGTATTTCAAGGTGAAGTACATGTCATCAATGCTTGTGTCTTAGAAAATCTTAAGAGGTTACAATGGCAAAAAAATCCCCGTAAGATCAGATAAAGTAACTATTAAAGCACTAACATGTAAAAATAATGACATCAAAACTAGCCGGTGAATACATCCAAAACTCTTATGTTTCTCTTGGGTACCAGGACTCCAGGGAATTTAGGGAAATGAAAAACCAGACACACTGGCCAGAGGAGAATCTGCAAGACCATAAGCAGGCCCTTTGGGAAAATACAAACAAACACAAAATCTTCGATCACAATCCACACAAAATGGATTAAAAAAAAGACAATAGGATAAACTCTAGTGGTGTTAGACACAGTAAACTAATGCTAAAACCACCTTCACCAAGACTGGCAAACTTACTGCTAATATTAGAGGGCTAAACTCAGAGGAGTTATAAGACAATTTTCCCGTCATTGGCATATGAGAAAACACATCTACACAACATGGGTATATGATGATCCCAATTGTAGATTATGCAATGAAGAGGAAGAAACAGCCACCCTATCATCTTCGAATGTGAAGCACCTGCTCACTGGAGAAATAAACTAGGATACTAAGAAAATCCAGGAAAAGGAATTGTAATAACGATTCATTGACCTTGTACTTCTTAAGAGAAGAATCGAGTCGATTGACTGAACCAAGGAACCAGGAAACTTACAATACACCAAAAGGCTGCAGTACTTGGGGAACAACCTACGATTTCAATAATACTTTATTTGACAATTATTACAAATAATAAAATATACCCTTTTAAAAAACATAAGTATTTACAGCAATGGAATATCCATCTGCTTGGAGTCGAGATTACTGATAAAATATTGATAAAAGATGATAAAATAGCCAATAAAATATTATAATAATCACTGTTTTACAACATAATTAGAAAAAAAGAAAAAATAATAATCAAATAAAATAGTCTGGTGAACACAGAGAAGATAGATTTAAATGCCATTAATTAAGTACAAATTTTTTCTAATAAATCAAAAATTGTCATAAACGGACTTAATTATATGGATTAATTTAGAAGGTATGCCAAGGTTATAAAGTTTTAGTATCAGTGCTTGCCTTCCACACGATCAAAAGCTGCGTTAAAGTCGACAAAGAAGCACTAGAGTTTTTGTCTTCTTTTCATCAATCTTAATTTTATGATATTAAATAAAACAAAAATGTTATATGTTGTCAAGAACCAGCTTGAGATTTTCCAAAATCATTAGTTGATGAACAGTTCCAACCGACGAAGTAAGAGCCCAGAAAAAATCTTGGCGATAATGTCTATGCACGAGATTCCTCTGTGATTGGATGTACCATTGATATCACTTTTTTTTTTTTTTTAAACAAAAAAAAGAGAAGATAATTGACCTACTGAACGATGGAGGGGTTTTTCCTACTTCGTAAATGTGGATAAAATGTGATATCTGTCTATCATCTGTGTGTCTATCCCTGAAGTTCTGAGAAGCAAACTTGAAAAATTCATATAGGACTCTATGTATACAGGCGCTTTATTACTTTCAAAGAGGCAAATACAACAGAAAGCTCTTCGGGGGTGAATGGATCATCCAGCAATTCATAATAAATTGAAGTACCCTAACTATGCCTAACCAGACCAGTTTGCAAGTAGAACCATCCTTTCCAATTGTTTTATATGGCTTATGCTGAGCCAGGTAAGCACGATCCCTCTTCACCAACTCAGATACTCGCTTAAGAGTCACTGTTAGTTTTCATTTCTTAGATTTTAGTATTATCATTAGTATAGCTTTTATGATAAATTAGATAGACCAAATAAATAGTTACAATACAAATTTTAACTTAGTTGTAAGTGTTTGAAAGCTAATCACCTCCTGGCTTTTGGATGACTGCTTCGCTCAGTTTTTCATTTCTCCTCGGCCTGAGCTTTCTATGTGGAGTGTCTGAATCACTTGAAAAGTCAAGCTTTGGATTTGACTTCCTGACAGTCGTCCGTTTCTTAGGTGAACCCGATTCCATGCTGGAAGAGTCACAATCGCGATTGTCCACCTCTTGGGCAATGTTATGCCTCATAGCCGGCTAGTCGTTTGAAGATTAGCCGCTTCAGCCTAGAACACAAACAAAACAAGGGTCTTTATTTAAAAACATATAAAGGAAATCAAAAAGAAAAGTCACACAATGGACTTATTGCGTTTCGAACTGGCTAATACCATTTTAAAGAGAAGGACTATAGTTACAAAGGTCTCCCACTTTGGGTATTTACGTTTGAAAACAAAATTATACAATAAAATGCTCGTTTCTTTTAGTTAATTTAAATTTAAAATATAGATAAAAATGTCCGGCGGTGCTTAAAAAAGTGTAGTAAAGTAGTTAGTAACCTTGGTTTGATTTTGATCACCACCGCTGGGCACAAAGAAGTCGAGATTTTTCTCAAGCTATTCCCGGTTCTCGAGGGACGACGACCGTTGGACAAAATTAATCAACTAAAACTACATTTGATAAACAAAGGCATAAACTATGATAACTGTTTAAATCTAATCCGAATAATAAAATAAATCGTCAAACAAAAGAACGGCACCTTGATTCCTTGGATCTGTATCAACAGTTCCTCGAAAATGTAACCGCCCAAAAAGCTATCCGTCCAGAATTTTTAAAAACAAATTTCAATTTGAAAACAGATTAAACGGTTAAATTGAGCGAAAAACTAAATTTCCAAAGCAATTTTTTTTAAATAGTATTTTTATACTTAATATATTAATCCTAAAACTTTCTTTACAACATGGTAGAAAGATAGAAAAGGACGTTGGACTGATTTTTTCTATAATCTGTTTCAGAAATCCCGGGAAAACCTAAATTTTGATTTAAATTTAATTTCGGTTTACACTGATTTATCAAATAGGAATAAAACGGTACAATATTTTTTTAAAATTTTAAATCTATCTTCTTTTGCTGCTAGCACCATGTAAGACGAATAGACAGGTTATTGTTCTTGTTTTTCTACACCAAATTCTTTTCTGTAGATAAAAAATTATGTACTGTACTTAAAAAAATCCATTTCATTTAATTTTTATTTCATTATCAAAATATTTAAAACGACAAAAAAGTATTTCACAACTAAAGCATAGATTAACTCTTCCAATGTTTGGTTTTAAACTTTTCATCTAAAAAAATCTGTGTACATAATAATAAGCAGGCAGCTAACCATAATAAACACATAGGTCACATCAGGGTCACTCATGTTGTTACTGTAGAGCAATTTGACATTCTGTATGACCTATGCATGGTGTCAGGGCCCAAATTGCTGATCCAATACCATCTCAGGGCTATAAATATTTTCAAATATAAATAAATTTTTGTATGTTTATTTTTATGATTTTGTTATTTATTGGCACAATTGTACTTATTAGAGAGAATGATCCTCGAGGAATATCAGGCACTCAAGCACGAATGATTGAGTTATGCGCTGTATGACTGTACTTATTAGCTTTAATGAAAGACAGTTTGTATCAATGTACTGAGTGAATATAAATTGTTAATGTAAAAGGGGACATCTCTGAGGAATATTGAATCCTCTGGGACAGTGAGAATGAATTCATGACATTGTGTAAATAGAATTTATTAGCTTGAATGGAGTGGCTTCTGCCCCAATTACCCCAAGGGATATAAAGTCCTCTGGGGCAGTGAATGAAGTCTGATGTATTTGTACATTTATTAGTGTGAATAGGCCTCAATTACCCAAAGGAATATCTAATACTCTGGGGCAGTATGAATAAAGTCTGGTGTACAAATAATTTATTAGTGTGAATGGAGAGGCTTCTGCCCCAATTATCACAAGGAATATTGAGTACTGTGGGCAATGTGTATAAAGTTTGATGTGCTAATAATCTATTAGCGTGAATGGAGAGACTTCTGCCACAATTACCCCAAGGAATAGCTAGTACTCTGGGGCAGTGTGATTAAGTCTAGCGTGGTAAATTTTTTTAGTGTGAATGGGCCCCAATTACCACAAGGAATATTCCGTGTTATGGGACAATGTGAATAAAGTCTGAAATGCTAATGATTTATTAGTTCAATTAATTGTTCTTTTTATCTAAGGTATTAACAATTAATACGGTCAATTATGATTGCTAAACATGTATGGATTAATTTAATAATTTATTAGTGTGAATAGAGAGGCTTCTGCCCCAAACCTCAATGAATATCGGGTAATCTGGAGCAGTATGAATGCTAACCAGACAACCATGTTTTTAAATGTACATATTTGTATTATTATAAAGTATTTTGTGTACATTATAATTATGTACATTTTATCCGGAGAAGGAGAGAAAGACATTTTTTGACCGTTTGACTCAGTTAGAAGAAGTCAGCAAGCCTTTTAGTTGGAGAGTATTCTAGCAATTGCAAGTCAGGAACTATACAAACTATTACATAAGTTCCTGCAGGATTGTAATAGGGAGATATGAGCTTTGGGGGAGTGTGTTGTGCTGCGCCTGGGCGAGGCCCTTGCCTGTCGGGGTGCTGCGGGTCAGTTGGTGTTGTCGTGGGGGGGGGGAAATCTCTGCGTTTTGTCTTTGGGCAGTGGGGGGGATGTGGACTTTTCTATGAGCATGCAATGCTGGTTTTTATCCAGATCTCCCTAATATGCCCGATTGGGGACTGGTTTCCGCACAATGTAGTATCAGTTTGTAAAGTTGTACGTATGGGATGGTCTCCTTCCTCAACGGCGGTGCCGGGCGGCATGTGGCTCTCCTGGTGGGTGGAGGTCTGGCGGGGCGTACAGTCCGACATACATAAGTACTATGGCTAGGTACCTAGGACTAAGGCAAATAAAAAAGTACATATTTGTATTATTATAAAGTATTTTGTGTATATTACAATTATGTACATTTTATCCTTTACTGATAGTAGTATTCTGAGTTAGAATGGCTGGAGATGGGTTACCTCAACATGCAAACCTTAGAAGTTCAGCATTAGAAAATGAATTAGTAAGAAGAAAATGCGAGAAAAAAGAGGGAAGTGGTGTTAGGAAAGAATGAGAGGAATGGCAATGACCAATGTAATTTGCTGGCCCTAAAACTCTCTATAATACATGTAATTTTGATTAAAACTCATGAATTTCTTGGGTAATTTGGTTTACATTAAAATAAGTATGTCATAATTAATATAATGATAAAAATACATTTAGTTTGAAATAAACGACAAAATACGAATAAGAAGATAATATGAAAAGAAAGAGTGAAGTGCTGTTAGGAAAAAATGAGAGGACTGGCGATGACCAATATAGTTTGTTGGCTCTAAAACTATCTATAATATATGTAGTGGTGGTATTTATCTAAAATAAATTTAAAAAATAATTAAAGTGTAATTAAGCAATTTACAAGCTATTTATGATGGCTTGTAAAAAAATCTACAATTAAAATTTAACTGACAATTAATTTTATCACTAAATGAATTTTCGGTGTTTTGGTGAATTTTCTTTCAAACCGTCATAATTAAATAATTTTGATTAAAACTCATGAATTTCTGATGTTGGTTAATTTGGTTTACATTAAAATAAGTATGTCATAATTAATATAACGATAAAAATACATATAGTTTGAAATAAACAACAAAATACAAGTAAGAAGAAAATGCGAGAAGAAAGAGGGAAGTGCTGTTAGGGAAGAATGAGAGGACTGGCAATGATTAATATAGTTTGCTGGCCCTAAAATTTATGTATAATATATGTAGTGGTGGTATTTGTCTAAATTAAATTTAAAAAATAAGATATAATTAAACAATTTAAAGAATACAACTTATTTACATGCTACATTTTTATGATTGGGATGTTTTGCATTGTACATTCTTTCTATAGCAATTTGAATATTACACAACACAAGTCATTAATTAATTTATTTTATAGTTTACAGACAAATGTATATTTATTGTATATAATTATAGAAAGAGATGAATAATTTCTATCGTTAACCAAATTTATTTTTAATTGGTTTTATTTTACTCTATCTGGAGAACTGATCATTTCCCTTTTCTCGACCGTTGAAGCTGGCTCATCATTTATCGATCCCTCCACTTTTCTCGATTCCGGTTGATCCTGATTGAGCAATCCTCTATCGATCAGGTCATATGATTGCTTTGATTAGAACAAGAGATTCGTTTGGCTGACCGACGCGATCGCAATCTGCAAGGCAGAACTACGTTTTTGAGTTTGGTTTGGCTCAGAATCGCTTAGAGGGAGGACTCGATGCGTTCTGATTGATAGTTTATAAACTTTTAATTAAATCATCTCCGTTTCTTTTGTTTCGTTTCCTTGGCCTAGAATTATGTTTTCTCAACCGCTATTTGGTTTTATTATAATATTAATTACGTCTCGTGTTTCTTCTGAGGTAAGTAAAGGTTTTTATATTTAATATTTAAAGCTATCTAGCCAACTTTTTTAAAAATTGTCAACTGAAAATAAAACATTTTACAGGGTTTAACTGTTATTAATAAACTGTATAATTAAAAAACATAGAAATTCAATTTTGTATAATAATCACTTCTCTAAACATTGTTTTATTTATTCATTTCTTATTAAAACAACTTCATTCATGTATAATATTGTAGAATAAATTCAAAGACTTAGCATGAATAGCATATGAAGGTTTTCATTACATCATCATAATATACAAGTATATTAAAGATAAATGTATTATTGTAAGAATTTATAATATATGATAATCTGACGATGGTAAAATGCCACAATACCAGTGAAGATAAGCAGACCAGGATGATTGGAGATGATCTAGTTTGAAATTATAAAGATCAAGCCTGAAGATCCACAACTGATGATGGCAAAAGGGATGAATTGAGTCTGACAGACAAAAATAGTGAGGATAGGCAGACATGGATGGTCAGAGACGTTCTAGCTTGAAATTATAGACCAAGCTTTAAGACCCACTGTCGATGATGTCAAAACGGATGAAATTCTTCTGATAAACAAAAACAGTTAGTATAGAAAGACCAGGATGAATGTGTAAGATCTAACTTGAAATTAAAAAGGCTAAGCTGGAAGACTCCCCCACCGCTGAAGATGGCAAAAGGGATGAAATGCTTCTGAAAGAAAAATAGTGAGAATAGGCTGAGCAAATGATCAGAAATGAGCAAAATATAAACTAAATAGACATGATGTACAATTACAACAAGTGACAATAGGTAACAGCCGTCTGTTGTAAATATAAAATTGAACAAATGTACGTTTGAAATGGTAAAATGTAGAAATGTATTTTACGGATAAAACCAGCCAGTATAGGCAGAACAGGATGATCGGAATTGATCTAACGACTTTATACAGTCTATGCTTGAAGACCCACCAGTGATGATGGTTAAATGGATGAAATGCATTTACAGCAAAAATAATGAGGAAAAGCAGACCAGGATGATGTAGGTAGATCTAGCTTGAAATTAAAAAGACTAAGTTGGAAAAATACTCCTGATGACAAAAGGGATGAAATGCATCTGACAGACAAATGTAGGAATGATAGGCAGTCTAAATGATTGGAAATACTAAGCTACAAATTATGAAGATATGTCACACAAGTGATAATGGCTAACAGCCATCTGTTGTAAACATATAAATATGCACTGTACATACAAACATCTTGGATTAAATATTCATTTAACCAAATATTTCAATTTATGAGTAAAGAATTTGCATAATCCCTTTCTTTCTTATTGCTGAGTAATGACAAGTAGACAGAAAAATTTTCTATTTGCTTGTATTTATAATATTAGACTTAAAAATTAGAGTAAAGTGGAAAGTAAAAAAGAAGTAAAATAATTCCTGCCAAATAGGAAGGCCTAATGGCCATCTACCTGTGACAAGGACAAGGGGTCAGACCAATATAAAATACTTTTTTCATATTCTTTATTAAACTGCCATGGGCTAATTTGGGGATTAAAACCTAGAATAAAATGAAATGTCATTACATTTGAACAAAATAACTGATTTTATTTGGCTGGATGCGTTTGGTAGGTCTAAAAAAAACAAAACATAACTTATATCTGTCACCAGACAAACAAAATTATTATCTAAATTTCCTCTCTTTGAATAAATACAACAAGCATGACTTAATCAACACAAAGTTATAACAGTAGTTATACAAAAAATATCAAAATTACTATAAATTTTGTAAATTATTTAATTGTATTTGAATTATTCAATGCTCTTTGTCGGAAATTGAAGGCCTTTTTTTTATAGTTTTACATCATTCCCTAGATAAATTTCCCACTTTTGGCTATCTTTCTTAGTAATCTTTTAAGAATGAAATTAGCTCAATGACCTTGGCATGTCCAAGCTTGGCAAATATCTTCAGTGGCCAATTAGTCAAAATTGATTGGCTGATAATCATATAAACAACACTTAAAATTATTGCCTTATGTTGTGCTAAATAAGAAATTAAAGTTTGAAATTAGAGTCAGGCGAAGAACCAACATTATGCTATTTTTGTGATAATTGATTGATATTTTGTATGATTGTACCGACTCAGGGTGAAATGCTTTAGAAGAATTTTTTTTAAAGTTGTGTTTGTTGTAGGTATACTTCATTATAGAAAAATTTTGACAGTTAAAGCGTAATGATTTTCTAAGTAAAAGTTTTTATCGGTGACAACCTCAATTTTACATTAGACAATAAGCAAAAGGTTATCAAATTTATGATTAAAAAAACTTTATCGTTCTTATTTACACCAGTGCATTGATTAGCGTCTTACGTTTCACACTTTTGCCTATCGCCTTTGTTAGTTTAGCAGTTTAATCAAATATCTGATCTATATCAGACATCCCTAATAAAAAAAATATAGAATCACCCAAACGAACAAATTTATGAGTTGTTATTTAATTATTTCAAGTACATAGATATAAAATCAATAAAGATTCAAAAACCATTCAAAACATTGGAACAATCATTCAAAACATTGTGACAACTTACATAGCTTTAGTAATTTTCATACTTTGTACAATTGCTTCATAGTAACTTGTGTAAAAAGTATGTTTAATAATATTTTTTCTTTTTTTATTGTAATTATATTTATTAGTAATAAGAGTAACCAAATTGTGTTTTTAATTAACTAAGTGGAAAAATTGGTTTTTAGTTGAGTGCAGGATGTGCATTGGAACAGGATCAAAACAATAAGGATGTCTACCGATATGTGGATAAAATTGTTAGAGAGAGATTAGCTGATGAAGTTGTTACTGGCATAATAGGGATCCACACTCGGGTGAACTTTTTTACATTTTTACAAGTGTTGTAATTATTATAACAAATATTATTGGAGTTTTTATATAACCAGGTTGTATCAGACTCAGACAAGACATCACTTAAGAAAACTAAGACAATTGTTGCCTTCTGGACAGAAAATCTGACGACACATCGTCATCAGAAATGCATCTTTCGATATTTAAATGAGCCATCTATTAAAGAACCAATTCCACAGAACCTCGCTTGTGTAAAAGCAAGAATAGAGTAGGTTGAAATTGTTTAATTTAAATATATTTTATGAAGTAACTTTTGGATTAGTTTCAAGTTTTTAATATTTTCTGTGTACATATTCAGATTGATGATATTACAGTGTATTTTATAGTAATGGAGCAATTAATTTTTAATTTAATTTAAAGAAGCATATTTAAAGACAAAAACCAGACATTTGTATTTTGTTGTTTATTTCAAACTATGTATATATTTTTCTCGTTATATTAATTGAAACATACTTATAATTAAATGAGATCTGAATTTTATGAATGATTTTTTGAATTTTATGAAATTTATGAGCTTTAATAAAAAATATTTATGGTGGTTAAAAAATCCATAATTAAAATTTAACTAACAATTAATTTTATCACTAAATAAATTAACGGTGTTTTGGTGAATTAAAATTCATGAATTTCTGATCTTAAATTTGGTTTACATTAAAAGAAGTATGTTATAATTAATATAACGATAAAAATACATATATTTTGAAATAAACAACAAAGTACGAGTGTGTTTTTTTGTCTTTGAGTATTTGAATTTTAGAAGGTTGGTAGAAAATTAAAACCAAGGTTCCATGTCAAATTTTTTAAATATTTTTATTATAATGGAAAATAGCCTATTGCCAGCAGCCCAAAGGATTTACTTCCAAAATCTGACTGCTGATTTTCCATTATGGTAAAAAAAAAAAGGCATGGGATGCTTGGTTTTAATTTTTTGCCAACCTTCTAAAGTATCAATTTAAGGTTTTTAGTTGAGATAAAAAAGTCAGTGTCACAAAAACCTTAATTAATTAAAAGATATTAATTGGTCAAGCGGATCATGAAAACTAGTGAATCTTCTAAACTATAAAGCCCTGGAAGATGACAATAATTCAAAATTAGAAATATGCGCTTTTTCAGGAAGCAATTTGTCAAGGACATTGATTCATCAGAGAGCGAATTGTTGGAACAACTTTCGGAAATTGTGACTACCACTTTTGACGATCTTGACCCTGACATTTGGAAAAAAATGGTTGTCGATGTCAAAAAGGCAAAAAAGCAGGTATAATTAATGTGCTAAACAATAACTAATTAATATACTTGCTACAGTTTCGTTTTATTTATTTTTAGATTTCAAATGGAATTTTATATTATTTGACATTGGAAATCAAAAGCACAAGTTGTTTAGAGACAGAAATAGTTACCCCGGATCAAAGCTGCTTAAACAAAGAGACTCAACCTCGTAAAATATGTGAAGTAACAGTTCACAGGTCATTTACGAACAATTCACCTATGGACAAATCTGAGGTATGATATGTCTGAAGCATCATTTCAAAATAAAATAATATTTATAATATTTAAATAAAAATTATTATGATAATAGAACTATTTTCATTTGTGGAGAATAAAAAAGTTTTTTCAGCTTGAAAAGAGAGAAATGAGCGTAATAACTGTGTACTTTCTACTGTTTGTGGTTTGAAAAGTACATTATACTTTCAAACTTGTACATATTTATCACGTTTATCAAAAACGCACATAAAAACACACACTCTCGACACTCATTGTTTATAAGAATGGTAAAATTATTAATGGATATTTTGTTACTTGTTAATTTCATTGTAATATGTACTTGTTAAATAGGTCATTAAGTTTTTACCCTGATTCCAGTTAACATACCAGTTCATTTCGTCTATTTAATTAAAAGAAAGTTACACAAATTAATACTTAATTTCCTCCAGTTTGTTTTGAATTAACCAGGATTCTATTGTTGACATTAATTAATTTTTATTTTTAGTCTTATCTCAAGTTGGCACCGAGGAAGCAATTCCAGGTTGTGTACTCTAAGTGCTCATCTGTTGATGATGTGTTGTATGACAGATCAGCTTCAATAACTGCCAACGATAAGTACATCAAGGAAGTTGCAGATTTTGCTATGAAACATATTAATGTTAACAGTAATTCAATTTACATTAAGGGAATTTTGAATATCAGAAATTCCAACATTCAGGTATAACTTTCATATATATTTTTTTAAATCGTCTTTTTAATTAAAAAAAAAATTAATTACAGCTTGATTCAGGAATGAAAATCAATTTGACTCTTGAAGTTGTTGATACAGATTGCACGAAGAATAGTTTGAACAACACCAATTGCAAATTTCTTCATAAACACAATGATGTATGTCCATATACATAAATTTATATCGTTTTATTAAAGACTAGAATTTAATTGTATCTATTAGCTTTCAGTTTGTGATGTGTCTGTGCTGGACAGAAATAATCAAAAGACAGTTCTTTCTCAACATTGTTCTTCGAGAGTTAAAAGAGTAATTTTACCTCTCTTTTTATATGTTATTATTTTATGTTTTATAGCCTGTATATCTTTCACTTAATTTTATACTTTTTTAAATTCAATTGTAATTCTTGTCGTGTGATATATTTGTATTATTGTTTTTTAGTCTTCATTACGTGGAGGAGAGCTGGAAATTGATGTGAATGACAACAAAATCCAGGGTCTCAAAGGGTACATTTCAAATGAGTTAACTCAACGAGCAAATTCTCTGTACACAAAAACTGTTGTTAAGGTGTTCAAAGCAACAACCCAAGTGAGTGTAAACATTTTTTATGACTACTGACAAAAGATTTTATTTAAATAATGAAGTTTTACATTTTATTATCTTACATTAATCCATTTTTACTTTCTTCGGTCTCCTTGTATAATTTTGAAATCAATGCTCGTATTTTTAGTAGCCTTGCTATATCCAGATAACAAAAATGTCCTTATTTAATATTTGTTAGTATATAAATTGACAATTCTAACCATAAGTAATTCATATTACTACAAGCTCTCTCTGTGAGTGTCTCAGCAAAACAGTGGTTGTTCTTGGCTCCATATAGGGAGCGCATAAGAATGTCACCCATATGAGAATTGTCCTTGAGAACGGTAGCAAGATCTGGGGCCCCTCCTCCAATTCTTGGAGAAAACAGGGTCATTTTATTGTATGAAGTAATGATAGATTTGTGTCCCTAGTTGAGAGTAAATGTATTTATGGTGTGAATGTATAGTGTGGAATATTGAATACCACCACAACCCTCAATTAGGTTTGCATGTAATATGTATTGTATATAATAGGTTTAAAGGGTGATGGAAGAATATTCTTCTACCCTAACCGAATGAATGGTATGTAAATAAGTAAGAATTTAAAAGAATTTGAATCAAAATATGTTGACTATTTTCTGACTGATAAATTTTATCGATTGAGATTGTGACAATTTGGCTATTCAGGCCATGGGCATCATTGGCTATTTACAACTGTTGGCGGTAATCAAATGCACCAACATGGCCAAAGTGTCACAATATTATAAAAATGGCCAAATTATCAGTGACGTCGGCTGTGCAGTTCCCAGCAATGTTGTAAAGGCATTTGGCACCGGTACTGATTTCGTGATGCTTGGTGGGATTTTGGCCCCTATATTATATATACCCTATTATAAATCTTGTAAAATCAGCAGGATATAAATTTACATCTCACAACAATTTCACCATATATACACTTATCAAACATGACACTACATCGAATAAAGGTCAAATTAAATAAATAAAATAAAATAAAAAAAAGTTGTTTTTCTGAAATTCATCTATCCTGACCACTCTTCACTACCTCAACCACTTACTGTTTTTAATCTTTCAATCCATGTTAAATTTTATCTTGATTGTCCTTTTTTGTCCTGATCAGATATAAAAAAACAAACAGTGAAAATAGGCCTGGATGATCAGGGACAATTGAGAAACAGTGAAACCTTAAAATATTAAATTTATTGAATTAATACTAATTATTTATTGTTACAGATCGTTTCTGGAAGTCTGACTAAAGCGACTGTTGAAGTGGCTGATACAAACTGTTTAAAAAGTGAAAATAAATCACCCTCCGAATGTGTAACAAGTGAACAAGTAAGAAGTAATTCTGCACTACTTTCCTTGTTAAATTAAATACCATATAATAATTTTTCTAGGGCCGGCAATTATGTGAAATTGCTATTTGGGAACAGCCTTGGCTCAATAAAAAGGAAATAACACAGAGCGAGTGTCATTCAATTCAAGGGGTATATAAAAAAAATTAATGTATACTATTCGATAAACACGTTTAAATTTCTAAGCGGCCTTTCAGGATGTCTCTTAACAAACTGCATGCATTTCTAAATAATTCACAATTTCTCACACAAAAATGTGTAAATAATCAAAAACTCTGAGTTACTATTAATGTGTTTTGGATACATTAACAATTTAATGAGGTAAAAAAAAATCATCCGCTAATTGGACGTGTCTTGATTAATTAACATGCATGTTACAAGAAGTACATTTATATTTTGAGAAAAATGTGTTTCCTAAAGGTTGTTTCTTATTTTTTATTTGATAAGGTAAATCATTAACCTTCCTACATTATTTTTCAAAAGTTAAACTAGGAGGACATATATTAAATTTTCCGTTACCCTTACTTAAATACTTTTTTTTTGCAAAGCATGGCATTACTTTCTATCAATTCTTTATGTTTTTGCAAGAATTAAACATTTTTTTCGGTTGGTTTTTCAGAGTTCCGGGGTTGGATCTAACCGAAATGGATTAGACTGTTTTTACAAATGTGAAAAATTACTTTGATTATTTCATTTATAATACCTATTTTACTGTACAGATTTTATTTAAATTGTATTTATAAATAAAGTGAAGAAACTTCTTTTACAGTAGTTGCAATTTTTTAGTTTCCCTTTTTCATTAAAGTACTTTAGGAAACACATTTTATATATGGATAACATATATCTTTTGTACAAGGTAAGAAAAAATTGATCAATTAATGAAGACTTGCATGTAACTGTTGTGTCAAGAACAGTTAAATCTTTAATTTATTTCCTATCATTAAGAAAATTGAACTCATATGTATAAATTGGTTGTGTGCCAAAAAAAAGAAAATTTTTATCTGCTGAATTGAATGTTTTCACGTTATTGAAATCTGCATTCTAAAATTATAGTAATGTTTGATACCCTTGTACTTACAATATAATACTTTTCTATGAATTAATTTTAGAGTTTTAAAAAGAAAAATTGATCGGGCGTTTGGCCGGGTGTAGCATTCTGGTGTGCTGTTGAAGCTTTAAGGCTTCCTTCTTTTAACGTATTAAAATTTGATCTAAAAGACTAGTGCCGCTTCTCTCAAGGGGCTGGCTTTTCTTCTTAAGGTGGCTCCAGACATGCGGTGTACACCGAGTGCCGATTGCCGCTGAATATTTGCCAAATCTTGAGATGCTTGTCTTGGTATTCACCAAATAGCCACAAGCAGGGTTGGGGTTTGTACAAACACCCAGTTGGTGTGAAAACAGCGAAAATCCACCAAGTGCCATGCTAGTCTTCAACTTACTACCAATTGTTATTATATTAGATTATAGGAGCCGACTTGTTGCCTGTGCACCGCGACCAGTATTGGTCTATTGTGCATCTCCATTTTTTTATCTAGAGCTCCTCGTTAAGCTTGAGGCTTTTTAACAGACCCAAAGCATTTTCAAGGGCTCTTGTGGGTATCCTTCAGGCTTTTCCTCTCCCAGGATTAGGAATCTCAGCCTACATAGTAGGACCAACAGATGACGTGCTCTGCTTTTTCTTCTTCTTCTTGGTAATATCTGCACAGGCTTGTTTATGTCACTCCGAGTCTATATAATGCCTCCAGAGTCTGCAGTGTCCAGTTAGCTAGCAGTCCTAGAACATCCTTGATTTAGTAGTTCTGGGCCATTGGGTGGAGGACTTATTATTAATCCATTGTCTAATGAATCTGTTTTTGGTAATTGGTAAGCCACAAAAGGGTTCAGGGACAAAAGGATGTCCTCATACCAATCATAATGGACAACAGGGAAGCTGCGGTTACTATTTTGTCCTACACACATGTAATATGTACATATAATAATGTATTTTGATTCAGAGTGAGGTACTCCAAGACTGTGAAGTTGGGTCAACAGAAATAACGCTATGTTGTTCTTTCATTAATATAATCTATGATTATTCGGAAATCGTGAGATGCGGTCTGGTGTGACATAGGTTTCAGAAAAACAGTTTCTTTATCATATCAATGTTTCGATCTTTATTGAGATCATCTTCAGGGCTCAAAGTGTTTGTTTTCTGCGTAACTGTGTCATTCTTGTGTGTCGTGTTGAGAGTGGTCACTAATCACCACACAATACAATCTATACTAGTTAGGAACGTTTATTATTAAAAAATAAATAGCAGAAAATAATAACTGTTGATTGATGATTACAGTTGATTTACATACAGTACAGTTGATTCCCGAATATGTGGATGCTTTGAGTTCAGCTACTTCACAAATATTGTTGTACTTTGAAGCAAGTGAGAAATAATTAGTCGACCATGGCGATAACCGAATATTGTTGCCTGGTGAATTACCAATCACTCATCCCCACTAGTTGGTTTTCTGCGAACCTTTGCTTGGCATTCGGCGAATCCCACATATCTGGAGCTATCTTTACATTACAATTAAACCGCTGGTGTCACCTAGGGCGTATCCTGGGGCCCTTCGTGTTAAAAATGTACTCAACTGACATTCTAGTTTTCCCTAATCGTTCTTTTGCTATAACACAGCCATACTTTCATCTAATCCTGAGCCTTCTCTACCTAGTCATGACATACAACTCCATTTAACTTTTTAATTACAATCTTGGTTTTGCAAATGGAGAATGAAAATTAACTAACTAAATCAACACTAAAACTAAATCAACACATTTACACTCTGAAAATCCATTTGTCCTACTTCTATTTCAATGGACAACCCATTCCAACCTCAGATATAATATGGAATTCCCATACAAGACTGAAAAAAACAGGAAACTAAACTGATGCTACAAATTACTCCTTAGATTACTTAACCATAGATCTAACTTTCACCTTACTCACAAATTCACCATTTACAAGACCATCCTGAGACCAATATAGACATACAGAATTAAAGTTTGTGAATCAATGAAAAAAATTGTTTCTTCAAAATCCAAACCAACTTATTACAAATACTAAGAAAAAGATTAAACTCTCCCTTCTACATTTCAAACTTAACAATCTACAATGACTTCCAAATCTTGTTTCTAATTGACATCATTAAATCCCGATTCAATAGTTTCCACAAAAATTTAAATCTTCACCTCAATCCACTTGTCTAACAGCTTTCTTGTCCCAACATTCCTGGAAATCCCACCCATTTTTTTAAGGGGTTGTGGCCGAGAGGTCTTGAGATTGATCGACTTAATGTGAGGGAGTGTCATTACTGGGTGAGTTCTCCTATTTTGCTAGATTTCACTATGTTTGTTATCTCATTTTCTTGTTGCATCTAAAAATCGCAGTTGTAAAAAAAAAAAAAATATTCAACTAGTGTTAAGTGTTGAATAGCATAGATATGTTTTTTTTAGACAAGAAACTTTCATAAATAAATCTAAAAAATATTTACGACAGTTAAATTTATTTTAACAAATTTAAATATGAAATATTCCTTCTTGTTTTTATATTTGGAATTTTAATTATATTAATATTTTACGACTAGTTACAAAGGTATCATCATTCACTATTTATGAATGTTGTGTTTTGGCTTGTGTATGATAATCATTGCTATTTTTTAAATTTATTTATTATACTTATAATGTAGTAAACTAGCTATAAAAAATAATATAATTATTAAATTATTAATATTTGTAAAAGGTGAGTCAAAGATGCTATCGGTAAAAATGAGAAGCCTGTCTTGGAAGTTTAAAATCAGCATCTTTGTATGAGGAAGTTCAAAGTCATATATGCTGAAATTGTCTTCAAATCAATTTAACAGAAAACAATATTATTTGTATATAAAAGAGTTAATTTTCTTTTATATTTGATGGGTTTGTGTGTGTTGTTTATTAACATATGACCTGAAAATTTGTCAAATAGTATTATTACTATTATTATTATTTTTTAATGAAAAAACTGCCATGTGGTTTTTTAAATTTTCTGCTTTATTTTTACATTAAATTTGTTGGATGGTTGGGAATTTACACTCATCATCAGCATATGCTGTAAGAAAATTTAAAAGAAACCACACAGATTTTTTTTAAAAATAAAAAGCCACTAATTATAAATATTTAAACAAAATCTTTAAATAAGTTCATGTTACATAATAAAAATTATAATTATTTTATTTCAGTATTAATATTTCACTTAAGAAATATACAGTTTGAATGTTGGTCTGTTGTCCAATATCTTTATGTAATATATCTATATAATACATACCTTTAGATGATAAATTTAATTTTAATGTGTAATAAAGTTTAAATTGGTAATTATTTGATTAAATATTGTTTTATTATATTTAGTTTGTATTTATTTAATCTGATATTCTAATTAATTATTACTCAATATTTTTTTTTTTAGAGTGAATCCCCACAAAGGGTAAAATTGGTAAGTTTTATTTAGGTTCTTCCCCACCCATTAGTAGGTAATATAATTTATGATTTCAGTTAGCTCGTATGTTTGGTGTTGATAAAGATAACTCAGATCTCACTGGCTTCCTTGAATTTGTAAGAAAGGAGGAAAAACAATATAAAACTGACAAAGAGTTTAAACAAAGATTCAGAATATTTAGAGCCAATATGAAGAAAATATCAGCTTTGCAATTTTATGAACAGGGCACTGCAGTTTATGGGGTGACCAAGTTTGCCGATCTCTCGGGTATTGCTTTCTTTTATTTTTAATAATTTTTGTATCACTAAAATTATATTTTTCTTTGTTTCAAGCTGAAGAATTTAAGAGGAATTTCCTCGGCTTTAACCACAACCCAAATTATGTACCAAAAAAGCCTCGGAAAATGGCTGTTATTCCAAACATTACATTACCAAATTCATTTGATTGGAGGGATCACAATGTGGTCACACCAGTAAAAAATCAGGTACTTTTTTAATCGCAAGCTTAACAAAACTTGTTGTTAAACAATTACTAATATTACAGGGGTTTTGTGGTTCATGCTGGGCTTTTTCAGTAACCGGTAATGTAGAGGGTCTCTATGCTATTAAAACAGGCCAGCTGTTATCATTTTCTGAACAAGGTAAGTAGTTATCTCAGTTTGTCAGTGGTTAAAACCCTTAATATAATTATATTTTAGAACTTGTCGACTGTGACAAATACGATGCCGGTTGCCAAGGTGGATTTTTTGACACTGCGTATCATGCCATTGAAGATCTCGGTGGTCTTGAAACCGAGAGTGACTATCCATATCTCGGAGAGAAAGAGACATGTGCATTTAAAAGGGCAGAAACGAGAGTCTCCATCAGTGGGGGCCTGAATATATCACACAATGAAAACGATATGGCCAAATTCCTTGTAGTCAATGGACCAATATCTATCGCTTTAAATGCCAATGCAATGCAGGTACTTCAATCATTTCTAAACAGATGTAAAATCATTGTTTTCAACACAACTATTTGATTTCAGTTTTATTGGGGAGGAGTTTCGCACCCACCAAAGTTTTTGTGCAATCCTAACAATCTAGACCATGGAGTTCTAATCGTTGGGTATGGGGTACATAGTAAGTACACTCATTAAATAATATTGTAAAAAATCGAATAAAGCGTTCCCACCTTAGAATAACAATATCCCTTACAGGGACAAAGTTCACAAAAAAGATGTTACCTTACTGGCTAATCAAAAACAGTTGGGGCAAGTCTTGGGGAAATCAGGTTAGTTGAATTAATTTTTATATATTATTTTTAGATTATCCTACCTTCAAGAAAAAGCTCCCTTTCTGGCTGATCAAGAACAGCTGGGGAGAAAAGTGGGGAATACAAGTAAGACAATTTTTAGCCATATAATTGATTCTCTTGACGATCATATTGAGCCAAATGATGGTCATAAGTTATCAAGTAAAAGAAATTGAATAAATTCTGCTTACAGCATAGATCATAGGATATGAATAAACAACAGTTTATGTATAAATAATTTATTTTTCTTTTTTTCCCAGGGTTACTACATGGTCTACAGAGGTGATGGGACCTGTGGAGTTAATCAATCGCCATCTACGGCAATTTTGTCATAAAAAAATCGCAACAAAATAAAATTGTTTATCAATTATCACAACACAATATATATAGATATATATATTTATATAATTCGTGCCAGTGTTTTATTTTATTTTATTAAATTCACTTTATTGAGACAATTTAAATATATTTTTTTAAAAATATTTTAACAAGTATAGAATTAGAATGTAACCAATTGTAATTGATCAATTATAGATAATAAATCTATTTGTTTTTTTAATAATCAAAATAAGACATTTAAAAAAATCATTTTTCTCTATCCTATGGGACATTCTAATGAACCAACTAATGCAAAGGTTAATTTTAGTTTTTTTTTCTTTTTGGAATGATATAAAGCTTTTTATTTCCTATGATTTTTTTATATTTTTCATTAAGTTTTTTTACAATATAAGTAAGGTACAGTATACAATAAGTAGGCCTATTTGAATTTTTGTTTTCCACTTTGCTTTCAGTTACTGCAATTCGACTTTTTTAAATATTTCCAACGTTTTCTTGACAGTCAACTATTCTTCAGTTTAACAATTAACATTTAATTCAACACTTCATGTATGTAACTTTCCCCTTTTAAATCTTAACATACATTCTACAAGATATATATAGGGAAAGAGAAAGATAGTGTGTTAAAAATTAACGACATTAAAAAGAAATTAATTGACATGTAAGTGTTTTTTCTCAAAAAAATCAAATTGACATTTTTGATAATGCATGATCTCTAGAGGTAACTATGGATTTCCAATCTTTCATAATTTTGCTCATTTGTTTGTCGGTCTGAACAATACGAGTGAGGTAAAATTTGCAATTGAAATAAAACAATAATATTTCGTTTGTTTCAAGATTGACAGTACTGTTTGTGAAGTGTAATTAGTCGAACAAAAATTGCATTTATCATTTCACTGCAGCTTCGAATCAAACCGGTGACAGGTGAAAAAATTTGCAAGTTCATCATTGTTACTACTAATAAGTCAATACAGAAAATTACTATAATTCTCTTGCACTTTTTAAACATGCTATTCAGTTAAAGATGTGTTTTTTTAGTTATTATTTTATCATTAAATAGTCTTTAAAAGATTGAGAATAATTGTTAAAAGACAATAATATTCTGGCTACTGATTTAAGGATAAGCTAAGCATTTTACTCAACTAAGTACTGTATTAACTATTTAGGACAACAATATTTTTAATTGACCATACTTCTGAAACACTTGCGGTTCTAATGTTACACGATCAAATAAATCTGCTTAAAATATTGCCAATTCAGCACTAAGCTGTATAGATAATATGTTGTTAGTGAATATTCAAATATCACAGTTACATATACATATATGTATATATTTTTTGTTGTAATCTTATAAGCCGGGTTGTTTCGAAGGGCTGGCAGTGTTTACTTTAGATACCACAAATTACCTCTTTTAAAACAAAAGTATCCTAAATCCAAATACCATCTAGCAGATTTAATAATTTAATAACAGGTTTTTTAAAATTTAAAAACAAAACAAAAACATAAAAGAACAATTTCTTATAATTATGTTTCCAGTTTAATTCTTAAACAATGTTTACACATAAAGACCATAGTAGCTATCTAAGTAGTTTTCTGATATCACACATGCCTATCCATATCTAACTTTCAACATTAAATATAATCTATAAAAATGTTTGCTTTTTTCATGTATATATTTTTTGTTAATTTTCTTTTTTTTTTAATTTAAAATTTTCTAATTATTACAAACTTAAGATGTAATTTCACATATATCACATAATTCTCTAAATCACTATATGGGGTGGAAAGGTTCCATCCATTCAAGAAAATAAATCACTAACTTTTGACATTTTTATTTATTCTTTTTTAAACTTCTTTGTTACTTTCCTTATCTTTCTCTGAATTCACTTGCACAAGAAGATTTTAAAATATAACTAATAATACCACTTGCGGTACTTTTGTTCTACTGTTGGCTGAAATAATAATTATAAAACTGATTATAAATTTTTCTAGAAGTTGAGAGCCAATTTTGTTTTGATATAACAACAAAATCATAACATTTTTCTACATATCTAACAAAATAACAAATCATTGGTACATTTTGTATCTCAAGAAATTCATACAACTTTAACAATTCATATAAATTATTAGTAGTTCCTATAGTGACTTTCAATGTTCTTATAGCTGGGGTATTTGGAATGGAAGAGGAATGGAATTTAAGGTGAAGGTATTTTTTGATATGGATCAATATTCAAGAATCACTTGAAAAATATATATTGATTAACTAAAAATAAAGTTAAAAATGAAATAATATAAAATAAATTTAATTGTAACACAAATAAATTTGAATTAATCGCTAGGTTATAGTCAACAGAAGTATTATGTGAGAAAACGATATTGTTAATATTTCACAATTAATTTGTGGATAAAGAAAAAAAGTTCAAATTAACTTTTATGGCAAGAAAATTACTGGATAAACTTTTATATTGTAGGAGAATAAATTTGAAAGTTGCGCCAAGGTGACGTCAGACAGTGACGTACTTAAATCTGTTGGTCACTTCTAAGAAGGTTATTGGTTATAAGTGCTTATGTATATAGAGAATAAAGAGCGTGTGTTTGAAAACGAAAAGTCTACGTTTTCTTTATCCGATTCAATCCTGAAAAGGCCCTACAATATATAAATTAATTCTATATATAGATTAATAAATAAAATAATTAGCAAATGTGAGATGCTTGTCTAGTTGGGGATCGAACTTAAGTATAAGAACATTAAAAGATTTTTAAGTACTGGTCCTGCCAATACATAATACATTAATAAAACTATGTTTTACAGCTCCTGGCTGAGGGGCAAGTTATGCTTTCTTATTTCTGTTTTCATTCTTTATAATTAAGAAAAAATATATATCATTGACTTTGTTTTTCAGAGTAACACAACATGGACATGCCCATAAGTCAGTCTCCTAAGAAACTTCTCTAAAAACTAACAACACATATAATAATATTTTTAAAAAATCTTTGGCCTCCTTTCCATTTCATATTTTAAAATTTTGTGCATGTTCAACACTTAAAACAATTACTATATATACCATTTGACACATTAACATTGGCAAATAATTAATTAAAACCTGAATGAGCATCAAGGTGTACAGTGTAATTTCCATAGGAAACATAAATCAACTAATGCTCAGTACTAAGGCTAAAAAGGCTACACACTAAGAATATTGCCTTCAGTTCATATTGCAAATTCAATATATTTTAATGTATATAATAATTTTTTCTCTCTTTTCCCTTATAAATATTGTTTTTAAAGTTAACAGTGAATAAAAAATGAACCTTTTTTAGCACAGAAAAAATACATTCTAGATATTTCTTTAAAATATTCTACAGGTTTATTATTTCGGTTTTCTTATTGCATAAAGGGAATATTACATAAGTAATTTATTCATCCAATATTTTCATCACTACATTTGGTAACTGAGGCTGAAAAATGTTCCACATTTTTTTTATTTGACCCTCAGTTCTGTTCAAAAAACTAAGATATCTGTATTATTATATTTTGAGTGATTAAGCAAATTTATAAAAATAAATAATCCAGTTTTCCTCACTTAATTAATTAGATCAAATACTAAAAAGTTTAACACAGCTTTTGTATATAAAACGAATGGAATCAACAAATAATTATCACTAAATGTAAATTATTAGTTGTTACTTTAATGGAAACCTGAAAGTGCTTGATATATTATTTTTAAGGTTTTAAAGTTAATTGTAAAGTTTTTTTCAACCTCATTTACAATCCAGTAGTTTTGCAAGTGAACCTCTATCCCTCCCTGCAATATACTGCCTGCTAACGATACGTAAGAAAATTTCACTACTTAACAAGAAAATCTTCATTCAAACTTTTTTGGATTCTATTTTAAAACTTTTATTTAAAAACTAGGTTCTTTCATAACTAATTTTTGTCAAACAGTAAGGCAAGACAGAATATTTTTTTTACATTATTTTTGCAAATCGTCTTCCAACTGCTGAGGGTTCGGTATCGTTCCCCCAGGGAAGAGAATTTGAATTTAATTTATAATTAGTTTTATTTACCTAATCACAACATGTAGAGAACCCCCCACCCCCCAAAATCTCCCCGTTAAAAGCCTGGTTAGAAAACATGGCACAAAACTTGAGCCCCGGCTATTTTTTTCGACTTAAAACAAATACTATTTACTTACAATTTGATTTTAACAGGCCTTAGCACATATAAGAGACCTGACTCTGCTTATGCAGATCATTCTTAAAATTGTATTATTATTATTATTGTCGGTTCTTCTTACTGAAATATTTGTTAGCTGAAAATTTCAATGTGCACTTGTGTGTAAAAACATCCTCCAATTTGTCATCAAAATTTTTTTCTGTATATTCACCTTCCTTTTCCTAGTGAATCCATAATAAGGTGAAAAACACAGAGTAAGAAATGAAATAGAAGTTAATCTGCAAGCCGAGGGCCAGTTAAATTCTCCAAAAATAATTTCGTTTCCTCTGTCACTCTAGCTCTCTCTCTCTCTCACTCTCTTTTTCTCTTTTAAACATATCATTAGGATAGGAGTTTTATATTTATTGGTACAGAAAAAATACTTATGTATACCCACAATTGAAAGATAAAGAGTTTTTGAGTAAGTATGAGTGAGACAGTACGATTAAAACATCTAGAAAAAGAGGGAGCAAAGAGAGGCGTGCAAGAAGAGATAGAGAGAAAGCAAAAGTGAGAGAGATATTGAAATTTGTGCACTTCAAATTTTAGATTCTTTTGTTTCTGAATTCATTCCATTATTTAATTATTTTTCGAGTTAAACTACTTTGTTGAATGCTGCGATGGGAACAATTTAAATTGTTTCTTCAAGCTGCTCTTCGAGCCCTGTGCTTGTCCCCTCACCCACCACAGCATTCTCCTCTGAAAAAGAAACATACAACAAACATTGTGATGAAAAAGTGCAAGTGTTTGTGTGAAAGATTATATCACATCAATAATTACATAATTAGTATAAAAGCACACTCAATATATCAATAACATCAATATATGTTATAAGTACACAAATTAATGTCAAACAATAATTTTTTATTTTACATTTAAATAACACAAGAAGTAAATGAGTCCATCTATTTAAATCACTATGCCTATGTTTGAATGTTTATATTACTGTATGATTCCTCTCATCTAATTCAGGGCTTCCCGAACATTTTAACCAGCAGAATCCTTTCTCAAAACAAAATCCAAGGAAGACCCCTTTCATTCAAGTATTTAAAATTAGATACTTATAGTGTATAGTAAATTAAAATTTTATAAATTAGCCAGCCCTTTCCAAATTAGGTGATGAAGGAGGATGTCGCTATGAAAACAAACATTTGATTGATTTACTTAACTTTTTATACAAAATCCGGAAACAAAAATCAAATTAGACAGATTGGAATCATTAGTTATGTAAAACTCGAGCCAATTTTAAAAGTAATAATTTAAACATGAATGATGCATGAATTACTTGGAAGAGTGAGGTTGTTTTAACCTGCACAATTTGGATATATTGGTTTTAATTTTTGATAACTGGAGATATCTGGTTCAGCATCTGGACAGCTTTGGTATTTAGTTATATTGGCTGTATAGAAAGAAACTCCAGATTCGGCTAAGATATAGCAAATAGAACAAGAACTTTTTCCACAAGCAGTTGAATGTATATTTGTATAGTTGTTTTTGGAGTGAAAAATGGGGGTATGTATCAGATTTGAATGTTTATTTCAAGATGGAATCTGAAGTAATGTCTATAAAAATTCGTATTCACTTGAAGATAGACTGGTTGGCTTTGTTGAAACTGAAAATTGTTTCACCACCCATGGTCTTGTAGCATTCTATCTCGAGCTGTTGGGAAGTAGTGCTCAAAGGATATCTCCATACTTCAAAGGTGTTCACATATTTCGTCAATTGATGTGCCGTTTGCAAGCACCAGTTTTTTTTTTTTTTTTTTTTTTTGACAAAATCATTTAACACAGAAAAACACTCCACCTCCATTAAACCCAAAACTGGATTTTTATTTTCAAGAAGCTATTTTTGTCATTAGCATCGAAAGTTCTGACACTCTTCCATTGAAAAGAAAGACTCATCCCATTCATTTTAATGGAAAAGTCTGTCGGATACATGACTTTCATCATTTAAAAACATTGTTCCATTTGACATTGTGGTCCATCAACAAGTTAAGATTTCATTCCTTTAATCGGGACAGCTACCTCATTTATGTATGGAAAATCAGGAATGATGAACGCTTCCCATTTCTTCATATAATATTGTGAAAAATCTTGACTTCAATGGCCATGACTCGATATAATTAACCATTTGAACCGACTCATTCAAAACTCATTTAAAAGAGGCTGGAACTTGTTTAATAGCTAAAGCGTATCTGTGGAAAACATAATGTCTGCTACTGCAAAATAACAAACTTTCGTTTTCAGCACTTACTGTTATTGGTTTTTTAATTTTTTTAATTCATTCTATGTTTATTTTTGTAAATATTATTTTTTCTCAAAGTTTGACTCGGACCGCAGTTTGGGAAGCCCTATTTTAATTTTTTTAAATGTTAAATTTTGTTATCTACCAATTTAAGAACTCCCATGTTAACTCTACAGAATAAAATGATTCAAATCTTGATAATAATATTCATAATTCAATTGTAATTTGATAGTCACCCAATGGCAGTTTCACAATCTCAATAAAAACTATCAGCCATATATAAAAATAAATAAATAATAGTTAATGTTAATATTTTTACTAAAAAACACAAATTTATACAGAAGCATAGCTGAACACCAGAATAAGCAAGCTCACAGATTGAAGCTTGGAAGGACTGAAGGTTGGACAGGGAATTATTCTGTGCATCCATATTTGTATATAGAATTTAATACGCTTTAATACATAAGTGTTTTAAAATGTTTTTATGTTTACTCCACACAGGGTATACCCTTTTGAGGGCTGGCCCAAAAGAATAAAAATAAAAAATAAAAATTAAATATACAACTGTCAGACAGTAGCAACTTTCGAAAGCTATCTCCGACTATGGGCTTTTACACTTATGTAATGCAATTAAAATTAAGTTTGAAATTTTTTAGTTCTCGCCAGTTATAAGTAGCTACTCTTTGTAAACTTTCTTTGTTCATTATTAATTAAGATGTGATGACTTTTGATTATTGATGGTTGTTGTGAGATTTCAGTCAGAACTTCCAGTTTTTTACTCAAAACATTATTTATGCGCCAATGTTTCAAGGCAGAGATGTAAATGTATAGGTTTTTTTGAGATTTGGTATGATTATTACTATTATTATTTTTTTACCATACCCTGGGAGTATGAAAAGGGTATTTTTATTAACATTACAATTTTAAACGTAGATGCAGGGTTTTATTTCTGTGTTGAGGACACTTCTTTCTTATATTTCTTTATTAAAACATTAGTCTATTTCCAGTCATAATATTAATGATTCTCTGTATAGTTATTTATTTGCATTTAATCTTAGCATTTTAACGATTCACGCTTACTGACTTAATAGCATAGTGTCAAATTACATCTCCTTTACCACCCTTACGGGCCTTATAAAACCCACCTCCTCTCCCAAGCTTTGAGTTTATTTATAAAGACGCCTTTCAAGGGGTTCAGTGTAAAATATGTTAACCACACCCAGTTAAAAAAATAGCCAACTATTTTCTGACATCATTACTTTAAATGTTAATAAGTTAGTTTGAAAAAACAAAATCACGGTTAAGAATTATAGTTACTTTGGTTTAATTTTATTTTACTGCCCATTTTCCTACTGCCATTAACTGACTCTCCTTGATTGCTGATTAAGTTGATGAGGCCATGTACTTGTGAACTCACAAGTACATGATTTCTGAAGATGACAATTAATAGTAGATTAAATATTTTTATATTATAAATTTTAATAATTTTTAAAATTATTAGTGATATTAAATCAATTACCTTGTCATACTTGCACTCTTAACTCTTTTAACCCCATTGTTCCAGCATGTCTCCAAGTTCTATACCTGGCTAGATCTTTTCTTGTCACCATACCAACAACCTGATGAAAAATTTCTTTTAAAACTGTTTTTTTTTTTAAATTTATTTTTTAAATAGATATTGTGGATTCACTTACTTCATTCACATCATTTACGACGATTATATGCCGAAGGCCAAGGCCTCTGAACAACCTGAATATTCGAGGTAAGGAAGCATCCTATAATAATTAAAATCCGGCCGGATATTAATTTTCTATTATCAAGAGAAAATATATAAAGTTTAACTAATATAATTTAATTCTAACCAATTTAACTGTATAAGGCGATGGATTCATATAGGGCCTGAGATCCAATGTCTGTTCATAATCTTCTTCAGTTATTTGCACATCCTGCACAAACATTCGCGATGAAGTATAAAAAAAATTAATACAATTTGTTCAGATATATGTATAAAAATAACTGATATCAACACGAGTTAGTAAAGTGTAAAACAACTCACCTCGATCCAGCCAGAACGTAGCTTAAAAAAATATATTATTAAAAAATTGCCAAAATGAAATAATATCAATTTTATTATAATCTACCTGTATTTTTTGATATTTTGCATAAGCTTCTCTAAACATATGGAGTTTTTTTCGAAGCTGCTCAGAGGTACTTGGGACAACTTCATTGAAAGACTTACTATGGAGGAGAATAAGGAGTTGTGACTTCAGTATGAGACCTTTCAGCCTCCCAGCTGATTTGAGAACTCCCTAGAAAATGAACAATTTAACAAAATTTTAATAATAGTAACACATTTATTTTTTAAATTATAGTTTTACAGTAAAAAGTCTAAAATGTATGTACAACAAATCTCTATTAAAGAAGGTTAGAAAAAATTAAATCATGAACAAGTAAATAAATTAGGTATAATTTGAATAAACTTTAGTACATTTTTATGGTGGTAAACCAGGCCTTTAAAAGGCATAAATCTGAACTTCCAAATTCAATAAAAAGCTAAAGTGTATAAAGACTTGCAAAATATAACTTTTGCACAGTCAATATTTATGTTTTTCTAACATGTATTTACGAATTTTACCTGCATTTTTAAAGTTAAAAACCTATTTGTGTATACAGATGCTTTAATACCTATCTTTTTTCTTCAAACAATGAACTGTTGGTAGCATTTTTTACATTAACATCATTATATAAATGATAACTTTCTAATTTTGGTTATTACATTCTAGTTAAGGAAGTTATCCAAAATTTGTTTCTCGAGAAGTGTTTAATGTAGTCGAGGGACATCCTGACAGATAATTGGTTTTAGTGTGTGAACGGTTGGTATGTTTCCTTCTTGTTGTTCCCACCTTGTGGATGAAAGGACATATCCCATGGCCAGGGGCCAACTTAATAATTAAACTGTCTTTCCTCTTTCCTCTATAGAAAGGAATCACTTTTGACTCATACACGCAGACAAACTCTCACTAACAGCTCTTGAGTTGGGATTGTTTCTGAAACTTTTATGAGAGTTCTATCCCCGCCCACCAGGAAAAGTTCTCACAAGCAACCGTTCTCCCTTTAGACCATACACTTTCTAACAACAGAGAGACCTGCCCCACAAGTTAAGTGGAGAATGCTATTTTTCTCTTTTCCCCGTAATTGTTCTAGATAGCAGCGATTAATCATTGCCCTATGGTCTCTTTCTTTTTACCAAAATCACCAGCATGCAAATCAATGAATTAGCATTAATTCTGATTGTTCTATATTAACCATAAAATATATTATGTTATTGTTTCTTGATCAAATAATTTTTGATTTTTTTAAATGTTTTTGGGACCTTGGACTTTATAATGTAACTTCAATGAAATTTTATCTTAAATTAACAATCGATTTTCATGGCTTTTTAAAAATTGACTTTCAATTGGCAAAAAAGTGAAGGATAATCATAGTGGGGTGGGCCAGTTATCCTCTTGGTTTTTAAAGGAAAACTTACAACAATTTTCCTTATACAAAAAAACAAAAAGTAGACTGCTTACATGATTAGTGGCAGTTGTTGGGTCTACAATAGGGAAACCATTGTGAGGCACATTGTCCAAAGTGTCTATAATCCTCGCCACTTTGACCTTTGATGGAAAAACAACAGGCGGGGCTGACATCACATCTGTTGCCTTGATGTCCGACGAGAGAGGAGGCGGTGCAGAAGGTAGGAGAGGCACTCCGTTCAGGTATATCTGCATCTCGTACACCCCCTACAATCGATGATGAGATGATGAAATACGCAACCTATTTACATTATTCATTTTTACCTCTGTAAAAAAATCACCGATCCATTTGGTAGTGATGAGTGTGAGCATGAGGGGAAGGCCAAACGTTATATTTCCTGTTGCCTCTATCATCATCACTGTGAGTGATATTGATATTCTACATATACCCCCAAGGTGAGCCGCAGCTCCTATCACAGCATATTTTGCCGGCTCAGCCCAAGCCTGAAATTACACATGTAAGCAATTTAAAATATAATCATACTATTACTGAATGATAATAATACAAAGAAATTTGAAATTTATAATAAAAAAAGATCATAATCTTATTATAGTCTGATTAATGTAAGAGAAAGTCATTCCAAGAATGTATACAAGCTAAATGTTGTGATTCTTACACTCTTAAAATTAGAATATTCATGAAAAAAAAGGTAAAAATATAATAAATAATAATGAATTATCCTAAACAAGCTTGGAAAAATTATTCCTCTGTATTAAAACACCATTTCTTTGAACTGAAATACTTCTATAACTATTTGTCGATTATGAACAAGTCAATTATTGTGAGTTTTCCCCAAGTGCGAGGTGATGAATCTGTAATTTGGTCTATCTGTTTTAGAATTTTGCTATCTTTAATGTGCCTGTTGAAATGTATCTGAGCAGACTGAATTGATCAGTAACAACCAAATTACGTGCCAATTATTAGTTTATTTCCAGTGCTGATTGACTTTTATGCAGTAATTTATAGTCAAACAGCAGCATAGCCAAAAATTCTTATCATTTTTACATTTCTGTTTTACTATAAAAAACATACATTTATAAAAATTAAATTTTTAATTAACTGTTATATTTATTCAATAATGAATTTAAAAAAACTTAGCAATAAAATATCAGAAAAGTTCAATTAGTCATTTTGTATGAGAGCCAAGAGAAATTGGCTTTTGGGTAGAAAGGCACAGGAAATATCACCTGCTTTGGATTAATGCCAAAAAAGGTACCCACAGCTTGAAATAAATCTTTTGTTACCAGCATCCTTGGTGTCGCATTGTTCATATATAACTGCAAACAACTTATTTGTACTTTATAATAATAAAAAATATAAAAAAATTACCGCTTCAGGAAATACGTGTTGTATTCCTATACCTATGAGGCGGCCCCAAGCTGCCCCTGATAATAGTGCTGGAACGAATACTCCAGCACTGACACTTAGACCAGTTGTCATTATGGACATACAGAAGTACATTAGGAAAAATACGACTAGAGGCACTACACTGTATGAACCTGAAAAAATTCAAAGTTTTAAAAAATCATTTCTGGTGTCTTTATTTTCAAACATCAAATCAACACGTTTAAAAAAAAGTTTCCTGGCATAAAATGGAAAGTAATGTAAGAAAACTTTTGTGGTGGATTGAAGTAACATGTTTTGACAAATATATGTACGTAAACTGTGTCAGGAGTTTGGTAAAATCAAGTTAATAAGTCTTGGTGTTGGGCTAAGACTTTGTTGAATGAGAATAGGAAGAATAAACCAATTGCTTATTGAGGGGACAAACTGGTGCTAACAAAAACTAAATTGTAAAATTCTATGATAATTATCTATATAAAAAAAGTTAAAAAATTGAAAAGGTACCTTTGGGATCATGAAATAAAGATCTGAGTGTATCTTCAGATTTTTGAAACCAAAATGCACTTAGTTCATTGTGTTTGCTTCCAGTGCAAAACATCTAAACAATAAAGAAACATTCATATTTCAAAACTGAACTTTAAAAAAATTTATATTTAAGAGTTTAGACAACATACTTGAACAGCAAATTTAGGGCTAGCTTCTGTGTAGTCACGGCAGTAGTCAAGTGAATAGATTGAAACCATCCCACATGTTGCTGTGAGAAAGCCTACAGTGAGAGCTTCAAGCAATTTGACCCATTTCTTCTTGATGTGCCTAAATGTACAAAATCGTTAAATATCTGTGTGAAAAAAAAAATGGATATTCAAATACTTCATTCTGAAGACCATGAGTCTCATGTTGATTGCCACAAACACGGCTCCCAGGAGACCTCCTATGACACCCATCAGAATGAAAATAGGAAGCTCAAACACTTCATATTTTGTGATTGTGTCATTCAACTTGCCGAAGAACAAAAGACCAGGATGGGTAAGCTGACCTATAAAATCATTTTTAGCAAATTTTTTTAAACTATAAAACACAAAATATGGAATTTTAGAGAATATTTCAAAACAAACCAGGGTGTCCTTCAACAGCACTTAAAGACAAATTGAGTGTAAATGTGGCGACCATGGAAGAAAGGAAAATCTTCCATATTAGTGAAAGGCTCCAGAAACTCGTTCCTTCTTCTAAACTGAGTAACACTCCACCTACAAATTCACATATATATATCAAGTACAAACAAAATGAACAATCGCTACTCACCAACAGGAGCACCGAAGGCTGCTGCAACACCGGCAGCTGAACCACCTGCGACAAAGTCACGCTTCTCGTGGTCCTGCCTAAAGTAATGGAGGACGGAGTGAGAGCCTAGACCTGGCAGCCACAAAGTGGCTAGTGAGCCTCCAACTATAGCACCTGAATGGATCATGGGCCCTTCCTTGAACACAGCATATTTTTCAATGAGAGTGTGTACATTAATTAACATCACTATGTTAATTTAAAAATGTTTTGGGGTATATGATATTTTGAAAACAAATTCTAACACACTGATTGTATAGAAATGTTTCTAATAAAATTAGTTTAGCTTTATACCAAAACACTATTAATAATAACTTATTAGTCAAAATGAAGACTAATGATTCTATTAATAAGGAAAATTAACTTTGCTTACATTAGCAATGAATATGAATCAATAATGGAGCCATAATTTTTAGAACTTACTTCTAAACAACTTACATAAATTAAGAATTGGACTAATTAAGAATTCATATTTGAGAAGTAAAACATTTTAAATGGGGGATATTCCATTATAATTGTTCTGATTCTGCCTCTGATAGGAAATTAGGGTGGTTTGGTCCACTTGTTGCTATAAAGCAAGTGAGCTCTCTAATGATTTGAAACGTATAAAAACTACGAATGTTGTTTTAAGATGTTGTTTATTTAAATGTTAACAAGATTTCAACAAGAAAATAAAGAAGCATTTTGTGAAAAATAAAAATGCCATAAAAATATGAAATTTTTATCACATTTAAATTAAACAAATATATCTGTAAACTTTATAAACCATAATCGTTATTATGGCAGATAGACACCCCATGGCAAAAACTGCTTTGAATTGTATATTATGTAATGTTTTTAACACATTTTTAAATTTTTATTATTACTATAATATTTATTATTAATTTTTTATTATTACATAGTATTATTATCATCATTAGTTCATGAATTCATAAACCTGAGCTTGACCATGACTTTGTCTGTAAGCATACTTCAGCTTTTTGCCATGTTCAACCTGGGCCAACTTACAATCTTGTTATATAATCTCATATATTGCACCATTGTGTTTAATGTTTTACAATATAAAATTAAAATGTTTACCTGAGTAATCATAACATTCTTTTCAGATTGGTAAGTAAAAGTTAAAAAATAAAATGATCACTGGTTCAATTATTAAGAAGAATCATAAAAATGGTTTAAAAAATCATGTTTTTTATTGTATTGATTTTGTTCATTGCAAAATGTTATCATTATGAAAAATGAACATATAAATAAACTCACCTTTCCTCCAGCGAGACCTCCTACACATGTAGCTATTGTACTTAGCATACGAACGATGAGCACTTTCACTTCTACCACATGAGGCATTTTGACACCATTCAGGTACCCGATGACAGCTGGAACTCCACTACCTGAGGCCGCAGGCTAAAAGAAGATTTTGCTATAAGAAATATTCTGTCTGCTTAAATTCATACTTTCTTAAGGAAAAATGTTGAGAATTGTTTTATTAAGAATTTAATAGAAATTTGTATATTTCTTACCTCAATATAGACAACGAGAATTGAAGCAACAAGAACTGGTACTAAAACTAAAGTAAGCCACATTCCATATGTCAGGTAAACACATTGCTCCAAAAGACATTTGTCCATATCTGTACATTGAATTGTAAGGATTTATGACACATCTATGATACAAATTTATTTTATTGTAAGATTTCACCATGTGGTCTGTCAGACTTCCAAAACTGGTGTTTAACAAGAGAAACAAAGTAAAATTGGTGAAGCAACAAGTGACAAAACCAAGCCACCAAGATATAGGAAAACTTCCATTCTGATAATAAAGTAGTAGATGATGTTAACAGTAAGGATATGCAAACCAAAATGTTTGGTAATAACCAAATTACAAATAAATTAATTGCTAGATTAATTATTATCTCTTCATGTAGCTGAACTATTCACTACTATGTGAATACACAAATGTAAAAAAAAGTGAGATAAAATATGAACACAACAAATTTAAAAGTGTCATATAATTTACAGGAGAACGTAAACTCAATTAGCTCCTGGGTTGCGGAAAATGGTTTTAAGTTGAATATACAAAACTTCCAAGCTATTGTGTTTGGATCCTGTTCTCTCATCTATTCCTAACCTCTTATCCCTTTGTTTACAATTAACAATCACCCTATTTACTTCTGTTCAACCGTCAAGAACCTTGGGATTGCCCTAGATCAGACCTTGTCCTGGAAGCCACATATCTCACACATTTCCTGATCTCGCTTCTCCACCCTCCATTAATTCTATCATGACAGCCACATTTTCCCGTTTAGTAAGCGTAAACTTAGTTTCACGTGATGAACTCGCTGTGGAGCTTGAGGATAAGGTTAAATGACAAGTGAATTGTTTCTTCTTTGGCCCCCCCAAGAAGTTCCCATGTGACTGATCTATACACTGGCTGAAATGGTGATTCTACCAAAAGCAATTCTTCCTTGGCTTATTAGATAATATTTTCCCATTCCCCTTCCTATATCTATTATCTCCTTATCTTCAGATCTTCTGTACTCCTGTCAAATTCTCTACAACCCCCATAAACATAGAATTACTGCATTCAGTCCTTCCTCCCCCTATCTCCAATCTATGAAATTCCTTTCCTCACTCTAACTGCCAAGCCCCAACCCATTCCACCTTTAAATCCCATTTCTTTGATTACCTCTTGTCTTTAAAACTTGGTACCATTAAATCAGTCAATGCAAAAAAATTAAACAATTACATATTACTAAAAATAAGGAACTTAATTGTCGAAATGAGAAGAAATAAAGAAATAAAACTCCTCTGTTTTGGATTCCAGCTCACTGTGGAATTTTTGGAAATGAAAAAGCGGATTCGTTAGCGAGAGAAGCTAACTATTATCCAATGGCCAAGGCAAGAGGCATAAATAGTTGGCAGACTCAATACAGTGAGTGTGGTAAGGGGCTGCTGTATAAAAAAATGTTTCCTGCCATTTCAATAACACCCTGGTTTTCAACGATCAATCTCAAAAAAGAGACGTGCAGGTTGATGGTGAGGCTTATGTCCATTCACTGTGTCTGTAAATATTATTTAAAAAAGATAAACCAAATACAAGACGATAAGTGCAAGTGGTAGCATTGAAACATTGGAAAATATAATCATTCTGTGTCCACTCTATGAAGAGAAATGGAAGAAGATGCTAAGTGCTATAAAAAATGTAATGGGAAATATGGTAGGATACTCTAAGATAATAAGCTCCTGTTCTATTGAGGTGATCTCTGCAGTAGAGGACTTCTTGAAGAATATAAACAAAGGATGCTGATTACATTAAAATAATAGTTGCAATTATTGTATTAATTAATTAATTTGTTATTGTTGTTTTTAATTGTTATTTTGAACAAATTGTACATGATTATATGATGTTGCAAGTAGCTCTGGCAATCAGCTGATGCCAAAAATAAATACATATAAAAAAACTTGGTACCAAATATTTTTAACTGCCCCTTTAATTTTCATAGTAGAACATTTTAACATTATATGAATATACTTTTGTATATTAAATATAGATCTTTGTTTAACCTTATCAGGCTTTAATCTCTGCAAATACATTGTATTCAGATTTAATTCAAGGGGACTTTTAAGTCATTTATTTTCTTTATTATTTTTGTTTATGTTTTGATGTTATAAACCTGCCTGACTTTTAGAAATCGTGGTATATTTTTTACTTGAACATTTTTTTTTCATTTCAGTTGTAAAATTAGTTTAATATCTACTAGTTTATTATTGAAATGGATGATTTCCTCTTCATAATGATAAAGAAATAAATCAGTCTTTAAGTGGTTGTAATTAATTACAGATTACCTGATTATTAGTGGCTTGGTTTTGTCTCTTGCTGCTTCACCAATGTTACTTTGTTTCTCTTGCTAAATACCAAAATGATCTGTAATGACCAAATTACAGGTTTACCACTCTGAAGACCACACAGCAAAATCTCACAATAATTTTTTTTGTCAAATTTCTCTGTGTGATCTGTGAGGTGATGTAACCTATCCTCACTGTGTTGGTTTGTCAGATATGTTTCGACATTTCACTATTAATTAATTGACACATTTCACTTTCTTCAGATTTGGGTTCAAAGGTTCCTTAGTAGGAAGATTCGTTTCCACTAATATAAGCTGAATTAGTATGTTTAAAAAGAAGGATTGTATAAATGTATTTTCAAATGTATTTTTGTAAATATTTGTACAAATGCTCTCAGCTATCGGGTTTGTGGTCAACTGATAACAGTTCAACGATAACTGAGAGCATTGAAATAGCTGGTCGATAAACTACATCGCTAAATGTATTAAACAAACTTTGCTAGCTTTAAAATTTACATATATATTTTTTCAGGTAATTTGCTTTAATACATTTTGAAAAATAATTAAGTATTACAACCTTAGAATTAGTATTTTAGACGTTATGCAAAGATGTGTGGAAATATTATACTTTTTACATTGTGTTTTTCCGCACCAACGTACGGCGCACGTAGATGCTAAACCCGCATTGTTTATGTTTTGCAGGTAGTGTAGTAACCATTCGCCGTGAAAGTAAGTAAAATAAGGTCCGGGACTAAAATATAGCCCACTCAAATTTTTTCATCTTAAAAAAATGCTGACCATCGATTGTCACTTTTTTGTAATGCATAAATTAATTTGCTAAATTGGAACATATCTCTATTAGGTGTTAATAAAAAATAATTTCTAAGGATCAGTAAATAATGCTCGATTTGGGGTGGGACACTTGTTGTTTATTTACAAATAAAAATAAATCCCTACAAGTAAATAAGTCTAATCCAGTTCTGTTTCTGCTTTCATTTGATAATGTTTACCTGTGCAATGGGGTGAGCAAAATCTTTAACATCGGTTGAGAAAAATATTATTCAGCGAATGAAAAATCAAGGATTTTGCATTTCCGATATCTTAAAAAATACTGGTAGGAGTAAAAAAGTGATTTTAAAAAGCTATGGGACAAAGAAATCTCCTGGAAAACCTCCTGCCTTAACAATACGATAAAAACGGTCAATTTTAATGGCAGCTTCCAACTCCAACGCTCGTCAAATTGCTGCAAAAGCTGATATAGCGATAAATTTGAAAAAAAAAAACGGTCAAAGGGTCATTCGCGCAGCTCTGACCTTCAAAAGGAAAAATGAAAGGGATACCACCTTCACTCTCTATGGTCCTGATGGTTGGGCACTCTATTATCACAACCTATGGAAAGAAAAAAAAGAGTTTTCTAAGAGGCAAACGGGGGGAAGGAGCAGCGTTCTGATATGGGGTGGCATGGCTACGATCACAAAACTCACATAGTGTCTGGCCGAATGAATGAATTATGTCACATTGTTAGAAAATAAATTCAAAACGTAATTTCAAATGGTTTCCAAAGAAAACGGCATTTCCCGGCAAGAAAACGCGCCAGTACACACGACAAAAGTTGTAAGATAATTTTTAAGGAAAGAAAATATTCAAATTTTAGACTGGCTGGCAAGACTTTAATATAATTGAAAATGTCTGAAGACACCTTGGCAGGAGTGTTTACAGTGGTAATCGACGGTGTCAAGATGTTGAAGAATTAAAAAAAAAAATAGTAGGAGTGGGCGAAATTTCCTCAAGAATTGATTCGCTACCATTTTGATTCGCTTCCCAATCGTATGATTGCTGCGTTAAAAAAAGGTGAAGCGTACTTAGGATATTAATTAATTTAATTTGTATTATTTTATGTGTTTTAATAAAGAATATTATTGCCTTTAAATTATTAAAAAAAAAGAATATTATTATTATTAAACATGATATCTTTTTGTACCATGCCAAGTTGAGTGTTATTGTTATTGATTCTCTGAAATTATTTTCTATTAGCACCTAATGGATATAATATTTTCAAACTTTAGCAGAATAAGCTATGAATTAAAAAAATATTATCCACGATTAAAAGTTTTTTAACAGGCAAAATTTTGAGTGGGCTGTCTTTCTGTCCCGCACCTTATTTATTTATTAGTAATAATAAAAAAGAAAAAAAAAACTTTCTTCATAGCAATATTTTTCCAGATATTACTTTTTTATTTTATACAATAACTGCTAAAAATGTTAACAATAAATTAAGTGTGACAAATCTAAATTACCAAATTAACCTAAGTTTATCTATTTTTTAAACTATTTTGTTTCGCGATTATTTACTTATTAAAAAAAATTCTAGTTGCAACTGTGAAATATGAACAACTAGAAAAAGAAACGATATGCAAATAAATTCTGTTGGTCTATAAACTTGAGTTTTTCTCCTTTCCTTCCCACAAATCTTCCAAGAGGATATTTAACTTTTTAATATTCTGTTACTAGTTTAATTATGACTAAAGCACAACACTGAATATGGGAAAATGTGAAAACACGTCTGACAGACACTTATTTTTTTGCAAAGCATGCTTACACATTTTTTTCGCCATAAAACACTGTGAATTAAAGCCGATGAAGGATACAATACTTAAGAACTTTGTACTTAATGTCGGCCAAATATGCGATGGAGACGTCTGTGAAAACCCCTAGGCCGGCGGTGAATATGCCAATGAGAAAGAAAAGGAACCACCGGGCGACATCCGTCTGCACAACGTATGTGTAGCCCCTGGTCCTCTCTTCGTCCACCAGAAGTTGATTTTCGCATGTGTCATAATCCAAACTCTGAAACAATTGGGATATACATAATAATTTTTTTTTATTAATTACAGTTCAAATTATAAATTTACAATTTTTTTAGTCGTACAAATACCTATAAAAATAAATTAAATCCTTTTATTATTATTTGGAGGTCGTGCTGTCTGGCAATTGGAAAAACATTTTCTTTATCGTGCCAACGTTTCGGTCTTTATTGAGATCATCTTCAGGGCCTGGGATTTATGAACATTGTTTAAATTTTACAAATTCATACAGGATGTGAAAAAAAATTAATTTATAAAATGCTAGGCAAAAATTATACAATGCTAGAAAATTTTAGATAAAAAAATAATTTATACAATGATAGAAAATTTTAGATTCAAAGTTTTCGTAATCACTCAAAGTGTTTGTGTGTTTGTTTTCCGTGTAGATGTGTCATTCTTGTGAGTGGTGTTGAGATTGCCAGTGAGATATTGATGTTTTATGCTCATGTACGTTGGATTTTGAAGGGGTGGGAAAGGATGTCGGGATAGAAAGACATTTTTATATGAGGAGTCGGCTTCTTTGAGGCGAAAGGAACCGACAATGGGAAAAAACGTGGGTAATGGTTCGGCCTGATTATCCTTTCAGGATTATATTAGACGGGGATAATTAGGGAAAGGAAAGCTAAATTATTGAAGAATTAGACTATGTAGAAATGTTTGATGTGTGGAATGTGTTGATTGTTTTGTATATAGTTATATTATATGTTTTGTGTGATGTGATGATGATATATGTATGTTATCGATATTGTACTTAAAGAATATCCATACATTTTTAATATTTCTTCATTTTCCAATTATTGTTGCAATGATCTAGGACACATCTAATCATACGAACACATGCCAACAATTCGATATTCATTCACTCGGCAATAACTACTTACAACAAGCTAATAATTACACTCATTCGTATACTCACACCGAGGGCCACCGGGGTACTCGATATTCCGCCGTTGACCACTCCTCTCATTCATACCAAAAACGACTAAACCTAGATAACAGACCGTAGAAGTACTTGAGTTCTCATTCATACACATACGGCATTCTCGCTAATAAATGCTTACATTCATAATGCAAAGGGGCAGGTATAGTAAGTGTCATATCCACATAACCCACATCCACCAACCCACTGAGTTTCGGGCAAACAAATTCAATACCACTGCCAAATAAGCCAATGGTGAGCCTGTCGAGAAAGTTCGGAATATCGAAGAGTTTATTTCCGCCTCGTTTGCATTTACGGCTCCTGCCCGCCCTGGCAACTGATGATGTTTAACTCTTTCATCAACTTACCAACTACACAAACGGCCAAACATCACACTCTAGGTATGGTGACTGTCGAGGTGATACTTCTAACTGGGCCACAAATACATTTTTTCCATCTCATACCAGCCCAAAATACACCCATTCGTCTACTCACATGCCATACTATGTACGTACTATGTATTATGAGTAGTACTTTCACTACTCGCAGTACCCGCAGTATGAATTCCAATAAATTCTGCTGGGAGTTACTGTTGTGCACCGATTTTCTTTCCGTCTGGGAGTAGGCCACACCTTAATCTATATTGTTTTAGATTCTCCCACTCTACCAGTATGTGAAGTACTGTCACTGGTATATTACACTGTGGGCATCTCCTCTGTCGACCTCCCTCTAGAAGAAAGCTATGGGTGCGACGTGTATGCCCTATCCTCTTGTTAAGATCACTCTGTCTTTCTTTTTCATTTTCTCTACGGGCCACGGTTTGACCGTGTCTTTAAATTTTTTTAATATTTTTCTGTCATTTCAGTCCAGCAGTTTTGCCATTGTTCTTAACTTATATTTCTGATTTTTCTTTTAACGTCCGCTGGACTGACTGCCGGCTCTGAGTCGTATCGGGTCGCTGCGGCTCGTTTTGCCGCCTTTTCCGCTTGTTGTAAGTTATTACTAAGTTACAATTAATTAAGGTTTTTAATTGAGATAAAATAAGTCAATGGCACGAGCGGGATTCGAACCCACCTTTTGAATTTTATCTCAACTAAAAACCTTAATTAATTGTAATATATTAATTGGTCAAGCAGACCACGAAATTAGTGAATTTAGTTATTACTAAGATTTAAAGCATTGTACAACATATAAAACTGGTTTCCAATTCACATACAGTACACCGGAACCGCATCCAGAAATAAAATTTTATTGAGTTTAATCTTGATCAAATTATATTCCGAAATAAAAATTTGTACGGCAATCTCGCAGTTTCTAATATCGATTTGATGGCGATGAGACAGCCTTCAGACGCGCGACCCTTCAGGTTGAGAGACTATCTTTTGCAGGTATCCATGCGACTGTGTGATTCGGGAACCAACCGTGAACTCGATGGTGAGAAAAGGTAATCCTTTTCTTCCAGGAACGTTTCAAAAAGTAGAAAAACATCAAATTTTGTGACATAATTATTAAAATGCGAATTCACAGTTTTCATTCTATGTACGCTGCAAGCTAGGATATCCAACATCACGGTTTTTAGCTGCTACCAGCCTTCAAAATCCGAGTTTGTACAATTCGATTTGTTTGTCTGCTTGTTTTCTTTGTTTAATAATGAAGCAAAATAGACAAAGTAAAACCATAGTAAAAATTTGGGACATTTTTTATATTTAAAGAATGTTTTAAATATAAAAAGAATTTTTAAATTCCAAAAATTTTGCATTAACAAGTTATAAAGTTTTTGCTAGTAAAGTTTCATTTTTAAGAGTTTATGGGAAGGTAGGACTTTTTATATTGTTGGAAAATGGGAGATTTAAGCAATTTTTTCTTGTTGTTGGTCGTTTCAATAGTTAATGATTTGAAAAAAAATTATTTATAGTTCATGGTCGTGACAATTGAACAATCTTTAATTACTCTTTACTAAGTTAGCAAACAGAAGCAATGTGCCCCTTGAGCAAAGCTGTGACGTTTTTCCTTGTAATATTGCATTAAAACAATATTATTTATGTGTAAACGTTACAATTATCTAATATTTTCTCAACCTACCTGAAAGTTCGTTTTAATTACAAAAGTTCCTTGTTTTCGGATGTATGTAATTAAATTGCAGGGTGTAAAAAGCCATCTATCTGTAACCATTTTATTGTTCCAGAATTGGGTCGACGTGAACTTTATCCACATCTGTCAACGATAAGGGGAGCATGCATTAATAACATGGCGAAGGAAATTGTTTTACGGATAGAAATATATCTGTCAGTACATATGTATTCAGTCCGGCAAGTCCAATCCCTTGGGATCCTGCTCTGAATGACGAACAAAAAGAAAAATTCTCCCTTTAACCCGATGATTTATTGAGCCCTTTACTACGCCAAGGGGAGATTCTAAACGAAACACCCTTTGACCCTGGGATTTTATCCTGTAGGTCATTGATAAGGTATCTAAAGCCCAGCGAATATTACAAAGTATATTTACCGACAATTTTTCACAGTACATTATTTGAATATGAGTGGTGTATTTTCAAGATAAACTGTGTACATGGAATAACATAAACAATTTTTTTTCTCAAAATTTACAATATAAAAGTTTATATTCTCTTGTACAATTTAATATATGTATGTTAGTCCAGTATATTTTTAACTCTACAGATACAATATTTTAAAGTTGAATATGTTATAAAGTAGAATGTGTAGTTAGTTGCTGGAATCTGGTATGTAGGACGGCTGTTAGTTCGTAATTTGTTGTACAACTGACACTGTTAATTGGCCTTGCGCTGTCTAACGTTTGATAATTTGTAGCCGGTGTTTTAACACCAATAATTTGCTCTCATGAAATTGACCACAGATTGATTCAAACATAAATAAACAAATTTATTCAAATAAGAGAGTTTTTATGTAAGTTATTTTTTTTTAAACAAGCTCTATGATAAAACGATCTATTCCGTCTATAATTAAAGATTTTACGATTTTTCAGAACGTAATTTAGCAATATTGACAAAGCGTGTTAAAACATTTTGTTTCATTACAATTATTAAACATGGCTAAAATAAAAGCGATATTTTTTCTTTTTTCTTTTGTCTGGATGAAGACAAACCTGATGAATAAAATCAAATGACTTTAAGCTTTTTATCATCTTCAGTGGTTGGTTTATGCGTTATTACGTTAATCTGTCTTTTCATGAATTTGTAAACTGACGCAGACCGATTACGGAATTCCTTGTGAATGTTTTTAGTAATGCCAGACAAAGGTCCCTTTGTTTTAGCCAAGTTGGCACTGTAAATGTTGTAAATTCAGCTTGGAGGCACAGCATTTCTATGGTACATATTACATTGCAATGTATAATTAAAAAAGCTCTTCGTTTAGAAATTCTTCGACACGTTTCGAGTAAAATTTGTACTAACGGACATCGAAACGAACCAAACAATGTAAAATTTGCATCGTGGAGTGAAAATGGACGACTTGCTGGAAATCACTCATACGATCAAATAAAGCTCAGTAAAGAAACAAAATTAATCAAACTTCAGTCAAATCAAAACGACTCTATGGTAAACATATCAGAAAAAAACGATCAAATAGCAATTTAAACGTCGACAAATTTACGGATTTGAAGCCCTTATGGAATCGCGAAAAAAGAATCATCGTCATGAATGTATTTGTATTGATAAGTGTCCAACTGAACAAAAACAACACATACACATACATTTTTTTGTCTTGTGGAAGCACGTAAAATCAAATATATATTTTTTTATTTTGAAGGAATCGTAACAACAGAACATAAATGAAATACACTTTAGCGTTTTGTAGCCTAGTCGTTTCTCTACACCGTGATTTTGTATGTCCGACAAGTTCCGGCATTTATTCATTTTCAGTGGTTGGCCTGTGTGTTATTTTGTCCGTCGTGTCCTTTTTATACGTTTATTCATTGTAAGGATCAGGAGGCATGTCGGCATTGTCTTTGTTTGGCATCTTGATTAAAAATTTAATTTAATCTGGAAGATTTAACAAACTTTCAATTCGGATAATTTGGAGAAAGAT